AAGTACGAGTATTCACCCTGACACCAGCTACCATTCTAAGACGCAACATTGCCAAAGCGGTAATTACTTCGTCCGTGCATCCCTATACCTTGACAACAAACTCTGACCGTCGTCTATGGCTTCTTGGCTCCCATTCGCACTAAACAACTGATGGACGGGCGAAACAACGACCGTCGCAATCAAAGAGGAGGGCGTTGGAATTTATTAGCCACAAATGCGAAACACTAGGTGGGAGAGCTCTGGTCGTAGACTGCACCTTTCGGTTTGGTCGCAATTCTACCCAGTGCCACAGACCACAACATAACAGCCACAACGAAGAAACCCCTAGCTGCATGGCATCTTCGGTGCAGGCTAGGCATTCTGGCAAAATCCTTGTTCAGTATAACATTCGCGCTGTCTGGGGAGAGCGAACTTCAAGTCGGAGCGTTTCCTTGGACAACGCCAGGGACAATCCCTGTTTGCAGACCAATGGGGCACTGCACAGCGTCCAAGGGTCGATAGCTAAAGCCCCCGAAACGACAGGAAACCTGGTTGCTTAGGACGAGCGAGCACAAACCAACAACCGGAAAAAGCATGGCCTGAATGCAGGCGTCCTGCATTCCCGCTTCGCTTGTGCGCAAATCGGGGGCCCAGCCTGCAGACCACCAACGTGACGCAGAAATTCTCCGACGGGCATTCACCAGCTGAGATGACATGCTCAGAAGAGCTTGGGACGGCGTCGCTTCCTGCATAATATGGCCTTTGTCAGCTACGGTTGAAACGGAGTGGTGTGATACCTTGCCTGAATACCCCAAGGTGGCCCAGTGCTCTATCCCTGTTACCTTTCGCAAGCTACTTTTATCGGTACCAAACACCGGCTTTTGACGATGTCCACCCCCAGTCGCTTTTTGTTCCAGTCTGTTGCAACACTGCCTCGTGTTTGACAACCTAAAATTCGAGGGTACTGCCCAATCAGGAACCTTCATATCAGCCCAAACTTTCGAGCGCTTTGAAGAACTTTGCTGTAATAGGACAATGGATGGTGGACGTCATGAGTGCAGACACCAAAGCAGGAAAAGGCCCGCCAACGCTCGCAATCTAAACTCCCGTAACCGCGAACGCCTTTAAGAACCGAGATCATTTCGGTCAAGCCTGGGGCTCACAGCCAAGTCAACAGTGGGCTCCAGGACCCTCCGTTGGCGTCATGAAGCGTCTCTGACAGGCCCAATTTGGGCTGAGTCCAGTCCAGCTTAGGCCGGATGCGTTCTGGATGACCTCCACCCTGTCCCAAATCAGTTCAGGATCGCCTTGTCCTTTCAATTTCTCCAAGCAGAGAGAACCACTTGGGAGCATTCGAGGTGCCCACAACATCCAAAGCCGTTTTCCACCACGGATGGTCTGAGCGCCCTCTGAGAAAGGACGCGTTGGGAGCGAGCCCGTCGCTTCGGGCTACTTAGACTGTCCGCAAATGATCAGCACAGGCCGGCGAGGGAGCCCAAAACTGCCCGGCGGAGCCCGCCGCCGATGTCCACTGCTTGAGACTTGTTGAGCCACAGCTCTCCAATTCCACAATTTTCTTTTTCTAGGAGTGAGGAGGAGCTCTCCCGGCAGCGACAACCTTAGTCACTCTGCCTATCGAGCATGGTAGCTGACTTCTGGGAAGCCGGCCTCCACGGGTAGTCTGCGGACGTCCGTCCTCTGCCGTTTCGGACAGAAGACGAATGAATGAGCATCGCTTGCCCGAGTCATGTCAGCCCAAGCAAAGCCACAAGCATTTCCCTTGTTGACAAACATGCCAGAACCAACCGCCCGGAAAAGGCAACAGATCGTCCTGCCGTGCATACTCTATTTACTGTATGCCTACACCCTAAGAGGTCATGGTGCAGGAGATCTGCGCGTCAAACTCCGGCGGCGCATGCTTGACGTACTTGTAGCCGGCTACTGTTGTACAGACCCAATCTGAAGTGGGCTCACACCCGTTGGACTTGGTCATACAAAAAACAGAGCACTCGATTCTCCAGCCATGTGCTCGCTCTAATACTGATCGTCGCACGAGGCCACAGGGGTTGCAGCACGCGATTTTTTGCAAGCGAACTGTTGATCGACAGTGCCGTCTTCACCCCTACTTTCACGCTTGTTCGTCGAAATTGGGCATGGGATCGTCCTTTGCGGCCAGCTAACCCACGCCCGAAGGACAAGCTTCTATCCCATTCAGGCAGCTCGGGTATTGTCATTGGAAACCGCCACAATACAAATGTCGCCTCACCAGCAACCTGTCAGACAGGGCCTTGTCTGTACCAACTGTGTCTCTATCCAGTACAACAACTTGTTGTCATACTCGCCGAGGCGGTGCTGAGCTAAGAGGTACTTTGCGGTGCGCTGTCCTACATGCCAATTAGGCGACGCAGAGCCAAAGTTCCCCCTTCTGCGCCTACGAATGACGAAGGCGGCGTAGCACGCGAATGTTTATTCGGTCCATGTGAAGCATTGAAGGGATCGTCCCTGCGTCGAGTCCCAAGACTTCGGGTGTACCAGTAAAAGGATGAGCTGTTGGCTTCGGACCATTTCCCTTTTCTCGAAGCGAACCAGCTATTTCAGCTTGGCAAGGAGAAGATGCTTTCGCCACGGGTTTCGTACCCTTGAGCACTGGAAGTCAAATGGCTGATGTCAAGCCACAGATTGGTTTCCAAGATACGGACGAGTAGCACTTGCAGGACGTGCCGACCCAGTACCAGCAATCACGAGGAACAAGCAGACAAGCCACTGACTTCACCAGTTCCAAACTCAATGCAAAGACCCTTGGACCCTTGAATGAATGCTTCCGGACTTTTGGGTTTCCGCGCCCCAAGCATGCCAACGACAAAGAGGCCATCCTATTCAGGCTGTAAAGCCTCCGAATTGGGACATTCTCCCGCATTGGCTTCAAGTTGTTATCCAATCCCAAGCCGACCATGTCGCGTCCGAGGACCAAACACGGATTTGTGGAGCCTGGGAATCAAACAGCCGCTGAATATCCTGCTGCACAACCGGCAGAGGACATTATCCATGTCTCACAAGACCTTCGTATTCGTACGAGTTACTCGGTACGTGTCGACGAACCACGGCCTCCAAACACAGGAATCAAGCATCATGGATTGAGGTCTGTTTGCATCTCCCCTGCCAAATAGTGTCTAGGGAGATCATCCTTTGCTTAATCATCGCCATTTTCCATTGGAGGCGCAAAGAATCACTCTATTTGAGCCTGAACACTGGGTCCTGGAAGGGGATCTACACCCTGCTTTTCGGCTGCTCGCTCATCGTTCACATGGCCTGGTCGATCAGTTGCACGTCTCACCCATGTCAACATGGGGAAAGATGTCAATCGATAGTAGCTAATTGGAAAGGTTCTAGCATGCAAAACAACGGCTGTGAGCTTGGCACTATAGTCCTCTGGCACATTTCTTGTTTAGCGAAGTTGCTTGGAGCGAGACGGAGGATTCAACCCGAAATGGGTCGAAAGTTGTCCCGATCTCTCAAGCGAGGCAAACAACACAGACGCTTCTCTGGTTTGACCCTGCTCTGTCAAGGCTTGCCAACCGATTTGTACTATGACTGATTGAACGGCCAGCTTAGCGGTTGTAGTGCAGCCTTATTGTCGTCAGTGGCACACGGCCGAGTCGACTGCCTTATCAACAAACATTCGTTGGCTGATGCCGCTCTGGTCAACACTGGAACTTGAATGGGACGCCCCGGTCGAGCTGTTTCTCAGACATGTCTCTACTATTGCTGGCTTGAGAACTCCACGATCCGAACCTTCAAGGGGCGACTCTCCGAAGACAGTTTCACCGGGCAACCCTCTCGATGTCACCTAGCGGGAGAGATAGGCGAAAAGACAGTGAGCAGAAAGGACTTGCACTTGCAAAATCAAAGGCACTATCTGCTCCAAATCTAAACAGATGACCATGGACCCAAGGGAAAGAAGACCATCGTGGTAGCTGAATCTCGACTCATGCCACTCAAACCAGGTACTGATGACCTGCCATCTCATATTTCTTCAGCACAAGAGAGATAAGTCTGATTTGACAATATGCGGTTCTGACGACCACGTGGCTTTCGGATTGCCAATGGCAAGTATCAAAGCTGTATGGGAACAAGGTCAAAAGCAGCGGCAAGGGGGCTCACATGAAGAAGGGCGCCCTGGCCGTGATCGAGTCTCGTCTCTAGGATATACAGTCAATGAGAGAAGATTACTCAGTGAGCCAGTCATTCAGTGTGTCGGTCCTTCATGCTGGAACCCCTAAAGGAACTACTGGCCATGCGCCAGGGAATGCTGTCTCTTCTCAGCATGTCAGACAAGATTGTGTATATTCCCGTAGATGTAGCACCCCCATTTGTCCATTTGCTGGGATGTCATGGCCAGTCCGATTTAGTCAGGAAACGACAATCCTTCTGGCCAGTGCTTGTTTCCATAGATTGCGACGTGGCAAACACATGTATTGAAAGACTCCTCTCGGCTCATTCATCTCGCTCATCCATGCTTGTCCACACACAGACTCACACACATATATATATATACGCAAGTCATTGTATCACTCACCTCTCATCGCTCTTTGCCTACATATACAGGTGTGAACACAAGAGTCACAAGAGTCGGGAATTCAAATCCGGAAGGGGGAAACGGGCAGATATTATCGATTATCAATATACATACACACGTATCTCTTACTTCTTGCAAGCTCATCTCTCCCGCCCCATTAATGAACCCTGTTACTCGCAAAAGCGTTCATTCATCTACTGTATGTAGTGTGTCTCGTGTGTGATTTTTTCACCCGGCTGAAGAGGGTAAAAGGAAGAGAAAAAAAAAGGGTTTGGTGAAAACAAAAGATACAACATACATTCCATATATATTCATGGGAGTTCTTGTTGCTTTTTTTTGTTTCTTCTTTCGTCGTCTACCGGATCTTGGAGATTGGATCCTGGATCTCGCCTACTCCAGGGAACCCCCGTACCAATCCTTTCCAAACCCAACATCCTTTCATCGCTCAGGCCTTGATTTTCCCATTATGAATCTTCCATTCTGCGCGTGCGATGCGCATAAACAGGTCTTCATCTTGGATGGGGATCCAGCTGGTCAGTACTTTCATGGCGTTTTCAAAGTCGCTTTCGAGAAGGATGTCGCGCATGCCGTCGATAAGCGCGGCGGAGGCGGCGTGGAGGACATCCAACGTCGTCCCAAAGGGGACCACCTCTTCGGCGTCGGGTGGGGGTTTGTCTTTCGACGACGACGTACCACCACCACGGCTTGGAGGAGGACCAGTGGATGAAACTGGTACCGTCATGTCGTCGCCCAGCAGCATGAATACATCCCAAACCCTCAACTGCGCCGGGAAGGGAATGGCATAGTTGAACAAAGTGAGATACCACCTCGTCCCGTACGCCGTGGGCCCGATGTTCAGCGATTCCAACTTCCTCGCCACTTCACCTTGGCCCAACCATCCCTTTTCAAAATCATCCAAGGCAGCCATCAGCCCGCCAAAGCCGGACTTGTAGAGTTCTCCAAGGCCGCGCAGCTCCCACATCCGCACAAGCATTACAAAGGCTTTTTCTTCGTCGTAGTATGCTAACAACGTCACCGCGAGAGCAGCCATACCCTGAACATATCCGGTCGAAGGAACATGCAGCGACATGGCGTGCAGAACGCGGAACAGCAGACGCTGCCCACCCCTATACCGTCTCCTGAACATGATATGGGACGATATCGTCCGTGGCACGTCCAGATCGATCTGCACATCATCCGGGCTTGCTTCACTCTGATAGGAATGGAATAGCGAGGTCAAGTCGGCATCACTAACGCAATTTTTCCGCTTTGATGCCGATGCACTGAGAAAACTGTGCCACGCTGTTGCACGCCACTTGTCGGGGATGCCTTTCCATGTTCGCTCGACGAGTTTGGGGTTTGTTGTGTCAAAAGTATATTCGCTTGCGGAACCGGCGCCCACCAGGGGTAGCCCAGTTTTGGGATCCTTCGCGGGCGTTTTGGCCTTTGCCATTCGCCGCCATTTTGCCTCACGCTCGAGCTCTTTCCTCCGCGCTCGCGCATTGTCGATTCGGACGTGGCCGTTCTCTACAACTGATTGTGCAGAGTCTGGGAGCGTAAGCATATCCATTGCTGAGTCCATCAGGCGGCGGTTTCTCGACCCCGGTATCGGGATCCTGGTGGAGGCATTTCGACGCTGTGGTCGAGCATAGGCACTTTGAGAGCTCACCGGACGAGGTGGGGTGTTTTCGGGACTAGCATGTTTGCTCTGCAATGACCGCAAAGATCCGTGGGCACTACTGGGAGTGCGGCGAAGAGTGTTTTTCCTTCGAGGTGTCTCACTGGCTAGCTGTAAGCTCGTTGATACCCGGGTGAGCCGTTGGCCCTTGGATTCGTCGGCACCGTCAACAGTCGTGGTCGGCGCTTTGGCGATAATAAAGCCGTAGCGGTCCACATCTGCATTATCGACATCCTTCCAGTCTTCCAACCCACCGGCAAGTTCGTTCTCCTCGCGCTCGAGAGTCGTATATGAATGAGGGGCCGAGGTTGCCATGCTTGGTTGCCGCGGGTTTTTGGCGTCCTCGTAGATATCGGTTGTGGAAGTAGCGCGTGAAAGCGACGGGTTGCTGACACTGCAGGTATCTGTCACCAGCGTGGATTGCCACCGAGCTCCCATTTGCGCGGCCAGATTTACGTTGGAGTCCGTGTCATATTGACCGTCTGTTCCTGCGGCGTAGAATGCGCGGACCTTTTCAGATAACAGTTCTTCGTCAGCGGAGAGGATCTTGGCCGGCGGACGGGCATGGGGAGTCCTCGCCACAGCTGAAGGCGCAGATTGCCCGTTGCCAGCAGCGGCGGCCTCTGGGATATCGGGCTCTCCATTCATCCTTTTTTCTTCGTCTATGATCGGGGCAAGGTTCGGTGAGCTTTTGCGGTTGGACTGGTTGACTCTCCTCCCATCAATGAGCATGCTCCCTCTCTTGGAGAATTCTATGCTAGTTTCCGGAAGCAGTTCTTCGCCGAATCCAGTTGTAGGAAGACTGAAATCCAAGGATAGACCATTGATTCCCGGTGACGTCTCTTGTGTGTCTCTGCCTGTCTCTTTGAACGATGTAGCTGAACTCGACCGGGAAGGTCCCAGTGATAACCATCTCCCACTCTCCGATGTGCTGATGTTGCTGCTGCGGTCGGCAAGCGACTCTCGGAAGGCAGTCTCGTTGACGCGGATCTGAGGAATGCTGAGCGTGGCCGAGGTCAGGCTGGATATCGTAGGAGTTCTGGTAGCGAGGCTCAGAGTGGTACTAGTCTGACTTTCTCTCGCGGAGATTGAGCCTGTAAGTTGAGTACGAGGGCCGTCTCCATCTTGCGGCGACGCGTTGGGGTTGTACCTCTTATTGGAGGAGATGGACGCGAAATCCCCTGTCAGCGGAGAATGTTGCGCCCTGTCTGGACCCAAGTCTGCGGTTCGATGTAACGAGGAGATTGAGCGCGTGACCGGGATGGGAGGTTTGGATGCTCGGGTTTCGCTGTAGGGCAGCCCTTGAAGACTGTAGTTGAAGCTGGAGGTGGACGGGCTCACAGACGCACTGTGATCGCCCATCACTTCACCTGCCTCGCCCGGCGCCCTCCAGATCTCCAAGCTTCAACAATGTGGCCAGTCACCCAGTGAATCCTGGCACGCCTAAACTCAAAGGTCCCGGGGGGTGCGGCGGCTGCGGCATAGGCGCCGGGGGCTAAAGGACGATCGCAAGGGGGCCTTCGTGTACTCAGTCTGTAGGATTGGCAGTCAGCACCCTATATTATGGTGGTTTCTTTTTTCCCTGGTGCGCGCAATGTTCCCTTCTCTTTTCGCCCTGTTGAAGTCGTGGGTGCAAGTTGGGACAGAAATATTTTTCGATGCTCCTTTTCGAATGTTGGCTCGCCCGTTGGAAAAGGGGATATTCGACGTCATGATCTAGTCAAGCGAAGAGAACTTGACCAAAGTTGATGTGGACAGCGTCCCCTATTCTGCCCTGGTGGGTAATGGGAGATCTCGCTTGTAGACTTGTCCATTGCAACGATAATATTTGCACCAAGGGTAGCGCACGAACGGTATCATTTTGCAGAAGGGGAAGGCAAATTGCGTATATGGAAAAAGACACTGGATTACAGGTTACACGGCTGGTGGGGGAGCCATACATATTGACAGAAGCACTTTCTCATTTAACATTGAACACCACTGAAGGTCGACAATCCGCGTCTTGTGGTCTCTACATGCTTGGGAGATTTCTGGTCCGGGTCGATTACTGGGTCACTATCCCTGGTACTCTTTCAAGCTACGCAGTTCGTGTACTGTGATTTTCGCATTTTTTCTCCATCTGATTCAAATAACCGGCCTCAACCATGCCAGACATGGTGGGGATCAGCATAGGAAAGGCTGCAACCCACTTCGCGCAGGAGGATATTTGCACTTGTCGACCTATCTGGAATGTCCCCGTCAGCTCATTCAACAGAAAAAAAATCAGCGAACAAGGTGTGACGGTGGCTGGATGAGGATAGGACTTTCAATGGTAAAGATCCTGCTCGATACCCACTTGCTGGGCTGCAGCCGCCTTGCGAATCCCTCAGTTTTCATTTTGCGAAAGGAAATGGTACGGCGACTTGGATTTCTTGAGCAAGAGGGAGATGGGTCGGAGGCGGCGCAGAGCTCAAACCGCCGGAACACGGATTATTCAGCCCGAGCGGGAAGGTATGGGCGTGTGGTCGAATTCGACATTCTGCCCAAGGACTCGATCCCTGCCAACATGGTTTCTGGTGGCTTTCATATTATGTAGTAACAGGCTTGTAGAGTTGAACCGGAGAATGTGAGGCGGGCTGGCGGGTTTCCTCACAAGGCTGCGGAATTGGTCTGGCTTATCTTATCGCCACGTGACACTGATACTCCGCAAAACTTTTTTTTCGAGTTGCTGAATTTCGTTGTGAATAGGTGAACAAGCGATCAATCAATATGACTGCAGAGTTGAATGTCGGCTCGATGCTGTCTACCTTGACTGCTGCCCTGCAGTCTGCTGCATCCGCATTTCCAGAGTCGGAGCAGCAACTGCTACCACCCGCAGACGGGATATCCCTCCTCGACATCAAGAACGACCTCCTCCTCTCGTACATTCAAAATCTGGCCTTTTTGGTCATCATCAAGCTGCGCAATGGCCTCGCGGAAGATTCGTCGAGTGACCTAGCCTCGGAAGTCACCAAGCACCTGGTCGACTTGCGGGTCTATCTGGAACGGGGCGTCCGTCCTCTGGAGAGCAAATTGAAATACCAGATCGACAAGGTCGTGCGGGCGGCCGAAGAGGCTGATCGCAGGAGTGCGCAGAAGAATGGGGTGGATCACGAGTCACAGAAACGACCCTCCAAGAAGACACGCAATGAAAATGGCGATGTCTCAGACGAGTTTGGATCGGGTTCGGAAGAGTCCTCGGAGGACGAAGCTGTTGAAAACAATTACACCGAGGGCGACATGTCCATGGGACCAAGACCTGCTGCACTCCTGAAGAATGTAGATACGAGCAAGAAGGAAGATCAAATCGTCAAGTCGCGATCAACGGCCACTGGCGCATACAAGCCTCCACGTATAACACCTACTGCAATGCCGGAGCCTCCTTCACAGCGCGACCGCGATGTCCCCGCGAGAAAACGCAAGTCGCAGCTCCTGGACGAATATATCGACGAGGAACTCTCCACGGCGCCACGCGCGCAACCATCGATCGGTTCAAACAACACTATTGTCAAGCATGGACGTGGGGCAATGTCGTCGAAAGAGCGTGACAAGGAGCGAGAAAGGATCGAATACGAAGAGCGGAATTTCGTCCGATTACCTGCGGAGAGCAAAGCTGAGAAAAGGAAGGCAAGGCTCCGAGGCGAGATGGACAAGAGGGATCTATTCGGTGGTGAAGACTGGACCGGCCTTGGTGGATTGGGAGATCGGATTCACAGGAGCGTCGCGGGCAGAGCGAAAGGCGAGGGATCTAGTGTGCTTGACCGAAGAGCGAAGAGAAGGAGAGACACCCAGGATGGGCCCAGGTCTGATGGTACCAGTGGCATACCCATCGGTGAGAGTTTCGAAAAGAGGAGGAGGATCTTGCAGCAGCGGGCGGACAAGAAGTCGAGAAGGAAGGGCTGAACAGGGGATTTCGCATTGTGAAGGGTCAAGTCGCCTTGCTGGTTCGGTGCGGTCATTGACTTTCAGGATCGAGGCGATTGATGCCTGCTGGATGGTTGCTGTACACAGCGATGAACCAGCTCCTCACAGCGATCTAGGGCCAGGCTCTGTCTGTCTGTCTGAGACTATCCTCCTCACGGCCACTGTTGACCACTGCGTCCTTCACGACTGCAACATGCGAAAAAGAGCCAAGAATATGTTGAGGGCAGGGCAAGGACCACCACGCCTATGGAGAGTGAAGCACATTTGTTGCGGGTATGGCACTTAAGATCCAGGGCTCCGCACCTGCAACTGCCGGCCTCACTTGCTCGCCTTGTTCGCCTTGTCAGTACAACACAGAAAAGCAGACAGATACCCGCGCCTTCAACCACATCTCAAGGTGACGTTTCTGACAGAGTCATCCAAATACAGTAGAAGGGCCGTCGAAGCTGAAACCCCCCAATCGAACTCTACAAGGTCACACCAGTCAGTCAGTCAGTCAGTCAGTCCGGGAAACTAACGGTCCACTACCCGACTCGAAGAGAGCCCTACCATCCTGTAACTGTCAACAGCAACAGCAGCGCCGACGCCGAGGCGTCGTGTCATACATCATACATGGTATTTGTCTGGTCCACGGATTAATATTCCTTCTCTTGCATGACGCGGAGGCGATTCGATGTTCTCGCTGGAGCGGAAAGGGAGATGGGATATAATATTATGATAGTAATCAATGACATCCTCTTTCTCTCCCTCTCTACAAGTCAAGTGCAGGGCGTTTCCGTGCTTTGGTTGTTGTGTTGAGTAATCCCTTTCCCGCCCTCTGCCATCCGCCTCCCCGGCACATGCGCCCCCCGACGACGCAAGATGAGATGACCTCACATGAGATGAGACGCGAGGACACGGCACGGTGGGTTAGACGGACGGGGTGGGTAGAGATGGACATGACAGAGCAAGTGAATGTCATGAAAATACTAGGTAGGCACGCCATGAACTCCATGTGAATGCTAGGACAGCGAGATCAGATTACCTACTAGGTAGTAAAGATCCAATCGGCGCTCTCAGCTCTAGCTGCACCAGCCCTGTGTACCGAGTAGTGTACTCGCTACCAGCCAAGTCATGGATGGCCATTCTTTCCCAATGTGGTCCGTGGTGTGAGGTGCAGTGATGTGTACCTCGTATGGTGGATACTACCTAGTCTAGGTACCTCGTACTGCAATGTTGTGTTGTGTTGTATTGCCTCGCAAAGGCCGAATCTTTGTCGGATGGACTTGGGTCCGTGTCATGGGATGGGAGGGGATGATGACCCAGACACATACATACATATATATATGTACTGCCTCATCTCTCTCTTTGGCAGACACATGAAATCCTCTCTTTTTCTCTCACGGCCGGAAATATCAATACACCCCTACAGGTACCTGGTGAAGTACGATCGAACACCCTTTCTCATACACTCCTCCACAAAATAACAAGTCACCATGCCTCTCTGGCGTATCTTCTCCCATCCGTCAATTTTCAACACCTTCCAAAGAGAGGCCATCGCAAAAGCCCTCACTGACCTCTATGTCTCCGTTGGCCTCCCCCCCTTCTACGTCGTCGTCTTATTCATCGATGTAGACGAGAAGGGCGTCTTCGTGGGAGGCGAATCGAAAAACAACTTTGTAAGAATAGCCGTGGAGCAGATTGCCAGGGTGATGATGGGACCCGAGACCGAAGAGGGAAAAGCCAGGAGGAAAGCGTGGATGGATCGGATCAATGAGGTGTGTACCCTGTTCCCATGCGCAAATCCTCTGCGGACAGATCTCGAAGCGAAAAGAGTCCGCCTGAGAGTTCTTCGCTCGTCTGCCACCTTGATTTGATTTTCCTCGAGTGGCATGTGATAACAGAGTTGTACAGGTCTTGAAGCCCTTCATCGTCGACAGGTCCGAGTTGGAGTGGGAACTGCACATCTATGAGACACCCCGTGATCTCTGGAGAGTTCAGGGACTGGATCCTCCACCTCCATCCTCGGAGGCAGAAAAGATGTGGTCGCAGAAGAACAAGGCTATCCCATATTAAGCCGAGCAGTCATGATTTCCGGCATATCTTTTGTGCATATTGGTGACGAGATATCGTTTTGGGGGACAAATCCTGCAAAGCATTCCTCACACGAGTTTCGGAGCAAAATACCAGAGTGCTGTGAGTCCGGAGAGGACGGTCACACCAGCAACGTGTCGAGCCCACTGCGCATTTTCCGTGACTTTCAAGCTTCCAACAGTATCTCGTTGCTTTGTCGGGCTCCTTTTTGTCGTGGTGTTGGTGCTTGTTCTCCGTTGCAAAGCATCAGACATAGATGTCGCGTTACTCTCCTGCGCGAGCGCAAAGGCCTCGTACTCTTGCACCAGTCGTTTCAGACCTTCAATGTCGTCCTTCAAGCTCTCAATGCCCGATTTGTTACCCTGCACCTCCACGCTCTGAACATTCCCGAAGAAATCGACGACCCTACGACTCCTCCCAGCCTGCTCTCCTCCGGGGAACAAATCCCACCTCACGCCAGGGTTCGAATGAATCTTCTGCACATCGTAGCTGTCGAACAGGTCGCCCAGTGTCTTGTCCGACGTCGGGCCCGTGACCTGCGTCTCCAAAAACTCCAAAACGTAGTATGTCCACCGGTCAATGACGGCGACGCCGACATCGTTATCGGCGTGGTGTGAGTAGGAACTCTCGTCTTCCTCGGACGACCCCGTCGCGATGATGCCCTCGGCGTAAAACTGTCGGTAGAGCGTGTTGGCCTGACACGTGTCGATCATGAACAGCATCTCGTTGTACCGCTTCTTCTCCCTCATCTGCGAAAAGGCGTCGGCCAGGTCCCAGCTCGAAATCTCCTCGCTGTCCTGGAACTTGAGGAACTCGCTGCCTCCGTGGCCCGTCATGTAGATGAGGATATTGCTGCCCTCGTCCGTCTGCAGTCTCTTGCTCGCCGGGACGCCCTCCTCCCAGCGGTCCGTCAGCAGGCGGATAAAGTTCTCCACCGTGACCTCGTAGCCGCGGTAATCGACCTCAACGTTCTCGCCATACAGGTCCATGCGGCGGTCCGCGTTGGAGTAGACGGTCCCGGAGAAGGCGTTTCGCGGGTTGCACGCCATGTCGTCCGGGAGGAGGAGGAGGATCTGAGAGTCGGGGATGCCGAGGCGCTTGACCGTGCGGTAGAGCGAGAGCGTGTTGGCCAAGTGACGGTAGTTGAACCAGAAACGGGAGGTCGACACCAGCACTGCCCAGTTGGAGGTATGAGCGGCACAGGTGAGCGCGACGAGGGCGAAGAGCGCCCATAGTGAAGGTATTGGCTTCATGAGGGGTGTGTGGTCAAGCCTCTTGCCGTTGATCGCAACAGTGCGTCTTTCACGTAGAGACTGTCGAGGCAGAAGGAAAAGGATGATGATGAAAGGATGGCATCCCAGTCCCCTCTCCCTTTTTGCTATTTCAGGATCACCGTACGGGAGGTAAATCTCGCAATGTGGATTGGGGATGAGTTGGTAAGCAGCAACATTGGAACGTCTGGAGTGCAGCCAGGGTGTCGTGTCGGAAAATCTTTGTTCCGAACCCCTTTTTGGGAGTGACCCAACATCAAGTCGTATCTAGAGAGAAAGAGAGAGACAGAGAGAACTCGATTGATCCATGCGTAAAACGTCCATGGATGGATTCATTATGAAAAGCAGCGATCACTATGAAAGCACCCCACTTGCTCTGCTATCTCCAACGCGTAGTCTTGCGTGGTAGAGCCACCCCAAGACACCACCCCCTGATAAACCTGGCACACCAAATGCTGTCAACGATTCTTACAGTGTCGTCTATTTAGCAGCCGTTTCACCTTATCTTCAAACACTTGCCTCTTTGGTCTCGACTACACATTCCGCGCCATTCAAAACTTCAATCTGCGATAGGGAGGTGCCTCGTCAAGGGGAAATCCGAGTTCAGCGATGCAGCCTTCTCGGTCGATGATTCGATTCTCTGCTCTGGGGTGGCCAAAGAAAAGCCGGTCTTGAAGATATCCACAGAGCGTCTCGAAGGATTCCAACGGCATCTCTATCGGATATCGCGTCTCATCGACTCCCGCTATGTGATCCTTGTGGTGACCACGAAGGAACAGCCGCAGCTTAAAGGGAGCCCGCGTGCCCTCCCTGCCCGATCCGGTGGATTCCAGGCTCGTGTTGTGTACGGTTTGGATCTTGTGCATAGCTCTGGCAAAGTCACGTATACCGTCACCAATCTCATAAGCCCAGTCCGCAGCGCTGCTTGGCAGCCGAAACCTCCATGGGATCTCGGTATTCATCGGATCGCTGAATGCACTCGCATGCGGAGAACCAGTACTACTACTAGCGGGGATGCGGTAATCCAGGTGCACAATGATATCCAGCGTTGACAAGGAGAACTGAGTGCCGGCGTGAAAGATGAGGAATTGGCCAATTTGCTCGAGGTAAAGTTCTAGCTTCTTCTTTTCCTCAGATCCGTATAACTCCACGTGTATGTTCAGATGCCTAATGCTCTTGAACGCCGTTGTGAAGGCGCCGAACGCGGTATTTCCGGGAAGTTGCATTTTTGGTAAATAGACAAGCATAGGCCCCTCTAGCGAGGCCATCACTGGTGGACCATCGTTGAGGGTCCCGGTCCTGAAAGTCTGTGTAGGCGATGCATTTCGCAGGTTCTCAAATGTTAGGCCGTGGAAATTGACTGTCATGGTGAAGACATGCTTCTTGGGGAGTCTCTGGACGTGGCTGTGGAATTGTCTGCACGAGGCTGCGAGGCCAGCAAGGCCAGTGCTTCGTCGCTCCTTGATAACGGATGGTGCCGCCCATGCAAATTCAGGCCTGAAGTTCGTAAAATATTGATTTGGACTTCGGCGGACGGAGTCTGCGAATCGCTCCGTATCGCCCTCGAGCCCTTGGACACTTGTAAACCTCCACATGGCTTCGACTTTTGAGAGAATTAGAATCCTCTTGTCCTCACCAGCTTGGAACGGCGTCGGTCTGGGGCCATAATCAGGCAAGAGATATTCACAGATGCGAGCGAGGATCTCACTCGGCAAATCCGTGAGTTGTTTAGGACGATGAATGGGTGGCTCGGCGGGTTTGGGTTCCATGACCGCAGGTTGATCTGCTCTATCCATCAAGCACTGCTGACAAGGTTGAAGAGGGTGGCTTCTCAAGAGATTGAGGAGATTGTTGAAAAAGAGAAATCTGAACTGATCAAGGGAAGTTTGCAGGCTCTCATGGCAGGGCAGAGGCAGACGCAGAGAGTTGAGGCGTTGCGAAGTGAAATGAGCATATAACAGGTCCAATTTCACTCATTCATATCACTGACAGAGTACGCCACGGCAGTTGAATGACCCACAGACAGGGCAGTAGAGTTTGAGGCAGTAGAATCAACAACGATCAAGGATGTGATTGTGCATGAAGATTGAAACAAAGCCGCTCAAGACATCTGGGGGCAAAACAAAGCCAGAAACAGAATTACCATCCCCCCATGGGTGCGGCATAGTGACCAGGTTTTTGCAAAGACAAACTTTTTGTTCCAATAACTCAGGGTATCTGTGGTAGTGTTTGATGTCAACAAGGCAGGTGAGTGTTTTTTTGCTCACACAATGGCTCTTTCATCTTGTTAATACAGGGGTGCTAGGTTCCTTCTCTCCTCCACTCAGGAAGCGCCCGTCAAAGCCAACAAAGAACATGGGGTGTGAAAGAATGGTCATGATGATGGCAAGCTCACAGGCTTTATCTCGTGCCAGGCTTGAACATAACTGTCATTAAGCGTCCCCTTTCGCGCACAATGAAAACTTGCTTCCTCCCGGTGAGAAGAGGTTTTGTTTGCTAGTAGCGAGCCTGGAATCCCAGGTGCCGCGGAGGTGTGCCTTGGATGGTCACACTGATCCGACTCCTCTCGTTGCCGTCGATTTCGTAAGGAGAGGGCGGCTTCGGTGGCGCCTGGATCTCGAAGACTTGGGTTCTGGGGGCGTCCCTCACATTGGCACTTGTCGCGTCGAGCGCCTTCGTTTCCAGCTCATATCTTGGTGGAGGGTCCCTAGGGTTTCCTCCCGCCATTTCTACCCGCCGTCGACGGCGTCTCGTTCGAATGTATAATGCGACAATCAAGGCTCCTCCAAGGATCAGGGCGCCGATGCCGATGCCGATGCCTGCACCAGCGGCTGTGCTGAGCCCCTTGGACGCAGGTTTCGTAGATGGAGCAACGGTGGTGAGAGGCGCTTGTCCCGTAGTATTGGGGTTGAGAGGGCTAGACACAAAGCACCAGTGGTTAGACCTTTGTAAATCGCAGGCAGGGATGTGGATTGGACCCGGTTCTCACCTGTCAAGTATCTGCAACACGCCATTAGAGGTGAGATAGTCCCTCGCCTTAATGAGAGCCGTGTCGACATAGAACTGACTATCCACCTCGGTCATGGAAGCGGATATCTTCTCCAGCGTGGGAATTTTGGTGTTATTCTTGAACTCCGACGAGTAGATCACCGGGCCTTGAGAGATGCTGTATTCTAGGATGGAGTAGAGGTCGGTTTGCGAGAGACCGTCCCATCCGGTGAATCCAGCCGAGAATCTCGTCGAATTGGGCGCAAAGATGGTGAGATCCGACAGTGAGTTCACAATCTAGATGTCCTTGTTAGCCTATGCGGGCCTTTTGCAGAGACGATGGCCCCTCGCTAGGGACCTGGCACCTGGTCACTCACCTCGACTGCGGGCGAACTGGGCTTGAGGAAGCCTCCTATGCTCATCAGCGCCACCAGATCCGTCAATCCGACCTTTGTGGCGGTTGCGGGAAATGAAAGTGGAATAGTGAGCACCGAGTCGATTATGTGGATGAGGCCTCCAAGATAGAAGATGTCCTTGGTCAGTCAGCATTGTCGTCGATTGATATTGGGGATCGAAACAACCTACAGCCTCGACCACATGAGATTCGGCCTTCACTCCGCTCACGATCGCGGGTTGATTGTTCAGGGCCGTCAATTCCACCACCTGGCCGCCCGTGACATTGGTGTAGTTGGGATGGGTCAGCAGGGTAGGCACAAAGAGTGGCTGGAGGCCAAACGAAGCCGACGGATGAGTTCCATGGGCAATGTGGTATTCGAGCAACGCCCGGACGGCATCGGTATTGTTGGCCAAATCTGGATTCTCATCACCAAAGGCGGCCAGAGCTTGATCATTGGGAATGAGGACTGCGAGGGGGCTTAGTCTGGATCGTAAGCAACGAGAGGTCCGGGTCTTCAAACCACTGAATGTCCCTTGATTCAAAGTATCGACCAGATCTGTAAACTGCTCCAAGAGTCCGACGAAGGTGGAAATACCAGACTGTTGCTGCAAGATGGTGAGAACATCTTGACTGGCCGCAAAACAACAGGCCACCAGGCTCAGCGTGGCGAATGCTACCCGGAGCAGCATCATCATGGTACATTTGCAGAGCACTGGCAGAGGGCAAGAAACATGACTCTACGGAAAACGCCAGCGGCATGGATATATGAAGTGGGCTCGAATGAGGATGGAGACCTTTATTATTTGGCGGCCACGCATGCCCACGCCAGTTCGTCGGCTCCACGACGGAGCTCCATAGGTGAGCCGTGTTGCTGCCGATAATACTCTTGAGACGTGGTCTTCAGGAGATAGTCTGAGACGCAAGACAACGCCCGAATGGTTCGAGGGTTAAGGAGATGCCAGAGAGGGAGAACATGGGTTAAGGTTTTCGCTTACAGCGTTGGGAATGGTGGGCAGACAGACGAGGGGGCCTGACGACGAGTTTGATTCCTCGTACGGAGGGGAAATGCCGATGTGATGGATGCTGGAGAATTGGGGGGGGCCAACGAGCAAGGGAGCTGACCGAGACGAGACTCTTCTCTGTTCCGAGTAAGGAAGCCATTCATGCAGGAGGTTTGTTTGTTGATGAGGCCCAGAATGTCCTTTTTAGCCCGTGTTTCAGCTGATGAACTAGTGCCCGTCCTGCAAGGCACCATCGATGGTGTCGACATAATACTGGATGATTTCCCGCCGGCGCAGCGCCATGCAGCTTGGTGGCGTCCAAGCGGCCGTTGAAGGGTTCCGGGTGACAAGCCAAAACCATGCAGTCGAACAAAGTCAACCTGACAAGTTTGATGAAGAGTCTGAATCCTTCCCCTCGTGGGCGTGGAAAGTCGCCGTGCCCAACGCAGTGCTTCCGTACGCGTTCAACGTGTTCGTCTCCAGCACAGGATATTCAAGACAATTGAATCATTGCCACAAAAAGTAAAGGTAAAGAAAGGACGATCGACAGAACTGGCCCCGTGGATGTGCTAGGCAATAAGAGAAATCTCGCTTTCCCCGAGAGTTTTGTACCTGAAAACTTTCCAGCGTTTGGCGAGGACTTGCAATTTCGCGTTCGGCGATATCAGCTTCATTATTTGCGGGCGAAGAAGGAAACAACAATAATGAGTCCTCGGTATAAGTCCTCGGTATCTCCGTTGTCGTTGACAGGAAATATGTATTACTCGTACTCCGTACAAATGAGGCGTCTGTGGTCTCTTTTCACCCCCATCTCTGAGCGTTACTGATTGATCTGAGCGCCGCACCTTGTTTACCCGTGCGCCATGGCAAGCCAGCCGTTGCTGGTCATGCTGGGGGTTGCAGTTCCTCGCTGCATTCGAGAAGGTTGCCCCTTTTGAGCCGACATACACCAGTAAGAGAGGGTGGAAGACGATCAGGGCGGTAGAACAGGGAAAGGAAATTGAGGCGTTGGAAAATCAGCATCAAAACATGCTCCGCACAACTAGATTATATTCAATATACGAGTAGACGACGCAGTAAGGCTCCTACTACAGCCCTATCATGAACGATGGATGCACAGAACCAGTTTTCTTGACCTTTTCTGGAAGGACAATGCCCGTTTTGAGGAGCATCTGTGCTTGAATACCCGATTTGGGCAACATTCAGCCTTGTCGCCTACGCCACCATCACCGCCAACGCCAACACCAACATCGTCAACTGGTCAACTTGCTTACTCTTTCTATCCATCAATTTAACCGCCGTACTACCCAGTGCCCATCCAGGGACCAAAGTGGCTATAATCCATTCTGGTTGGGTCTGTCAACGACTTCCCGCACAAAGTGACACAAACAACCAACCTCAACGTGGATCGTCCTCCTCTCTCTCTCTCGATGACGAAACTCGCCATCATCATCATCTTGACCATCTTCGGTCTCGCAATCTTGTCCCTGGTCTGCATGCTCTACAAACCACCAGAATGGCTAATATGCTGGGTCCAGAAGCGCTACCCGACCGTGCTGTTCCACGTCCCCACGGACAAAAAGATCGTGGCCCTGACCATCGACGATGGACCCTCGTCCCACACGCGAGGGATCCAGCGCCTCCTCAAGGCCCACGGCGTCACGGCCACGTTCTTCCTCATCGGGTCACACATCCCGGGGCGCGAGGACCTTCTTAGGGAATTGCTCCGGGACGGTCACGAGTTGGCCAACCACGCCATGTTCGACGAGATGTCGGTGCGCGTTCCGGCCGCGGAGCTCGCGCGACAGATCGAAACGGTAGAGAGGCAGATTGCAGAGATCTACGCCACCGCCACGCCAGAGGCAGGGGCAGATATCGGGGCGGCTGCTGTGACGCAGCAGCAGCAGCAGAAACAGCCCACATATTTCCGGCCCGGCAGCGGCTTCTTCACCACCAAAATGCTCGCCCTCCTGGCACAGCCGCATCTAAACTACCGGCTAATTCTGGGCAGTGTCTATCCCTGGGACGCCCAGATTCCGTGGCCGAGGTTGAACGCGTGGCATATCCTGAGCAGTCTAACGCCAGGCGCCACTATCGTCGTTCATGACCGAGCGTGGACGGCGCCAATGTTGAGGATAGTCCTGCCGGAGATGACGAGACGAGGGTGGCGGGTAGGGACTGTCACGGACCTGCTAGGCCATTCGATCAATGGCGACTAGGACGGTAAGAGAGGAGACGATGAGGGAGCACAGTTCAACAGAGGGAACAGCCAGCCTTCCAAGGGGATGTCATGACCTTTTCTTTCGCAACCTGAACAGATTGTATCCCTCACGCGCCTTGTATGACTATGTACCTTGAGACAGGGTCCCCCATCGCCATGCAGAGAGAAACCCAACAAACTCGCGTCGAGCATCCAAAAAAGCATCCGGGCTTCACCTTTTCCATCTTAAGAGCCCCCTTGCAAAGCACTCTGCAAATCATCATCTTTCATCCCCATCCGAGGTCGTAACATGAGCCATCAAACTTGCCATACATGCTCAAAGAACGGAGGCCCAAACCCACCAAGGTGTGTACCCTCATACCCTCCATGTACTCGGTCAACATCCACAGCCACATCCGGTATTGCCGTATATCACCGTCCAACAACAGCTTTCAGACTTAAACCCTCCAAAAACCCCGCAAGGTCCTCCTTCTTCACCTCAACAATGCAGTGATCAAACGAATCAATCTTGACCCGTGCATTAGTCTCCTCAACAACTTCTTGAAAAGCAATACCAAAGCGATTGTGGCCGTATCCTCTCTTCCGTTTCCTTTCTTGTTCAGCCTCGTCTTCTTGCTCGTCGTCCGATTCCGAATCAGGCTCCGATTCGGATTCTGTCTCATCTTCCTCCGCATCAGAGTCGTCGCCGAGTAGTTCTCTTTGAGCTTTCCGTGCGGCTCTCTTCTCTTCTCTGATCTTTCTCTTTTTCTCCCTTTCTTCCTCCCGTTTCTTTTTGCGCTCCTCCTTCTCCTTTCTACTTTCGATGTCCTCACCGCCACCAATCCCTCCGCCCGTGCCTACAACAACATACGTCCCTCTCGCCTCGTCCAAAGCTGCAAGGACTAATGGAGTTGGTGGTTCTGTGCCGGTTTTGTCCCGCTCACTCACCGCAATCGCCTCACCGACCCATAACGCTAATTTTACCAATGCCCCGGGACTGTTCGCAAAAAGTCCCAAGTCAGGTCCTTCTTTGACAACGCCCATACGAAACGCACGCAAATGGCGGATCTGGTGTTTCATAAGCAAGGAAGAGCCTGTGCGGAGGATTGATCGTAGCAGATGCTGCGCTGCTGGAATGGCAGCGATGAGATGAGTAGGGTGGTTGGGTGCGAGAGCGTCGTAAGCAGCGAAGAAGCGTGGCAGAAGCGTTTCTGAACGCTCCGGGAAGTCATCGGCGGCGGTCGTTTGTTGCGAAGACGCCGCATATGACGTCGATGAAGTCGACACTGCCGAGGATGTGGGGGTGTTGTTTGTGCCGACATCGAGTATTGCTCCTAGAATGACGCCCACGTCGACAGCAGATAGTTGGGCTTTCCAGCCCCAAGAGCGGATGAAACCCCATCCTTCTTGTTCGTATGCTGCTCGCCCGGACCCCGAGGGCACAAGATCGTCGAGACCATAAACACCAGCATATTTCAGCAGGCGGTCCCGGAGAGTCTTCTTCAAATCCATGTCCATGTGGGTATATGTCTGTTTGCACTGGGTCAAGGATACCCCCATCTTCGCGAGGAGTTTGTGAAGTCGCTTGATCCCGGACTCGTTCCAGACATGTAATCGAGACGCAAGATAAGGCGAATGCAGCATGCTGTCGTACAGAGACCAATGCCTCAACAGGAGAAATCGCGGGTCTGGTGTCAGTCGAATGGACGTGTCGCTAGGTGAACCTGTGCTACCACTACTGGGAGATATTGAAGGCGATTGGTCTGCAGGTGGGGGATTCAAGCGTCTGACCTCGTCGCGTAGAAGAGCATATGTCTGAGAAGACCGTGTAGTCCGCCATCCTCTATGGTGCTCATGCGAGACGGTCACCGTTCTCGAGACGGATGTTCCTAGGCCAGTAGATGTGTGGCCAGACAGCTCGAGTGATGTGACACCAATGATGGCAAGCCACAAGATGTCGTTGTCTTCGCGTCCTAGATCTGATGCCAGAGAATAGGCTAGTGTAGACACTGGCTCAGAGTAAGAAGTGCCCAGACTGTTGTATTGCCGGAGCACCGTTTCATGTTCTTCCCGTAACTTTCGTAACCGTCGACGTAGCTGTACTGCTGTTTGCGGTTTCGGGGATTGTGCTTTGGACCCTGGGGATACTGGCTGGGAGGAAGAAGGACTCCTGCTTCGGGGTGACGCGATAGATGATCCCGAATTGCTCCTCCGCCGTTGGCGTGGCCTCTCTTCATCTTCTTCGCTGTCCTCGTCTTCGTTATCGCGGTCAGACCAGGACTTCCGTTTTCTCGACGAGGCACTGTCTTGAGTTTCATCGTCCTCTTCCTGTTCGTCGTCACCGTCACTCTCATCTCCGTCGACTTGAGGCATTTCAGCTAGTGCACAATACGCGTTTCTTTCCGTTTCCAGGTCGCCTGCAATATCTCCATCATCGAAGACAATAATGCCGCCCTTTCCGGGCTTGTATGACTTTTGAATGCAACCTTTCTCCACCCCACGCACGCGTGGTCTCAGCTCGTTGACCACGTCGCCTGATGGCGCCTCAATCGGCTGCCCGCCAAAGACGTTGTCCAGGTTATATGGTCTTCTTGCATCCAGAACCCATACTTCAACCCCACACATCGTCTCATTCGACTCTTCGTCCTCCAGGCCTAGAAGAGCTCCCAGGTCAACTAGTCCTCCAACACCGAGGCAAATGACTAGTCCACCACTACCGCCTTCGGTGGTTTTCATGGGCCGCACCAGTTCTTCGCCAGCTCTGGACAGGTCTGAATATCCCGAGACCGGCTGTATTTTGTGAGGGATGTAGTCGCGCTTGAGAAGCGCCGTGAGGATGCGACACGCGCATAATGAATCTGGTTCGAGAGCAACCAGTAGCAGGACAGGAGGAGAAAGTGGATGGTGGGAGCGGATGAGGTTTGTGTAGAGCTGTGAGATCAATGGACGCGGGAGGTACATGGCAGGACTTGAGTCGCGAGCAAGACTGGTCGGTGTTTGGCAGTTGTATTCCGGGGCATTACGAGGAGGAGTCAGAAAAACATGAAGGGGGATGTCGTGATTGGAAGCGTGTGTTATAGAGATGGCTAATGTTCAACAGTGGTCGTTAAGTTGCGGGTGGGTGCTGTCTGCGGGTGAGTGTATGTGTGTGTGTTGTATGCTCGAGTTTCGTGAGGTGTGGGTGTTACAGCGGATTTAGTTGGTGTCGCGTGTAAAGACGCGTTCCCCGAGTTTGTTGCTAATAACGTCATGGCGGATTCCCAGTGCCAAGGCAGACCCGCCTGGCCGCCAAGCCACTCATTGCACTGGATATTGCCTGGAAGTGGTACTGTAGATATCAACATTACTCTAAGCAAAGACTACAAAACCAAAAGCAAACAAAATGTTGATCCAATAAGTACAAAACCCGGCAATACATCTTGGTACAGACACCCGCATATCCTACAAGATGCCCGCAAGAAATGAACAAAAAAGCCGCACTATGACCCTCAGATCCGCATGCCTACTCACGGCGATCTGGGCTCGAGCGGCGCAGGATCTCTCTCACTACCACCTCTGATATACCATGATGCCCTGGTCCGGTGGGGTGGAAGACTCTCCACTTCTTTATCTGTGGCCATTCAGGAACGACTTGAGGGTCTGGCATGCCCTCTTCATCACCCAAAAACTCTTGAGACGCGGACCCGACGAGGGAGAGTGTGATCTCAGGTGGTGGCATGTTGAAGAACCAAGTGTCGCTTCGATCAATCTCTGGTTCTTCTACCCCAGGCTCACAAAATCGATGTCCATCAAAAGCACCGTCGATGTCCAGATAAACAGCGCCATGAAGCTCTGTCGTCGCTTTGATCACATCGTTTAACATCATCACTAATTGGTTGAGTTCCCTTCTCTTGGTCTTCGTCAGGTAGTCTAACGGTCTGGTTTGGCTGAAAGTTGCAGTGTCACAATAATCGGTGTCCTCATTAAAAAACCTGGCATAGCCAGTAACGATCAGGAGTGCGCCAGGTTTCAGATGCTGAACGGCTCCAGAGATGATATTTTCCAGGTTGAGAAGCGCAGTGGTCTCGATGATCTCTCTGGCCTTGACAAGCTGGGCTTCACAACCTATCGATGGCTGCCAATGATAAACGCACTCATTCAAAACCACAAAGAAGTTGACATCATTTCCACTGGCTGTCAGGGTGACAAGGTCCGAGTCGCCGATATACGGGACTTGATCTCGCAGGATGACGGTACTAGTCAAACCACCGCACGCAAGATGCTTGAATTTTGCTTTTTCGACGTTGATCAGCGAGTGGTTGGCGACTTGGATGGGATACGCGTCAGAATAACGGCCACACCGAAAATCCGCATACGGTGGCCATCCAGGGGTGCCTGCTCCTGCTCCTGAAGCATAAGAGTCCCCAATTGCCGCGTAGGAGCGTATTGGTCGATGTGCAGTGCGAAGGTGAGCAGGGATTGACAGGCCGCCTAGGCAGAAGAGAAGGAGCAACAAGGGAGGAAACCAGGCGGATGCCATCGAGCAGGCTTCAGATAGTACTCGGATACAACACGCCGCCGGCGCTCAGACCTGTTAACATCATATAAACCTCTCCCCAGATATCAGGAGGAATGATGCATGAATAGGACGAGAAGCACGAGACAGATCACAAAGACATATAACAGGGTGTCGTCGAGGTTGCCTGGACTGCTGACTCATTCCCGAGCCACGCTACTGTCAGACAGATCAATCCGAGGTCTCGAAGCGCGCACGTGGAAGAAATTGCCTGTCAGACCAAAACTTATCAGTCATGGACGTCATGGACCGCGCAGGGTCACCTGGTCGCAGGTCGCAGGTCGCAGGTCGCAGTTCTCTTTCTCCTCTATCTTGCCATCCGTTCTAGTCTCGATTGAGCCTGGATGCTGTTGAACACGATCCCCCGCCAGGTCTTCACTTTCAATCTGATTCGTGCCTTGTGTCAAACTTCTGTATTGCTATCATTGTACAAATACCCAACACCCTGTCTTCCTCGCACCTGCTGTTTGCAACCATCCGATGCTAGGCGAGGAATGAAGCGATCTGCCACCGCCAAAGCTCGTCCCAAACTTCCAGATTACTGCGATGTTGAGCCACGGCGCGATGAGTCCGGAAAACCCATCTGGCCTGCTCCGGAGGCTGCTATGGAGGAGGCAAGAGCCTTCATAAAGGAATGGTGTGACCGACCTTGCCACAGACTCCTTGCCCAACCTTGAACTCGTAAATGGCATTGCTAACGAGAGCAGTGCAGCAAGTGGCAAGAAAGCACTCATTGTTCCCGACAAAGACGCCGACGGCCTCTCATCAGGTGTCATCCTATATCGAACGTTGACGGACCTCGGCCTTGATCCATCCTTGATCGATGTCCACCTGGTTCAGAAGGGTTCCACCATCCATGCCCAGTCGGAGCGTGAAGCCATGGCTGCGAAAGGTAAGCGAAGAACCGAACCTCATTGATTTAATGCATACCCTGACACCATTGATCAAGATCCGGCATATGTCGTTGTCCTCGATCAGGGATCAATAGCAGCACCACCCGTGGTTGATCTACACTACACGAAATCTCTGATTATTGACCACCATTTGAGTGATCATTTCCCTGAAGGTGCTCAGGTGGTCTCAGCCTGCCATTATCCGCCGGTCGCAACATCGTCTCTCCTCACTTACGAGATCTGCAAGATTCTGGCACCCAACATAGCTTCCTCCTGTGCCTATCTCGCTTGTATCGGCACACATGGTGATCTTGGAAATACCTTGAAGTGGTCTCCTCCGTTCCCAGACATGAAAGAGGCATTCAAATTGTTCACCAAAAAATCTATCAATGATGCAACCTCGCTTGTCAACGCACCCAGGCGAACCGCGAAATATGACGTTATCACTGCATGGACAGCTCTTCTTGCATCAAAGGATCCCAAAGACCTGTTAAGCAATGGACGACTCCAGAGCGCACGTGCCGAGATCAATACGGAGGTAGAGTTGAACACACATACACCTCCAAAATTCAGCCCCGATGGACGAATCGCTGTCCTGCGGATCAACACACCTGCGCAGGTGCATCCAGTCATTGCCACTCGGTGGGCCGGATATCTGAACTCCAAAGCTTTGGAAATAGTCCTTTGCGCAAATTCAGGTTATCTCCCTGGGATGGTCAACTTCTCTTGTCGTATCGCCCGATGCGCAAGGTCAAGAGATCCACCTGTCAATATCATTGACAGCTTGAGAGCTGCTGCAGATCTGTCATCCGACGGCCTCAGAGCTAGGCTTGGAGAGAGCTTCGCTAGAGGCCACAAAGAAGCCAGCGGTGGGATTGTGCCTGCTGAAGCCTTCGAGGAGCTGATGGCCCTGCTTAAAATTGGTGAAAGGCCGCAGAAGAACGGTGATGATGCGGATGAGCCGAAAGCAAAGAAGGTCAAGACCGTCGAAAAGAGTCCACAGAAAAACACGCTTGCGAACTATTTCCGGAAGCCATGAATGGCCCTCGATTTCCCGGTGCATATTCCATTCGGTCCACTGGATTAGACCTTGGCGCCTTCCACAGATCCCAGTGTTTGGTATGTATCATGCAACTCCCACAGGACCGTTGGCAATGTCTCCTCCAGGGCCATATTGAGAAGCCACTGAAACATCATGGGATCCGCGTTAAAGAGAGGACCACCCATTATTTCAGACAACCTCTGGGGTAGATGGTCTTTGAGATAGACACTGTAATCTCTGACATATTGCTTTATGGGCGGGGAATTTGCATCCTCGACATACGGGGTGCCTGGACGTTGCGCATCGGGAAAGAGTATGTCGAAGATTCCATACCACACCGACGTGGTGTCTTTGCACATCTTCCTGCGCTTGACTGCTTTATACTGCTCGTGGGTCATCTTCTCCTCAAAGGGACAGTCTTTCAAATCACAAGCTGGCCTTGCCCGCGCGTGAAGCTTGCCGTCGCTTTCTGACTCGAATTCGGTATAGCAGGACGAACAAAAATATTCCGGCCGCCGATGGACCCGGTAAAGATGCTGCTTCAGTCGGGGGATGCTTGTCAAGCATACACTTCGACATCGACGATACGCCTTTTCATGCAGATTGGGGTTCATTTCCGAATATCTATTTGGATCATATTTCGCATAGGGACAGGCAAGAAGACCTTCTGCATCAAGATCTTCCAGGATGGGACTCTCGATGCGCGGTCTCTGTGGCTTTCTTGACTCATCATCGCCGTCGACTTTTCGGCGTTTGCCCTTTCCGGACGACCCTGGCACATTGTTCACCTGCTTGTTCGATGAACAAGACCCCGAGGTGGCCTGGATTCCGCCGTTGGAGCTTGTGGGTGATTCTTGCGAGCTCTGAGGAGTGTGTACGTTCATCCCTCCTCTGTAGGAGACGAAGTCTCGTATCAAGTCTTGCCTGATCTCCAAAACGAGGTCTTCGATTTTTTTCTGACTTCCCATGTCGAAGGACGGCGGGGACTGAGAGTTGAATACAAATGATTCCTCTCCGGAGGATGCAATGTCCATCTCTTGGGGCGTTGTTGAAGGGAGAGCAAAGGATTCTCCGCCACCTTTGACGCCTTCATGGGTCCCCATGGTTTCATCCCTCCCATCATAATCGCCGAAGAAACCGAGATCCTGGGAAAAAAGTGGTGAACTAGCCCTGTCACTGTCACCTCCGTCGGTCGCGTCGAAGGCGAACAACAATGGTGATGTGACCCGAGGTCCTCTGATGGGCAGTCGGCGCGTTGCGATGTGCAGTGACCGCGTCGATGTCGATCTGGTGCAGCTAGCAGCTTCTCCTTGCTTCCAGCCGTCGGTAACGCTACCGGTCATCCCCTCCAGAACTCCCTGATGCCAACCATCTTGGTCGACCAGGGTGGAGCGCGAAGCCATAGCCGATGTTCGAGTAGACAGGCCATGGCCGGGGTGAGACGGTGAGGGAATGCTCTTTTTGAAATCACTCGAAGAAGCTTGAGCTACAGCCTCTTCTTCCGGGACAGGCAGTGGAAACTCCTTGTCTTCATTCGCAAAGCCTGGCTCACAGCAAACTCCAGAGCTCCGACCCAGACGCGACGGTGGCGATGCACTATTGTTGGGAGATGTCCGAGGAATGGTATCTCGACGGCTCCTAGGCTCACCACCTACTAGCGTGTAGCTCGTCGATTTTGCGCTTGCTATCCGATCTCCTGCAACATCCAGAGAAAACTCTGGCCGCCCTGGAATGGAGCTGCGAGGCTCTTTGTATGTCTCAGAAAGGGAGCGTGGTTCCGCGTCCGCCAGAGGTTTAGTTCGACGATGTGACAATGGGTTTCCAGTACTATACGAATACATTTTCGACCGATTTGGAGCCTAAGAGGTGGATGGACAAATAATTTGTAAACCTGGACGACGTTGGCAAGGGGCGAAATTTCCTGGGGTATTATAATGATCGGCGCGTCACTGGTGAAGGCAGATGATGAGAATATGTGGAAGAGAAGCAAAGAAAAGGAGCAGGAGCTCGAGTGAGAAGATATGGGCGGAAGTGGGTGCGTGTCGAAAGAAACAGGCGGTGCATCAAGGTCCAGGCACACAGCACGGATTGAAAGTCACAGATGTGTGTAGTCGGCACCGCGACCTTTGCAGGGAGTTTCGCACAGCCACGAAAAGGCGTCTGAGTACGGAGAGATGTGCTATTGGCCGGGAAGTCTCAGCTGGAATGCATAAGCGCCCATCCGGGGAAATGGATGAGGCATGGCAGAAGGCGAAATATTAACTCGGCAGTTCTCGGTCTGTTGCGGGGGACATTGGATTACGAGGTCTTCCATCATCCTTTTTCTGGCCGGATTCATCCATCTCGGTGTTTGACCAGATGGAGTCTGGTGGGAACGGATCCGCTGCGGATTGCAACGCAGGTTCAGGGGTATACCAGGGTGCGCCTTCACCGCACGCCTTCACCGCAACTCCTAGTCGGGCAAGGCTGAGAGTGAAGTTGGGCAGCAAGAGTTTGCCTGGATTTCGGAAGCTTTGACGGATGCAAAAAGAGGGGCGGCATTGGGGACGAACACTGCAGACAATCAAAGAAAACAAGGGCAGAGGTCATTAATTCCATTATTTGGATATGTACTCACTTGGTGTCAGTTTCCTCTCTCTCTCTCTCTCACACACACACACACAAAAAACATCTCACTCCAAACCACCAACCACCACCGCCGCTCACCGGGGACCGGGGGGGTCTTGAGAGTCCAGTTGACCAAATCTCCTGCGCGCGCTCTCACACCTGATCGCTGTGCCTCCTGCGGACGGTGACCATGACGTCCTTTGGCTGGTGGAACCAGCCCTGCCAGACGGACCACTCCTTGCCGTCCATCTGGAGATCAAAGTCGTAGTCGCGCAGGATGGCCGGGAGCAGCTTGTACATTTCGGTGGTGGTGATGTGCTTGCCGATGCAGATGCGCTTGCCGTAGCCGAAATGGATCATGTGGCGTTCCATGTGGGCGGCCGCCTTCTCGCCGTCGCGGAACCAGCGCTCCGGGATGAACTGTTCGGCGTCGGCGCCGAAGACGGCCTTGTCAAAGTGCACCGCGTTGGCGTTCATCATGACCGTCATGCCGCCGGGGAAGAAGCGCCCGCAGATCTCCACCCCCGGATACGGCACGACCCGCGGCAGGCCCGTGCCCAGCGACCCGTGCATGCGCATCGCCTCGCGCACCACCGCGTGGAGGTAGGGCAGCTTGATGGCGTCGTTGTACCGCACGGGGTACTTGAGGGTGCCGTTGGCAAAGGCCTCTTCGATCTCGGCACGCACTTTGGCCAGCGTCGGCGGGTTCTTGTGCAGGTAGTAGAAGATGGCCGTCAGCGCGATGTACGTAGTGTCGGAGCCCGCCCAGATCATGGCCCAGAGCTCCGTGGTGACGTCGAGGATGCCAAAGTCGTTCTTGGGGTCGTTGGCGATGTCGATGAGTTTGCTGAGCACGTCGTTTCGGTTGTACGGCTTCCCCTCGGCCATGTCGTCCAGACGCTGCTTCACCGCTGCGTGGGATTGGTCAATCACGGTGAAGAAACCCTTTGCTCCCGCGCGCGTCGCGGGATAGATCATCTGGGATAGAAAGTACAGATTTCGGAAACCCCACGGTATATTGTTCAATGCTGCAGCAGGGTTGGGCATGACGTCCATCAAATGACACCAATTGTTATAGTCGACTAGAATGTACATGTCAATGCTGGACTAGGGTGGTCATGTTTACTCCTTCGAGACGAGACTGGGAACTTACTGTTGTCTCTGATGAAACCAAAACCACCTTCTCGCCCGTAAAAGATCTCGCCAATGATGTCAAAGGTGTACTTGCGGATCCAAACGGACACGTCGAAGACTTCTCCAGTGTCGGCAAAGTGATCCATCTGCTTGCGGAAGAGGGCGATTACCCTGTCCACGCACGGCTCGTACTCGAGCACGGCAGCTTGAGTGTACAGGTGCGCCACTGTCCGTCGTCGCCATGTGTGAGCTGCCTCATCCCGTTCGGCGAAACTATCCTTGCGTTTGGAAATGTGCGTCAGGAAATTGTTGTAAAAGTCGCCCTTGGTAAATTCATATTTGGGACCGTATATAGTGTCGACGGCCGAGGCGTCGGCGACTGAAACCTGATTTGGGGCAAGCCGGACAAGGTAGCCATATTTCTTGTGGATCGGGAGTTGGTAGTCTTGACCCCGACCATTTCGCACGGCTCGAAAGTACCAGAGACTGGTGATTGAAGCCCAAAATGGTCCGGGGATATCCCTCAATGGGTGGAAGTAGCGATTGTAGACGGCGCACGCAAAGACATAGGCAATGATGCTCGGAATGAAGATTTGGAGCCCAAACACAATGTTGTCCTTCGACAAGAGGGGTGACAACAGCATTTTGTTGTATATGTAGCACTGTACACGATGGGAGGGACTGTGTGAGGGAGGGTTACACAAAGAGAAGAGAACGAATAGGCGCTGAATGAATACAAGCATGTACCTTGAAGTCACCTCACCCGAGTCGACTCCACGAGACCAGCCTACCCACCTATCGTCACCCTCCACACTCCTCTCCATGCATGCAGATGCTTCAGGGATGATCCCACATGAGGACATAGAATGCGGTTGGCTGTTGAATCATGTTTTCTCGGTACAGCTCTTCGAATATCCTGCATGGTCTGAGGATCGGGCCAAAGGGTTCGATGATGGAAATACGTGGCATCTCCCTGACGCCCCGAGTGAGAGCGTCATCACTGAATCGAGTTAGCAGTCAACGGAGGGATGAGGGCGAACAATGCCCACAGGGCCAACAGGAATTGAGTGTGTATGCCCAGGGTAGCCCACAAGCTGCGACCGAGGTCTTTCGTCCGTCTTCACTGATATGGCCTGCTGAACCTCATTCGACCGTCACACACGCACAGGGAACTACTGCACTTCATGCAGGTGTGCACGCTGCAGGCGGCAGTTCGTGGAATGGCGAACTAGAGATGCTGGAAAGATGCGGAGCCGCTGATGGGATCGATTGACTCTGAGACTTCTGGGAGGGTGTAGGACGTGCATTCGATGGAGAACATGTGTGCCGTCAACAAGAAGTCGTGTAAGAATCTGATTGAGCGAGAGGCGCCACAAGCTGCGTCTGACGATTTCCCAGTTCCATGGAGTCGGGACCTTGACGGAAAGTCACGCATCTGCCAAGATTTGGCCAACACGACGAGCACCAAACAACCACGAACTCGCACGAACAATTCACAATTCATGTACTGGTGATGTACATAAGACTTGCACCGAATGAACCTTAAAACACCCTGTCATAACTCTTTCTACCTAAACTGCGAAAACGTCCCTTCTTGTCTATCGGCTTGGCGGCTAGCTCTTCACGGTGCCATTCCAGCGCTGACTCTACGGGTGATGGAGATCGCACCGATCGTCCCGGCCCAATTCGCCATCACTCCCTCGTGCCGCTGCTATAAACCCCCCATATCACGTTTCAAATGATCAACCAGGGAATGCCAACACAGGAATCTTTTAAGAAAGAAACGTTTATCTCGGCAGGATACAGCATCCACGGGACGAGTCGTGCACGCGGACAAGAGCTAGAAGCAAGGGCGTCAGATGATGCTGGAGATCCCAAGTCAAAAGTAATACTACCGTAATTCGAACCCCCTCAATATCTGAAACGTCGAGGATATGGCTAGGAAGGGATAGAATCGAACATTCGCAGACCGTGGTCATGGGGCAGATTAAATATCCAACACTGCTGCGTAGGCCAGGCATGTCAATACCGTCAAGAGAGCTTCTTTCAACATGACTTGGTTGAGAACCACTGAAATTAATAGTGTGAACCCAAAATGGCACGGACCCAAGCATACTTTTAAGTCTTGGTGGAGGTAAGCTGGCAATGGCTGGCGGTAGACAGCCAGCCAAACCTCCAACGCCCATAAATGACTACTACCGGACGAACCAGCAGCTCGTACATATTGTGAACCAGAAACGCCCATGTTCCTCTCGCTATTCGTCAACCTTCTTCCCCATTTCTCGTTCAGGAGATGGAACGAATAACGGAATAGGCGGGTGCCCATCGGACCACTCTCCTCTGAGACCGGTTTCCACGATCTCTGGCTTAAACTTTGACAACGGCTCCAGAGTGATTTTGCGGTCGGGGCGGCCTAGTGGTGTCTCCAAATCAGATAGCACCACTTCAGACACCCTAGCGAGAGTAAAAGGCTCCTGCGCGTTACAAAACCTTGGAATGGATTCATCCGGTTTGTCTTTCTCTGCTTCTCCGTCATGGCTGTGATTGTCCATGAGGCAAAGCAGGTAGTGGCCAGTTGCCACCCCAGTGCTAGTGATTTCTACCAACCAGACGAAGCTCGTGTCATCCCAACGGTGGCTGTCACCGGCACTTTGTCCTCGAGCCGAAAATATGTTGCCTAGATTGTGTCCGATACCACGAACTATTGTGGTGATGTATGACGAGGGCACCTCGTTGCTGCTGACTGGGGCGACGCAGCCTACCTGCAACCACTTCGTCTTCTGGAAAGATGTTACGAGAAGGATAACCCGCCTTCGGCTCGGGAAAGGATTTGCCAGGGTCGTTGACCACTGCTCCGAATCGTTCCGTGATCAAGCCAACATCGTAAAGAGGGAAGAAATGCGTGAGATCAGCCGCCTGTGTTCCCACTTTCTAGAGACCGCGAGTGACAGCTCGGCCGTTGGAGACGCGGAGGCAGCCAAGGTCGACAGTCTCTATGACGATATTGTCCTGGAGAACAAACCCCAGGTAGAGCTTGATTGTCAGAGGATCATGAAGGATTCCAGTGTGCAATGTTTGGCTGTCAATGGGTACTCGTTTAACCCTGTACCACTTTGTCTCCGCTGTCAGCGTATCTACTCAGGATGGAAGCATTGGAAAGACCACCGAGCACGATCAAAGACGACAAAGGACGCACAGGAGAAGATCGAGTACACCTCAGCGCAAATGGAGTCCGCAGCAGTCACAAAATCCCACGCGGACGTTTCCTACTGCACCGAGTCAGTCGCTGCCGCGAAACTTTACTCACTGCGCACTGAGAAGCTGGTTCTTCAGTGATACCCGACTCGCTAGGGTATGATTGTGTCTCTCATGACCTGGAAAAGAGCACTTGTTTATGCAGAGTGTGATCCAGCCCGGCTAATGCTCAATGGTCGGCGAAGAAGGCCAGGTTGAGGCTCGTCGAATTTGGAGCACGGATTATCGGCAGCGATGAGGATTTAGGTGGACATTGCACGGAGCCTACACGTAAGCGTGACATGGCAGCACTAGGTACTTTTAATAGCAGTAGGGAATGGATATTTGAACAGTTCTGAGTAGAAGAGAGATATTGAAGGTCGGGTCGCGTGGGAGGTCAGAGAGACGAGTACGAATTAAGTTTCTGTGCGTCTCGCTTCCATCCGCAGCCCACCTCCTCAGCCTCACCAGCAGACTAGTGACTAGCCACTCACTTGTGTGGGGTGCCCTGTGCTCCTCATCAAAAGCCCAAAATATTGCATTGCAGCGCACCGCAGCGCGACTGGACATTCCCAAACCTGTACCTACATACAACAGCCACTACCCACTGCCTTCACAGCGATCTGAACGACACATCCGACAACCTCCTGCATACGGCGACCACCATGGACTCTGTTGTTCTTCGGCCCTTGGACTCCATTGAGACGCACCTCAACGCCCTCGTCACCTCTTTGACACAAACCAATACCTTCGCCAATGCGCCGCAACTCGCCCAAGACCTCATCGCCGACGATGACGAGCTCGCCTCGTCCCTCGCCTTGCTGCAACGCCATCAGCAAAACTACGCGCGCATACTAAACCTCCGTGCAGAGGCCGCCACGCTGCAGGAACAGTTAAAGGACACAATTCGAAAGTGTGTCTCCTTCAGACAGGAGATCAGCCAAATCAACCCGTCAATCCTCGACCTGGACTCCGACGAAGATGGAGAAGACGAAGATTCGCAAGTTGCAAGAGTCGACTACCACACCCTTCTCACCTTCGCGGCGAGGATCGGCAAACACAATACAATTGCGGCGAGGGAAGCCGAAGCTGAATCTCTACGGAGGAAGATTGCCGCCAAAAACAAGGGGCAAACGTCGCCACCTGCAGTTGCAAATGGCCTCGAGGAACCCTCGGCCACGGCCGAAAGCGCACCTGAGGGAACAGAGGAGGCCAGAGATGAAAACCATACTGCCGAAACAACTGCGGAACTGATGCGCATAAACAACACAATCGCCGTGCAGCGCGCACAAATGGGCATGTCATTCCCCGATGCAGGCATATTACGCGTCGGCGCATTGGGACAGCTCCAGCTATTTTTGGAGCGGCAGCGACAACATTCGGGGGTTGATGCGGGTGCTGGACAAGAGGAGGCCAAGGCCGTGCAGGAGGCGTTGGAGAAGGAAGTGGAGAAGATGGTCAGAGAGACCGAGGACATTGCAGAGGATACAGGGACAGCTGGGGAGATGGAAGAGGACGACACCACCGCCACTGCCGGTGGCTGGACAAGTCCGGTGTTGAAGCGTGGCTTGACGTTTGAGGGAGAGAGCAGTCAAGATGCCACTGCAAGTGCCGGCCATCCCTCGACGGGTCAAGCGGGACTTCCTCCAAAGCCGCCCAAACCACCGCAGCCGAAGAGGAAACTCGACTTGGACTTTCCCGACAGCGACGAGGAGGATGAGGATTGATGCAGATCCCCCCTTTTCAGCAGAAACGACTTGTTCGAACGCAAACTTTTCAAGGGATTTCTTTGCCATTTCTTTGCCCCGTATTCGACCCAACCACTTCAGCAGAATCAAAGGCCCAGCGGGAAAAGAAGACGCTTGATCGTCCGAGACAAATATCCATCCTCTCTTCTTGCTTCTTGCTTCTTGGACAGTGGGAATACTCGTGCAATAGACACATGCTATGTCACGTTCATACGTCTGCGCTTGGAGCCTCGCCAACGCTTTTGTTGCAGAGCAGGACAGAGTAGGGTCGAAGAAGGGGAAAATGTCTCTCCACTTGAAACTATTCTCCTTGGCTTTGTCGTATCTGCGAACGCAGCTGCATAGGTACCTACCTACCTACCCATGTATCTGGGTATTTCTGTACATCGTTGTCACTGTCGTCACTCCTGATAGACCACGGATTATTGCTGACAGACGACCTTTGAAACAAGTATTCCTTGTATCTCCTGCCCCTCCTGCACCTGTTTCATGCTCACACCACAGCTCTGATCATCCCACAGACAGCGCTTCTCTCCGAAGGGGTGGCCATACTCTCCAAATCCTTCGGCCCCCGCGCGTTATTCCTTGAACCAGTGAAGTTGACTATCCATGTTGTTTGTACAAGCCTACCCTCTCTGTCAGTCTTCGGTTCCCAAAGCTCCAGAGCTGTGCTTCAGAAACTTACTCTCTCGTGCTTCACCAACAGCTCAGTCTGCACCATCCACCAAACCGCATCTGCCACGGTCTAGCGCCTGGTCCTGCCGCTCCCCTTGCGATTTCTCTGTCCAAAACTTTTCACGTCGCGGTGCTTTGGAGGCTCTGGAGATGGACTCTTTGGATCAAAATCATAGTCTCCGTCGCTGTCGTCGTCGTCATTTTCAGAAGGAGTCTCGCTTCCAATCAGATCAGACAGTGTTGGTGACTTTACCCGCTCTGCCACTGGCTTGTTGAAATCGTGTGAGGACAACTGATCGTCGGGATGGTAGGGAGGAGTTGGTTCGTCTCGGACAGAACGGTGTGGTCCACCTTGTTTTGTGAGTGGCATCATGTTCCGGGAGAAGTCAGCCTCATCGCCAGATGCGGCGGGAGTGAATCCAGCGGACGGTGTTTGTGGTAGCTCTGAAGAATGGTTTCGCCCTGCCTGGTTTGTCGTGTGATGTGGCGACTGGAAGGTGTTGTGTCGTGTCTTGCGGATTCGCGTTCCAACCGACCTCGTCATGGTACTTAGATCCTCGTCGACTCCCTCTGTGGTGCTGTGTTGAGTTCTGGCAAGTTTTGGGGTAGCAGCACCGGCCTCCTGGTCAATATCATCCAGCGCAACAAAGTGGTAAGATGGGGAGCTCATCATGCCCTTGTCCAAGCGTCGTGCCTTCTCAACGTCTGTGTCACCAGGGTCTTGTCTTGCAGTATTGACCACGGCATTGTCATCGCGGAAGAGGCCCTCGCGGCGATAGAATTGTGCATAACGGGGGTATTGCTTGGTGTAGAAGGCCAGTTGCTGTTGTGCGCGAAGCTCTCTTTGTCTTTCTTGATGCCGTGTAGCTTCTTGTTCCACCCGTCTTTGGCTCAAGATATCTGACTTCTGCTCCTCCAACTTCTGCCGGATGTACTGCGCCTTCTGTTCGTCAAGACAAAGCTGATAGCGTCTTGTCATCTCGGGGTCAGTTTCTAGCTTGTGCTCGGCAGGCCCCTGGTAGGACATGATCTCCTCAGGCCTCTTTCTCGTCATGATACCGTACCTCAGGTTGGAGAAGGACTGGACCCACGCGTTGCCGTCTTCATGCATGGCTTCTTCCAAAGGGGCCAGCAGAGGGCTTGTGCGCGGAGGAGGATCGCGCTCGTTGGTCAACATCTGCTCTCGTGATGGATGGTCCATGCTTGAAGCACAAATAGCTGTGGCGTAGTGTGTGTAGGACCTCTGAGGAGGAATCGATGGATGGCGAGACGATGGAGGAGAAGTGGAAGTGACATTTTGATATTGTGCCAGGTAGAGCGGCTCAAGTGAAGACAGCGACGCCTCAGCCTGAGCGCGTAGTCCAGTCGACCGCCAAGTTCAGTGCCAGGGTACAATCGGTCAAGGTCGGTTGCGGCAGTCGCTGTCAACATATCAGACGCGACCTTTTGCTGTGAATCTGGTCAGCGCTGCCGCACCCCAAACAATGACCATGTACCCACCCAGCAGTGAAGAACAAAGGGAGAAAAGAAAATCACACCCATATATATTGTAATGGACAAATTTCTGTCAGCAATTTGAGCTGGTACAATGGTACATTGGTGTAAGGCTTGTTCACACACCCTCGAACTCTCACCATTGATCATCCTTTCTGGATCCCATCTCCCTAAGTCGCCGCCAACTGAGAATACCCTGAAGTCCATTCAATCTGCTGTTGCAGGAACTCTACTAAGCGAGCATCTCCCTCGATCAACAGTCATGGTAATTTCAGGTGTGTGATCATAGGTTCATCTCTCCTCCGCCAAAGAAAAAGCGCAGGAGCTCTGGGAAAGGAAAAAGGAAATGATCATGGGATTGTAGAAGGCACGATGGACACGGAAGCGTCCTCTTCTGTTTACCAATTTGAATTTGCTAAAGGAAAAAATAAAACCTTACCAGAGGGTCGGGTTTTCTCATGCGTTAGTTTTTGCAACCTGGGATAAGTGGTGTGTATGTGTATATATTGACGTACCTAGTATGTAGGGAGGGGGTTCAATTCAGGGCCAAATAAAAAAAATACTTATTTCTTTCCTTGTGAAATTTCTTTCTTCTTTTGTTTTGATAATGTGCGAGGGAAACACTACTTAGTATGACAAACCAAGTGAATTATGTCTGTCAGTGAGAATTAGTTACCTCCAGCTCAAAGGTCACTAGCATTGGAGCATACAATCCTTTTTGTCCTACTACCACTTGAACTTACTTACTCGTTCTTTTCCATATGGAATTGACGGACCTGACTATTATTGATGATAGCCCTATGATGAAGAGCATCACAATCAGGCCAGCCACATAGTCAACATGATTTGTGTTGTCAGGGGTAATCCGTAGGGGAATGAATTTACTGAAGCGGAACCCTCGGGCCATGTTGTTCATTGTACTAGGGATGAGGACAGAGTATATAAGTGGCTTGTACAAGTCAACTATAATAGTGATCTCAGAGTATTAGCTAAGTAGTCATGATAGGGTCGAGACAAGACACCACTTACTTGCCTATATACTCCATGCCCGAGTGGCAGGCCAACATTGCTGTTAGGAAAGGGGCGTCAGCCTTGTTGGGGAAGCGGTCTCCAATCTCGGTCAGCGACGCTAAAATGCAGGATCCCAATCCCAGATGCATGAATAAGCAGGAAGATTGACAGGGAAACGTCGAGATTGGAGTCATGAGTTGATTCAAATGGCTATCTAGATCATCAATTAAATGAGTACGTAGAAGAATGGAGGCAGTGTTGGAATCGTCGTTAGCTCCCTCGCTTTCCCCATCCACTGAAAAATCCTCCGGTGCTTGCCGTCGGCGCATGCGTAGATTTGGGAGTTTCTTTTGGCGGTTGACTTGCCGGCACAGCAGGCGTCGTTGGTGATTCGGTCGCACTGGCTCGCGTCGTAGGGGATGATGTCGATCCACCCAAGATCTTGCGCAAGGCATCTAGCTTTCCTTTGGTCTCCTCCAACTCCTGTCGTGCCACCGCCTCAGCTGTCTTGGCATTCACCAACTCCAGCAGTAGTGTATCATTAGAGATGGGCTCGTGGTTTTCAGTGGCGAGGACGGCTTGGGCGTTGAGGCTGCTTGAACGCTTAGAGTAAGGCCCAACGCTGCTTGACCGGGGCAATTCCGGTTTGCCCAATTTCAGCTCTCGCAGTCCAGATTTTGGGGGAGGTAACTTCAGGTCTGGGAACTCAGTGACAGGGGTGTAGAGGTCGGCAGGCGAGTCTGGCACCGAGTTATTGCGGGAGCGCAACTCGCTGACCGTCCTTTCCAAACGCTGCTTGTCACGATGCGCATCCTGGATCCGAGCTCGAGCATCTCGCAGCTGCTCTTTGAGAGTATTTTGCTCTGCTTCTCGCTCGTCAAGTTGTCTCATGAGATCTCGACACCTCGTTACCTCGGCATCATGCTTCTCTTTCAGCTCTGAAACTGCGTTGCGGAGCTGGTGTTTGGATTGCGACACAGATAGTCGCTTGGAGCCGTCTCGACACAGTTGACATTCAGCCTGAGCCATGAGAGTGTCAAGGTCCATATCTTCGTCCGTGGCCTCGGAGCTGTCCACATCCACCAAGTCTCTGATATCGGTTGTCTGCCGTTGTAGTCGCTCCAGCAATTTCCGGGCAATCTGCCGATCTTCTTCACGTTCTTCTCGCTCTTTCTGAAGCTCTTGGGCAAGTTCCACATGCTGCCGTTGAACTTTGGAAAGTTCTGTAAGCAAATCTTCAATCTGGTTATGGAGATTGCGATTGCTCGAATCGGGAGTAGGTACGATTGCAGAATGGACGCTGGTGGCAGCGGATACAGTCGATTTCGGCGGCGTTTCTTCCGAGATGTCTGTGGCAAGTGTACTGACGTCTGTGTTGGTTGTCTCAAGCGAGTTAAGGGTCGATGTCAGACTTTGTCCTGAGGACGATTTTCGAACCGACTTGTTATTTCCTGGGATTGTAAGACTCAGATTCTGGGATCTAGATGGCGCGTGGGACGAGCCTGCCCAGAATCTGCCCAAGAACGAAGACACGGCACCTTTCAATGAGGGTGCCGCCGTTAAATTCTGGGAGTGCCTGAAATTTGCCTCTAGTGAGTCAAGGGACTCTCGGCTCACCAACCCAGTCAATGACACAAAGTCCGATACCAGATCATCCGCATGCTGTGCATAAGTGTCCCAGAGACTTCTCGACAGCAAAAACTGCATCGCGTCCTCAAACTCGGTGGAGGCAAGTAGCTTTTTCTGGTTCCGTTGCATCAGTGACAACGCAACCCTCATCAGCGTTTCTGTTGCTCCTTCGGACAATATTACATCGTAAATTCGGAGAAGCATAGGGAGTGGGCAGGTGACGGCGAAAAATGACAGGAACCATTGTGACACATATAATGGTTCGACCTTTAACTCCTCAAGATGAGCCGCCAGTTGTGGTAAGTGTCGAATCAGAAGTTGCTGGAACTGGTATATTCGAAGATGTAGTCCAGACAAATCAGGTAGATAACATGAACGAAGGTCGTAATTTTCCATAAGCCTACATTGGTGTCAGCTTTCTCAATAAAAAAGGAGCGGTGTTCAGACCTAACAAGGATGCAAAAAGCTTCCGGTTCGCTCATGTGCATCAGGAGTGGCCCAACGACGAATCCAAGGCCCTGGCAATACCCGATTTTGCTGTCGTAAAGAGAGAAAGCTTTCAAGACTTTGCCGAGCATTCTCTGGCCATCGCCGTCCTTCTCCCTAAACATGTCCACGTTCGGAAAGCTTCTGCCCACATCTTTTCCAATCAATCCGTCGTAAGGCGAAGGCTCATTGGAGAGTCTCTGATATTCTGAATGTAGAAATCCATCGTGAGCTTGAGCAATACTGGGCCAGACAACACCACGTAGCGGTGGTGGTACACCTCCTCGAATCTTGTTGGATGTCAGAGTAGGTAGTCGTTGGGCTGTTTGAGTATAATCTTGAACCAACGCTGCCCAGAATTCCAATTCTGTCATGGGAGGAGCAGGAAGTAGCGAATATCTCAAAGATTGGCGCTGGGGACCATCGACCATTCGTTTGAGCTGCTGTACCGAAGGAGGGCGGGTGTTTTTGCGCGGGCGCGAAGGCGTTGTGATGCCGGCTTTAGGATTGGTGGCTAATGCTGCATTCTCCTTCTCCAAACGCGCCAGCAACAACGTCGTCGACTACCTCTTGTTAGCCGCAGTTATAGCCAGAGATATCGAGAGCTCACCTCATCCGTGGCTTCGTCCCTCTGTTCCTGTTCCTCCGATTTTTCAAGTCCCTCCCAGTTAACGGAATTTAGCGAAATTGAGCTTTCGGAAGTATGGGAAGAGGATCGACTGGTGCGAGATGAGGGCGGACCGCTGCGAGGCTGCGAGGCCTCTTGAGAGATGTCTGGTTCAGCGATGATGTCGAGATCGGGATCAAAGGGTATATCTGACAGTCGCACTGAGACCATTGAACTGCGAGGTAGAGGTACATTCTCGGGTTCTATATCACTTCCATTGTCGAGCACGGTCTCGGAAGGGACTGGCGGGATGGCTTCAACTTCGGCCATGTTGGTTGTTCCTGGGAGATCTAAGGCAGTCTGTCACCCTTATAGAGATGGCGATATACGAGGCGGGGGTGATAAGAGAAGCCCAGGTTCCACGGGCAAAAGAGTGAGCCCTTTGGAGCGGTTGATACTTGGGGAGCTGTGATGGCCCACAGATATCACAACGAGAGACTGCTCGCCAGGTCTGCCAGCGACCGTGCGAGGGGAGTGCGATGCAAAGAAGCAAGGAATGGCTATCGTCAAGGACGATGAAGGGGAGGAGGAAAGCGAGCACAGTCCATAGGTACTTTAGGTCGGACATGTTTGAAGTAGTGGTGGGCCAGGGGGCTTCGAAACTATGGATTCGGCACTAGTCCGCCGTGCCCGCCAAATTGTCCACACCCAATGCTTGATTGCCCACTGTTCATGCAATTTCGGCTCTCTGCAGGCTCCCAGAGTACCGAGTCCTAAATCATGATGAGGAAGGACGCCATATGATGTATATTGTCCCTGCATAGAACTCTTTACAGATTGTGTATACTCAAATATTGTGGCCCTGCAGGAAGGGTGAGTTTTAAAGAGCGCGCCTTGGAGAAGAAACGCGTCAATGGCGTTGCGGGGAGGAGGAGGTGGTGGTGGTGGTGGTGATGCAGTTGATGGGTGGCCGTATTGGCGAAGCATTCTGACACACTTCTAAAGCCGCAAGGGCAGTAACGAGGAGCGAATGTCACGCGATGAGTTGCTGCCCCAGACGAAGAAAGGGCTGCCTGTTGATTACAGCAGTTAGTCGAAACTCGATCTGACAAAGATCAATACTGTAGCCTATGCATGCTGGCATGCTACCTCATATTCGGAGCATTATTATTGAACTGGGGCGACACCGTAAAGTCCGCGGCACAGAACTATTGGACGCTTAGTTGCAGACCCGCGGTTCAGACTTTCGAATATGGAGCAACAGTTTAAGGGGCTAACAATGGCTCGTTGCCACAGCACAGGCAATGTCACAAACTATCATCGATTGCGCTGCCACTGATTTGCAGACTCGCATAGTACTTTATGACGTGATAGATAATTGTCCCATGAAAACATTCAGCTGGCTGTGAAGAGCGAGACAATGCAGTGCTTTCGTATTAGAGATAGTTCAGGACAAATATTGCCTATATAGGCTTAGTAGTGACGCGAGCTCTTGGCGACTGTGGGGCTTCTCAAATCCCCTTCAAGGTTGGTTGTGTTCGTTGTTTACAAGGTCAACAACTGCCCCGGCGCATCAGAAAACGCACTGCTCAGTCTTCCAGAACCGTCAAGATAAGAGAGATAGTAACATCTCTCTGCGCTGCATGTGTTGACAGCCGCATTTTCCTCGACCCAACTGCTGGGCGTTCCTGATTCACCTTTCTCTCCGATTAGACCGGCGTGATGGACTCCTCAATTTTCGACATTGATGATGGCTCGGACTTTGAACCCGCTACTGTATGTTCCAGCGCGTTTTCCAAGAGTGGAACGCAGTTCTAACAAAGCTACTCAGAAACCCAAGACCAAACCCGTCAAGAAAGCCTCTGAGACCAAGCCCGCGACGAAGAAGGCAGCAGCTCCAAAAGCGAAACCTGGCCCGAAGCCAAAGACCACCGTTCCTAAGAAGCGCGCAAAGAAAGACTCGGAAGATGAGGCCTCAGATGATGAGGCCGGTAACCCCTTCAACGATGAGTCCCTGCTTGAAGACACTCCTCCACAGGCAAAGAAGGCAAAGCCAAACCCAAACCCGGTCAAAGGGAGCCACAAGAAACCTCTCGGTGATGTCGTCAATGAAGCCTTAGGCCTCGATGGAGCGACCGACTCTCCACAGCCTCAAAAGAAGAAGAAGCGCGTCTCAGAGCAATACCAGAAACTCACGCAGTTGGAACACATCATCAAACGTCCCGACACCTACATTGGCTCAGTCGAGCGCACAGAGAGACAAATGTGGGTTTACAACACAGAACAAGACTGCATGGAGTTTCGCGAAATATCTTTCGTCCCCGGTATCTTCAAGATTTTCGATGAGATCTTGGTCAATGCGGCAGACAACAAGCAAAATGACAAGAAGATGGATGAGATCCGTGTGACAGTCGACCGTGAAAAGGGGGAGGTCAGCGTGTGGAACAATGGCCGTGGTATACCTATTGAGATTCATTCGAAAGAAAAAATCTACATTCCAGAGATGATTTTCGGCCATCTTTTGACCGGTTCAAATTACGACGACAACGAACAAAAGATCACAGGTGGCAGAAATGGCTACGGTGCAAAACTCGCCAATATCTTCAGCACCGAATTCACAATAGAGACCTCCGACTCCAAGCAGAAGAAGAAATACAAGCAGACTTGGACCAAGAATATGTCTGAGATGGGAAAGGCCAAGATTACTGATTCCAAAGGGGAAGACTATACCAAAGTGACATTTTACCCCGACTTTGCGAAATTCGGCATGACGGCCATGGATGACGACCTCGAAGCGCTTTTCAAACGTCGAGTTTATGATCTTGCTGGCACCTGTAAGGGGGTCAAAGTCAAGCTTAACGGCACCATGATTCCCATCAGAAACTTCAAGAAGTACATTGAAATGTATACCAAAGCCATCAAGAAGGAGCGTGGCGAGGAGGCCGCAAATGACAACTCTGAAATCATCACAGAGTCTCCCGATTCCCGTTGGGAAATTGGCTTTGCCGTGTCTGATGGCTCGTTCCAACAGGTGTCATTCGTCAACTCCATCGCCACCACCTCTGGTGGTACACATGTCAATTATGTTGCTGACCAGATCGTCAACCGTCTCATGGACGTTGTCAAGAAAAGAAACAAAGGCGGTGCCCAAATGAAGCCGAATCAGATTCGCAACCATATCTTCGTTTTTGTCAACGCCCTTATTGTCAATCCAGCTTTCACTTCGCAGACCAAAGAGCAACTGACCACAAAAGCCAGTCAGTTTGGAAGCAAATGTCAGATTTCCGACGAATTTATGAAGAAGGTTGCAAAAACCGAAGTCGTCAGCAACATTCTTCACTTTGCACAGCAAAAAGCTGACCAGATCCTCAAGAAATCCGACGGGAGCAAACGAAGCCGAATGAACAACCCGAAATTGACCGACGCAAATAAGGCTGGCACGAGAGAAGGGCACAAATGTACTTTGATTTTGACCGAAGGTGATTCGGCAAAAAGTCTTGCGATGGCAGGACGTTCCGTGGTCGGTCCTGACCTATTTGGTGTGTTCCCGCTACGAGGCAAGCTTCTCAACGTCCGAGATGCTTCTATTGACCAGATCTCCAAAAATGCTGAGATTCAAAACATCAAGAACTTCCTGGGTCTGCAGCACAAGAAGGTATACACCGACACCAATGGTCTCCGATATGGACATCTCATGATCATGACGGATCAAGATCATGATGGAAGTCATATCAAAGGGTTGTTGATAAATTTCTTGCAAGTTCAATTCCCTAGCCTGCTCAAGATCCCCCAATTTTTGGTCGAGTTCATTACGCCCATTGTCAAGGTGTGGAAGGGCGACCCAAAGAATCCGACCCAATCTCGCTCTTTCTACACCATGCCAGAGTACGAGGCATGGAAAGAAGCTCATAAGCACGAACGTGGATGGGAGAACAAATACTACAAAGGGTTGGGAACAAGCACGGCGGAGGATGCTCAGCAATACTTCAATGATATCGACAAGCATCACAAAGAGTTCGACGTCATGAAGGATGATGAAGCTGCTTTGATCGAACTTGCTTTTTCCAAGAAGAAGGCGGACGAGCGAAAGGAGTGGCTGCGGCAATTCAAGCCAGGGACGTTTCTGGACCACACAACCAAAAACATCTCTTACACCGATTTTGTCAACAAAGAGCTAATCCTGTTCAGTATGGCCGACAACATCCGATCCATCCCCTCAGTGGTGGATGGTCTGAAGCCCGGTCAGCGAAAAGTCATGTATGCCTGCTTCAAGCGCAATTTAAAGAAGGATATGAAGGTTGCTGAGCTGGCGGGTATGGTTGGTGGTATGACGGCGTATCACCACGGTGAAACATCTCTCCAACAGACGATTGTTGGATTGGCGCAAAACTTTGTCGGATCGAACAACGTCAACTTACTGGAACCTTCTGGCCAATTTGGTACCCGAAACCAGGGCGGTAGCGATTCTGCAAGCGCCCGTTACATTTTCACCCGGTTATCGCCCTTTGCAAGGAAACTATTCCACCAAGCCGATGAACCCCTGCTCTCCTACAACCTTGATGATGACAAGAGGATTGAACCTGAGGTATACGTACCGATTGTCCCCATGGTCCTTGTCAACGGTGCCGATGGTATCGGCACGGGCTGGAGCTCTTACATTCCCAACTACAATCCAGAAGACATTGTGGAAAACCTGAAACGAAGAATGGCCGGTGAAGAGTGGAAGCCAATGCAACCCTGGTTCCGCGGATTCAAAGGTGAGGTCAAGGCTACTGGGCCTGATAGATATCAATTCAGTGGTATCATCCGCCAATCTGGTGACACTGAAGTTGAGATAACAGAATTGCCTATCCGCATGTGGACGCAAGATTTCAAAGACCGCTTGGAAGAGATCCTCAAAGCAGAGAAGACCCCATCGTTCATTAAGGACTACAAGGATTACAATACCCATGACACGGTACATTTCATCATCCAATTGGACGAGAAGCACATGAAGTCGGCCCTTGAAGAAGGCCTTGTGGAAAAGTTCAAACTCACAAAGTCGGTGGCAACATCAAATCTTGTGGCGTTTGATCCAGAAGGCCGTATCACAAAATATGCGAATGTCGAAGCCATCATGGACGAATTCTACAGCTATCGTCTGCAATTGTATGCCAAGCGCAAAGAGTGGCTTTTGCAAGAAATGCAGAAGGACCTCAGACGGCTCACGAATCAAGCTCGGTTTATTCAGATGATAATTGATGGGAAACTGAGTATCTCCAAGAAGAAAAAGGCTGTACTCATTGCAGAACTTCAAAAGCTTGGCTTTGATGCGTTCCCAAAGACGCAAGATGCAGCTAAACAAGGTGAGACCGAGCCCGTTGTCGACGAGGATGATACCGAAGAAGATTCGGTTGACGCCAGCGCCTACGACTACCTTCTCGGCATGGCTCTGTGGTCCCTGACACAAGAGCGAGTTGAGAGACTTCAACGACAGATCGGGGACAAAGAGGAGGAAATCGATGTTCTCATGAAGAAATCCAAAGAGGATCTCTGGAAACATGACCTTGATGAATTCATTGCGGAATGGAGGTTCCAGCTGGAGGACGAGCACAACCGCAAGCGCAACATCCGCAAGGGCCGTCGAGTCTCGAAGAAGTTTGCTACAGCGGCAACGACAAAGCCCACCATCAAGAAGCGAAAAGGACTCGGAGATGCGTGGGACGACGACTCTGATTTCCAGGAGTCTGCTCCAAAGGCAAAGAAGAGTGCGCCTGCTCCGAAGCCAGTTCAGGTTGCAAAACAGCGCTCCATTACAGCGTATGCTGCGCCGAAGACCAATGCCTTGAAGAATGCTTTGGAGAAGCGAGCCATGTATACTGATGGTGCCAGTGACCCTCTTGAGGAGCCAGAGGACGGCGTTGCGGAGCCTGGCAACGATGGCTTTACCAACGGTGTCAAGGACGAGTCTGACCACGAGAACCCTATTCCCAAAGCTGCACCCCGGCAAGCACGTGCGGTCACCAAAAAGCCGACAAACTATGCATTGTTGAGTGACTCTGAGAGTGACAATGGAGATGACCTACTCGCTGATCTTGGCGATATGGTGAAAGGTCTACCAAGTAATCTCAACACCGATAGCGGTGCTGAAGCGCGTGCCCTGTTCTCCAATTCCGTTTCTCGTCCAGGCAGCAGTCATGGTTATAAGCCAGCTCTTAAGCCAACAGCAAAAGCCTCGATGGATCTCTCGGATGATGAGACCGACTACAAGATGCTTGCTCCCCAACAGTCTCCGAGACGATCTATCATTGTGACAAATAAGGATGACACCAATTTTGTCCAGGATTCCGACGAAGACGAAGGCCCAACGAAGCTCGCGAAGATGCCTGTAACCAAGAAGACAAAGAAGATTGTCAGCGACGATAGCGAGAGCGATGTCCCTCCGCCTAAAGGAAATAAGAAGGGCCCTGCCAAAAAAGCAGTGAAGGATGAGCCAGCGAAAACAAAGAAGGCGGCGCCGAAGAAACCGGCGGCGACAAAGAAGGTGGAGCAATCTCCAGTCGCCAAGGCTTATGCTAAAAGACTTGCAAAGAAGAAAGTGGTGGATTCGGATGACGACATGGATGCTCTGGCAGATGATATTCTGAAGTCACCTTCAGCCTCCGAGTCGGACGAACCGGTTGCAAAGAAACCGGCGGCGAGGCCGGCCAGGCGAGCGGTGACTGCGAAGAAGCCGAGCGTCTACACTTTTGATGACGATGAGGACGATGAGGATACAGGTTTCCATGACGATGGTTCCTCGGCGGCATTTTCGGACGAGTGATTATACGACAAGGGCGACGGTTGGACAGATGAAGCACAAAGACAGTTGAGTGCGACATGGTTGGATGAGACATGAGATAGATGTGCATTTGGATATCGTTTTGGAGTTCTGTTTTGGCTGCAATCGCATGGAGCTGCTGTTGGCACAAGATATCGTTCCGTGGAGATGCCGTGTTTTCTTTGACGACTCGACGTCTGGCAAACTTCTGGATCTCTCAAGATGACAATGTGTAATAGTCCCAATGGTTTCGCCGAGCTCATTGTCTTTGTAGTTTCACCACAGTGCAAGCGTGTCGTGCACAGCCAGTATATGACAGTGTACGACAGCATGTTTGATGGTCAAAACGTTAGTTCCACTTTCGTCGGCAGCCGCTTGGACTGTTTTGTTTTCGACCGCCGTTGGTAAATTCCTGGGAGTGCCACAGCTCAACGCTTCTTCGAGCCTTCATCTCATCCATTCACGCCGTCGGCCCCGGTGCTGTTTCTTATCTGCCCTCTTCATTCTCCTCCAACATTTCCAGGCGATAGCCCATCATCATCAGGGCAACACCGTCGCCAGCCTTCACAAAAACTGCCTCTTTTTCATTGATTGCCAGAAGATCGCCGGGTTTCAAGTGTAACATTGAAGAACTGAGCCGTTTGCAGTCATCCTCATGGTGGATACCTTCACCATTTCCTGGAAATCCAAAGGGAAATTGGGGATGATGGCGCTGGGAGGCCAGGGATTTTAAAAGTTTAACCTCGAGCTTTTCCAAACTTGGCAATGCTTGGCAACTAATATATGAAGACAGCAAATACTCTATTTACCCGCATCGCTGTATGTACATATCGTACATGTCTCCACAGCCTGAATGAGATGTTTTCTCTTTTTACCTCGAAATGCATCACTCGCAGAGCGACCAAGATACCAATCCCAGAATATCTCTAGATCTTGACAAACCCGAGTTCCTCGCTGCTGGCAAATCAGGAATTGTTTGCGGGATTGACGAGGAAAGAATTCTGAAAGAATACTATGGCGAGGAGAACGATGCTGATATTGAGCGTCGCGCGTTTGTCCGCCTCGCCTCACATCCAAATATTGTGAGATATCTAGGCGCCACAGAGGAGGGTTCCATAGTCCTCGAACGCGGACAGCCCTTCGGACAGTGCATCAACAGACGAATGCAGATCAAATTCCGCTGTGCACAAGACTTCGCTGGTCAATGGACGCTGCAGAAGGAACGCGATATATGCATCAAAATGGGATAATTCATGCTGACCTTGGTTGTAACAACATGATCTTAGTCAGAGATTGTTTAAAAATCATCGATTTCGAATGTTGCAGCATTGACGGCGAAGAAGCTACATCGTGTTATGAGTGGTTCAGTTACCGACGATCAATACCGCCAATCAGTCAGAAGACCGAAATTTTCGCGTACGGCTGCTTGTTATACGAAATCATGACAGGCAGAACCCCGTACCATGAACTTGAAACACTGGACGATCGAAGACGCCTGGTCGAACAATGATATGCTAATGGCCAATTCCCGGAGGTCGATCATCTGCCGTTTGGCGCGATAATGCAGGGTTGCTGGCGTGGGAGTTTCTCTTCCATGGCTGAGGTGCTTCAGGCACTCGAAGCGGCCAGCTCAGTAACTGCTGGCCAAGCCGATGACAAATGGGAACCCCTTGGACGACTGGGCTCGGTGTTGAAACCTCTTCGTGTCTGCTGGAGAAGAATCTGGTCATACTGGCGATCAAGGATCTTGGACATCTTGTTGAGCTATTGGAAATAAACGTGTCACTTGCACTCTTGGGGGGGCCCGGTGTATGGGTTCACCCCGAGAGCAAGATACAGGGGTCTGGGCAAGGGCCGTGAAGTGGCAGAAGGTGTTTTGCGAAAGGAAATAAATCGATCAGGGAACTCGAAACGGTGACCTGTTCTGCAAGACCGGAAGACTGAGGACATCAACAGCAGACTGGTCGCTGCCACAAACAAGCGGTGCAGCTAAGGCAACTCTCTCGACAATGCCCAGTGGCCTCTCCAACCAGACTCAATCGCCCAGTACTACCCGGTACCAATGACAAGCACGCGGGAGAGATTCAGATGTCGTCAGGGACAGAGAGGGGTCCACGCCGCAGAGATTCTTAGTGGGGGAACTCTTGCTCAAAGAGGCGTACCCAGCAAGTACTTTAAGAGCCTCGAGAGTCAGGTTTGCCTAAAGGTTGTCTTTACATTTGCCAGGGGTGGGCAGACAAGTATATCGAACGCCTTAGCGCCACGAATGCAAAGCCGGCGAACGAGGTACCATCCATGACAGGAATACGCATAGCAGGGGAGTATGATAGCATAGGAGGGCGGAGAAGAGGCGTATTAGGAAAGCAAGAGAAAGAGATTGCGAGGCGTGGAAGTGAAGTCCGGATCGACCAAGGAAACCTCCCGATTCCCAGTTTGGGATCCTTTCGGCTACAAGAGGACTAGCAGCTGTACGAAGGCTGTGTGCCCCTTCATGGCCGCGACCTGGTGACTGCATCCCTAGGGCGATGGGCTCTGTATCTCCCGTGCATCTCCTGACGCAAGAATTTCTTTGTTCTGTTCTATGACCATCGCAAGGCTGACCATCCAGTGGGTCGACTGTGCTACCCGTCAATGCAAGGTACCGGCGGCGGAGAAGGGAGCAAGGTCAACGTCTGGATGGCCAGACCAGCGACTTTCTTGATGGCTGTTAATTCCTCGGATGGAAGGTTCTGATTTGGCCGACAATTCGCAGCTGTGTTTGCGATCCAGGCTTACTCCCAATCGAACAACGTGGCTCGAGGCATCTGGAGAATGGTCTGCAGGTATTGCGAACCCGGCCTCGCCCCTCTGGAAAGAGTCTCCTACCTCAACTGATGTCTGGCTTTATCTCAATGCTAACCATTGTCGATCTACGGTTTCAGCCATTTACCATAATATGCTAGGAGCTCGGCTTGCAGTTGACCTAGTCGTGCGGGCAGGCGCAACATCGATGAACTGAGCTTCAGAGTTCTAGTCTTTCAGGGGACTTGAGCCTCGCCTCTGCGCCATTCCGAACCCTCAAGGACGAACTCCTACACCGCTCATCTGGCGTGCCAGCCAAATTCACTACCGTGGGTACTTTGATTCGTCAAGAAGGACGATCATGGGGAGACCGCCTCGTCTACCACATGGCCTAGACTGGCTGCCTGCCTCAGTCATTGCATGCGTCCAAGGACATGCTCACCTGCTCCTTTCTTTGTATCTCAAAGTGGAACTGAAACGGGATACAACCATTACATGGCGATTTGTGCGGGTTATAAGATTCCAAGCTTTGTTGTGGCGTCTTTTTAAGGCTGTTGTTTGCCATTTGCTGTGCCATCAAGCAGAATCTTTGTGCCAGCAGATATATCAAACCATCCTTGCGAGTATCAATCTTTCCACCACCCCGTATCTCTTTTTCCATTCACGGTGAATACTTGTCTCGGCATGGCTGCGATACATTCTCTTCTCAACCCGGTCAACGACGGAGAAAACTACGACAGTACCAACGACAGCCGGGACGAGGTGTCTGCCCACGACAGCCAAGCCTCAGTAGCATCTGACACGGTTGGAAATGGACCGGACAAACGCATTCGAAAGAAGCAGAAGATGTGCAAAGACGCTGCAGTCTTCAAGCCGGGGGTTATCAAGGGGGAGTGTCGATACCCACCCGACGAGTATCAAGACGAGCTGCTTGAGGCCAAACATCAGATGTACGAAGTCTACCCGATGGGTGACATAGCAACATACCCACGACACATCCCCTACAACAGTGAGAAGAAGTTGTTTTGGGACAAGACAGGCCGGGAGAGCTTTGAAGGTACGTCCCCAGGGGCACTTGATACATATTGTCCATCTAACCTTGTCTAGTATTCCAATATCAGTTCAAGATACCAGGAGAGTCAAACACATACACAATGCTGTGGGACTACAACATTGGCCTAGTCCGTACCACGCCATTGTTCAAGTGCGGAAACTATTCAAAGGTGTGCAGTGGACCAAGTGATGTACGTCTGAGCTGACCGTATGCCTGCAGACAACACCCGCGAAGATGCTGAGCAGGAATCCCGGATTGAAAGAACTCTGCCACAGTATCACTGGAGGAGCTCTTGTTGCACAAGGTAGGCACCATCCGTACGATTTGTGGCGGAGATTGAGGTTGACATGATGTCTAGGCTACTGGATTCCCTTCGATGCGGCCAAGGCAATGGCTGCCACCTTTTGCTGGAACATTCGCTATGCACTGACGCCGGTGTTTGGAAAGGACTTCCCCAAGATCTGTCTGTCTCCTGACGCAGAGAACTTTGGCTCCATGCAGATTGATCCAGAGATCACCAAACGCTGTGCTCTACAAGTTCGACAATACCGTGAACTTGAGAGCTTGATCACAACTGGACCATCATCGGGCATGTCCAGTCCTCAGACACCGCAGACGCCTCAAGTTCGTCCTCAACTCAGAATGATCTTGCCCAAGCCATATAAAGAGACTGATACCACGAGTGACTACTCGACGGACACGAGTCGTGAGGACAAGTATGAATTGTCTTCTCCCTCACCGCAAATTGCTTTTACCAACCCTTGGTCTGCGGTCAACACTCCTCGTTCTCCTTCGCCCAAAATCTCTTTCAATAATCCATGGTCGCCATCTAGCACTACTCGGTCGTCTTCGCCGTACGGGACATCTCGCAAAGGTCGGCTGGCTGCCAATATCCCGAGATCGCATCCCCCTCTTGACCTGTTGCCACCTCCTCGGAGGCCGTTGTTCTCCAACAATATACCAAGTGGTGTCGGGGCAGAAGATTCGGCTCTCGATATGTCACCCAGATCGGCTGTGCAAGCCATGGATGTTGATGAAGACTATGATGGAGGTTCAGATGACTCTGATGATGCAAAGGAGAAGAACACTGTGATGGCAAGGAAGAAGTCCTCAAGGGGATTTACTGACACCAAGGCTGCCTATGTGTTGATGAAGCTGAAGACGCAGGGAGAGGTATTCCAGGCAAAAGAGAAGTGCTTGAAGCGTCGAGCTTCTGCGTAAGAGGACACCGTTTATGAGATGGAGACCGTGGCCTATTGCTGAGATGACTGATGGCTTGGAGGGAATTTTCCTGCTACTTATATTTGCATCCACAACGGCCGTTGCATTTTTCGCTGTTTTTGTTCTTACTGATGTGATTTTGGTGGGTGCCTTCCTTCCAATGTTGCTGGCTGCCCCAGGTTTGAGTCAATCACATTCTCTTCACTTTATCTTTTCGCTTCTTACGCCCTCTCTTTTCACTCACTACATTCACTAGTTGATTGTCTTTATCTCTACCACAGCTCTTCAGCGTTGTCCTGCAAAGGAGAGCTGGGTCTCTCTACGACCTTGTGCTTGTGCTTTTATCACTCACTCATCGAGCTGTAGCACCACCTCCGGAACCCCCTACCTACATGCACGATGTCCGCTGCAAATTCACGAAACAAACTCTACACTTGCCGATACTGGGCTCTCGGGCCTCGGTGCCCAAATGTCGATGCATTTGGTGCGCTCGTCTGCGAGTTCGCTCACTGGGACACTGGTCGGTTGGCCAGCTCAGTTCAGCAAAGAGGGACCTGCCTACCTTGGAAGCATTTTGGATTCTGCGGGCGAGGAGGTGGCTGTTGGTATGAGCATCAAGAGACAGGGGTTACGGGTCTTTATCAAGGCAGTATGGCTACTACGAGGGGAAATAAAACAGGGCTAACAGTATGCAGCTGTCGAACTGGCGGGCTTCGAGCTCCAAGTTGCAGATGCTGCCACCAAGGCTGGGTTCAACACGTTCAACCATGAAGCCCTGTTCAATCTCATCTGGGCTGTCAAGAGACTGGCCTTGCAGGCGGGAACTTTCCATTCTAGCCGGAGTCGTCTACTCAACGATCCCATATACCCTGACAGGTATCGTCCCAGGGATGTAGATGGCAACACAAAGGGAAAAAGAAGTGCAGTCACCATACAAACCCCGGCCAACCATACCGTCGAGTTGAAATTCCACCCTGTCCAGCCTCTGATGAGAAAGAGGCCTTTGCAGGACTTGAAGGCAGAAAACCTGATTGACTTGACCTTTTCAGACGATGAACTCGAGGGCACAGACTCGCACAACGCCACATTCAAGCGTCAGAAAATAGCCAACAGGAGCAATTTCCGACTTGGATTCCCCAACGCCATTCATCGGAAAATTATGCCTTTCACTTCTGTCGGAATGTCCTCCAAGCCACCCTCTAAATCTACCCGCAAACGTGTCAACAACCCGGCCCGGGAGGCTGCAGCCGTTTCTTTCCCAATCTTGCCAAAGGCGCTTCTCCCAGCTGAAGACGAGATTCGCAAGCAACTCCTTTTAGTCAAGGCCAAGCTCGATGATGCCAGACGGAGCATGAATGCATGCCAAGGAACAATGAAGGCATTATTTGACTTGCATTATGAGAGATTTGATGAGGATAGGATGATGGACGCTCTTCAGAAGCTGAGCGGCTATATGAATAAGGTCTATGATGGCAGCAAAGATGGTGCAGAAGAGGCCGAGAAGGCTATTGGATTGCTCAGGGGACGTGAAGGATAACATTCTGTGAACGAGACAGCTTGTGGGACATCTGAAAGCAGCAATGGGTGATAGGCGTATGGGATTTCTACCTGCGACATGGGAACTGCAAGAGCAGAAAGGGTTCAGGACGAAATCGCCGCGAGGAGAACTCGTTGCGTGCGGGTGTGTAGGTGTAGGTGTTTAAGATCTTTTTTGGTAGCTGTGGACAAAGACTTGACATGGTGATTGATGGCAGAGAGATTCTTCATACGAGGCTGGCATTATGAAGCATTTGCGGGGCCAATTCTCGGCGTTGACGCTGCGCAGTTCATGGCTGTTGCTGGCGTTTGAGATCTTGACGCCACCATCTACCCTCGCAATCCCCAGTCTCATGTTGCCAGCCTCCAGCCTCCTGCCATCAGCCATATCGATCTCATGGAGACGAGAAACTCTGTCGCACTTCTCGACTGCTCCCGTATGACGGCTCCAGTGCGATAGCCAATGAATCAACGGGCGATTGAAGAGTGGCGAATCACCCCCATTGGGCGTGCGAGGGCAAGATACCGTCACACTTGCAATCACCGCTGGGCTCGTTGCGAATTGCGACCCGGGCCACCGCACTATACCGTACTTTGCACGGAAGAACATCATGCAGAGCGACTCAATCAAAAGAGGCTCTTCGACGTTGTCCCTTGAACACGCGGAAAGTCTCATGTCAAGATGGCCTGTGTTGACACCACCAGACTAGGGGAGGGTGGCAAGTGCTGTAAGTGATCTCGAAAGTACAGAGCACAGAAGAGTGAAGAAATTCACGTGGTACCGTGACGGCAATGAGGGAACATATGCATTCTGCCGCACCGTGGTAAACATCGAGATCAGATCAAGTTTTTCGACAATCGGGACTTCACGTCTGCGATATTCACCTCCCACACAAAATCTTCACGTTCGTCGGATCGCTTTGGTCACCTGGACAATATTGCCCTTTTCACGCGCTGCAACGAGGACAAGTCATACCGACAAGATTCTCATTCATTGCCTGAATCAAAGACTACGACTATGTTCAGCCGCAAGCACGTTGTCCTGTCGCAAGCACACTCCTTCCAGTAGCGACACCGTCACTATCAGAGTCAGCGCAGCTTCATCGATTTCATCCTCTCAGAGTCGACGACAGTGATCACCCATCGACGCTGCGACAATGGCGACTCAACAGAACGACAACAATGGACAAACTAGTCTGGCGATCTCCCCTTCCCTCATCGTCGGCATAGTCATTCTCGCCTCGTTTGCGTGCACCATCATTTTCGCCAGTATTTTCCGCTACTGCCGTCGCGGTCAGTCCGCTTTGATCGATCCTGAGTCCATGGACGAAACAGGCGGGACCGATCACTACAATCCCAACAAACAACGATCGGCAGCGCAGGTTGCGAGGTTGAGAGAGGTCCGATGGATCAATAATATGTACGCGTGGGAAAGAGGCCGGCAGGCACGGATGGCTATTGGAGAGATCAGACCGACCACCATGCTGATGGGACGGAAGGGAGAGAACAAGAACTGGGACGAGTATAGCATCGCAGGGGACAATTCGTGGCAGAACGTGAGTAGCGTCGTCAATTATCGTGCCCCGTCATTTGAGAACGTGCCAGGAACATCATACTAACATCAACATGATATTAGGATATGGGCACGAGCAACGCTAAGGGTGGATGCTCCCATGCTTCGTATTTCTACAACGTCGAGGATCCCTACGCACGATCTAATTCGCAGCAACGTCTCAGTCACCTCGCCCCTCCCACAGACCAGTTCCGGAACTCTTACCAGTCCACCTGCAGCGGCAATGGATATCTTCCTCGTTACCCGTCTGCACTCCTTCCACCCTCTGTTAATGGTCGACGTGATGCACTGCTCCCCGGAACAGTAGCTCAGAAAAGCCCATTGAGGAACGAGTATCAATTCGAAGGCCATGAGCAAGATCCAAGTGCGACTTTTAGCCCTGGACCACCTCTCATGCACAATATGGGGGAAGATATTGCTATGCATCACTTTGACGGTCTTCAAAGTCCCTCTGTCAATCCCAAAATCACAGTCAGCGACGAAAGCCAGGCCACTGCATACATGCGATCTCCACCAGCGCTAGCATACGATCACAATTTCGAGACTGTCACGCTCGATGGCAATGCTGAGATTGCTACGGACAAATGGAACGCGGACACGAATCAACGCAGTAATTTGAGCCCAAGCCCAGAGATTAGAGATCATAGCCCCTCGGTGATTGTAACAAACGACGAGCCGTATCCCCAACTCCAACTCCAGTTCTTGCCACAGTCTGTCTCCCAGCAATCAGTCAGTGTGTATGATGATGGAGAGGTTAGAAAATGCAATGGATCGAGTGAGAGTCTGGTGATGCATTCTTCGGGAAGGGAAAGTCTACAGAACAACGAACGGTGCGAGGAGAATGAGAGGAACGCAAACGGCCACAACGAGATCCGGAGAGAAAATGTCAAAGGCATGATCCAGGAGTGGGAGAGGGCGAATGGAAGCTTTGGCAGGAGTCACTGACTGCCGCCGCATAGTACATGGGGTAGTCGAAATGTTCTGCTGATAGGTAGGGAGTGTCCACTAAGAAGTCGATCAGAATCTCGGAGAGACATGGGCTCGACACAAACCCGTCTGGGAACAGAATGGATGTGCGACAGGTTAAGCTACACACTGAAGGTGCCTTTGGATATCAACGACAAGCATTTCTGGCTGGAAAGAGTATTTGCTGTGCTCAGTGGAACAAGATGCAGAATAAGGCTGTGGCCCCTGAAATACAAGAACTCGCAACCGTCTCCGACTTCTTCGCCCTCCACTAACAAGTGCTTGCCTGACTGATCTTATTTGCTTTTGGAATCTTTTCTCTCACAGCCTCCCTTCGGTGTCGTTGTTCATTTCTCTATCCGCTGGTCGAACCAAACTACGTCCAAAACCCTTGTTTTGAAGACCCTGTGGATTTGCCTTTTGAGGCGTTTCTGGTTGAGGACCTTTCAACCCCACCCTCGTAGTCTCTTCGAGAGGACTTAAACATCTATCCTACTGTGAGCAGCCTGTAAGATATAAGAAGGTTCTGTTTGTCCAGCGACGACCTTGGTGTCCTTCATCTATGTAGGTTGGTATCCTACGTTGCTTCCCACAAATATTCGATTTGCGAGGCGCTCAGACTTCCTCACATCCTTTCTCGGATAAATACGGTACCTACTCCAAGTACTCTCCTCCACCGCATTTCAAGATGCGATTCTCCTTTCACGTCGTCGCCCTTGGGCTTGTCACCTTGCTCTCGTTGGTCAGGGCGGCCCCCTTCAGTGCCGTGTCCGTGGTACAGGCCATTGGTCGATTCACGACCATCACGGCCTCGGTCTTCGCCGAGCCGACAAGCGTGTCGAGCTCGACGGTGGGGTGTGTGGCGGACACCGGTACTCGTCATGCAGAGCCAACGGTAACGCTGGTCGCAAGGGAGGAGAGCGCCACACATACGCCCAGCCCTGTGTTGGATGAGGAATCCAGCCCTCATCCGCTTGGGCGTCCGGACCTGGTCGTTCCCACATTGGTAACGGCGACGTCCACGGCGCCTGCGGAGGACGTGGCTCCCACTTCCTTCAGCTGGTGCAGCCGGTGCGGTCTTGGTCCTGTGATGATGAGTGCTGCGGTGCCAACTTCTTTGGCAACAACCTCGGTGTCGGCACAGGAAACCTACACGGACGCACTTGGCGAGCACCATGTCGACGAGGTCTTCCCGAGCCACAGCGACAACCACAGTAAGTCAGATCGAACTATCCACCAGATCAGGAAAGCTCACTAGTGGCAGCGTTCGCCATCAGAGACGTCGCCGCACAGATGTCATATTCGAAAGGGCCGCCAGACGAGGGCGTCCGACGGTGTCCACACGGTCAACACGCGGTGCTGAAGCCAGGCCAGGGCGAGTTCAAGTCCAACGGTTGCGGGATCGGCCTCTTTGCAGATCCTCCTCCTGGAAGTGGAAAGTTTGGACAGTGCTGCATCGAGCATGGCAAGTGTGTTGATAAGTATTTGCCCCAAACCTCCATGACTGCCTTTTGTCCCTCAGACTGCTGACCGGTGTCTTCCCTCTGCGTTCCTCTCCCTGTAGCCGAGTGTCCCACCGATGAACTCCGTACATGCAATGATGCACTTCTAAAGTGCATGAACGATGTGTGCGACCACCAAGGTGGCGTCCTTGGGTGGCTGTTGAAGGGGTGGTGTACGGTTCAGAGGGATGTCTACGATGGGTCGGTTCGGGGTCCGGGGTCGAGGGACCATTTCATGGAGGTGTCACGGGACAGGTGCAGATGTGTTGACGACGGTACTTAGGTATCTGGCTCGCTGGGTAGTTGAGTGTTGAAAGAGTGAGTGGAAGTAGGTAGGATTAATATGCGGTGTGGCTTTACATTGTACCAAGTCTCTCGTGGAGAAGATCATCAGTCTTCGCCGGGAATCGTCCGCATGCTCTACATATTTCCCCGCCACGGCTCACCACAATTTCCAATTACATTACTGAACTTATCCAGCCATGCTCACCTACAGGTGAGACACATACCTTGGACCTCGACCGGATATCTACGTCTGTTCTTCTCGACTCTTGCAAATCACTCCAGTCGACCAGCCTGCTGAAAACACAGGTGGCCCAAACATCCGCGCTTGCTACGCCCGCGGGATTCTTCCTCATGTCAGGCCACGTCCCAACGCTACCCCGGGCAGCCTGCGGCTCCTGTCACGCACGGAAGATAAAATGCGATCGCCGTCCCGGAACCTGCAGCGCCTGCTCAAAGATTCGAATCCCCTGCCGATATCCCCCGACCGAGCAGCTCATGAGACGTCGCATGCCGAGGGGGCCCTACAAGAAGAGGAAATCACGGCGAGAGAGAGAATCGGAAGATCTGGTCAAGACGATGGCAGAGGGATGCACAGAGTTGGGAGGGGACGATGTCGCGGGTGCTGGCCCGAGCTCTCCGACTTGTCCTGCGGCCTCGTCAGGCTTCGCAGATAATGCGCAGGAACGTCGATATGAAGACCAGGGAACGTCGAGTCAGAGTTCTAGGGTCGCGTCCACATGCTCTGGGTTCGCCGACAAGACGCCTGAAATCTCTGGTCATCTGAGCGAAAGAGGTAGCAGCTTCTCAGCTTTAAACTTCGCGACTAATGTTGATCTATCGGTGGGGGCTTCGATACCCTCGGATCTGCTCTCCGCAGAGCCAGTGAACTCTTGGTCGCTCTGGTCTCAAGTCCTCGAGCTGTGGGCTGTCTACAGAAGCCACATTGACCCCGTCGTTAAGCTAATCCATTGTCCGTCCTTTTCAGAACACATTCTCCGTGCAGCATCCGACTCTTCGGCGGCCGATTGTAGCCTGCGGGCGCTTGTTTTCAGCATTTGCTATGCTGCGGTCGATGTTCTTTCCCCGGGCGAGATCGAGACTCGATTCCGGCAGAAAAAGGCCGTTCTCGCGTCTCTGTACATGCAGAGGATGCATCAAGCCTTGGAAGAGGCGGCATCCCTCCACAGGTCCTCTTTATATGTCCTGCAAGCCCTTGTTCTTCACACAGTAAGTCTGCAAGCTTGGTGAACTTATTCAGCTCAAAGTTTATGTTTAGATCTGCCTTTTGCGGCGGTCTGGGGACGATGTGCGAGTGGGCACGGCTCTGCTTGGTCGGGCCGTCTCAGAAGCGCGGCTCTTGCTCCCACAGAGTGGTGACAGCCGCCACGACGACCTATCTCTTCTTGAGATGCAGCTCTGGCGTCGCTGTTGGTGGACGCTATACGTGCTCGATTACCACAGGGCACTAAAACACGGCCATGCTCCAAGCACCATCTTCCGCTCCCAGCAGGTTGCGCTACCGTTGAACCTGAATGACATCGACCTAAACCCCACTATGCGACAGCTTCCGGTCCCCAGGAAATCAGTCACTGAGATGTCCTATTTGCATCTTGTCGTTGAATTGACTAGGCTTGACGCTAAATTGCGATATTTCAAGACCGATGAGCCGGGATCCAACCATCACAAAACCCTCGGATCCATTATCAACGAACAGGTGCGAGAGGTGGAAGTTAATATCATATGGCGTTGCGAGACTTCTCGCCCGTTTGACTGGCTCATGTTATTAACTGCGAAAGCAATGCTGGTATGAGTGAATCTGCAAAACCTGGCCTTTATATACGTTCTAATGCCAATGTCCAGAATCCGATCGAGATTAAGCTGCTTGAATTGGGACAAGAGACTTATACAATCGACAAGTCTCTCAGCTGTGCCGCCCGGGCCGATCTCTCTGAGAGGACTTTCTCACTCGGCCTTGACGTGGTGGAGTGCTGGTACATTCTGAAAACTAACCCAGATCTCACCTCGTGGAGTTGGTACACTGACACTTTCGGCCGCAAATACGATGCGGGTTACATCAAATCAGAACTGGCTCGTCGACCAGAGTCAGAGCAACGGGCACGCGCCGAGATACTGCTCGAGCTTGAGTGCAACGGGAGAGGCTACGCATGAAGGACCTGGTAGGATTCGGCTGCGTTAGTCAAGGACGAGAATAATGTCCTTATGGGATGCGCACGAGTGGTCAGCGCCCATGGATTGAATGAGACGAGCTATCAGCGCTGCGGACTCGAAAGGTCGACTCATTCTAGCTGCGTGATTGCCCAGCATTTGGAAGAGCCAGAGAGATTTATAACACCCTCGTCACGCCTCACGTTTCGTGCCATCTCCAACGCGTCTGTCTTGGCATTTTTGTATCTGTGCAGACTCTACACTAGAAACACGGCTCCGGCTCAGCCATCGCTCCGAGAATGCTTGAGATGTTGACTCAGGTCTACAATTATGGATGCTGCGCCTCGATACAGCTACTTGTAGGTTCCGCCATACCCCGGACCTTCTGGAATTCGGCACCGAATTTTGAGGGGTTGGGACTAGCCTCGATTCGATTCGATCCAACTCGATTCGGCAGCGCATAATTATCCGACCAGTATCGATGTGATGTCGTAGTCTTGGAGGGTGGACGTACAAAGAAACAATGCACCGTCAGTGGTATTTGCCGCGAAAGGGAGCCGGGCACATTCATTAGGGAGACCAGCTAGCTGGTTCAGGAAGAGCAAAGGATCGATTTCATAGCTACCCGTACCCGTACCCGTACTCGTAACAATACAAGCAACAGGTGACAGGTGACTGGCGGACGAGACTGATGATCTCCTGCTGGGGAGTTTCTCCACTTTTCATACTCCGTGGGCCAAATGAGGATCCAGTGGAAGAGATATGAACCTAACCCGTTACGGATTGTTCTTACCAGACACACACACCCACACACACACAACACATCAAAGACCCCGCTTTTCGTCTGCCATCATGTCTCGTCCCAACTCCCAACGGCCTCTAAGGAGAGTCCAAGGTCGCGTGGAAGGGGATTTGTTATTACCCCTACTCAGTCTCTGACCGAGAGATTCACGTGCAGAATGCGTAGCTAGCTTGCTACCTTGCTACCTAGCAGGTCAGAGGGGTCACCAGTGTATAAGACGATACTACCACCTTCCACGTCTCCAGCACAAACACTCGAGGAAGGAATCCTGAAGTCACGAGATGAAAAAATGACCATTCTGGGAAAAGACTCCAAGATCCTCATTGCGGGCGCCGGACCCTCGGGTCTCGCGCTGGCACAGATGCTTCGCAAGGAAGGGATCAACTTTGAGATTTTCGAGCGCGATGTGTCGAGACCTCAGGGTTGGTCCGTGGGGCTTGATAAGTGGGTTATACCAATTCTTTTTTTTTTTTTCTTTCCGGTTCGCGGGTGAGTTAGGTCTGATGTAATCTGATGCCTCGTGAATGTGAATAGATGTCTGGACGAGCTGGAGCGACTCCTCCCTGGGGACATTGGCGGGTTCGCCACGCTGAGTCCAAACTACGCGCTCAAGAGACTCGACTCGTTCGCCGTCATGGACGGGGCCACGCACCGGGTCGTCGGGGTGACGGGGTCAAAAAGCCTCGAGGAGCACGGCAGCAGGATGTTCTTCTGTCCGCGCGAGAAGATCCGGAACCTCTTGACGCCGCACACGAACCTCCAGACGGACAAGCACGTGACCGGCTACAGCGACGACGCGGACGGCGTGACCCTGCGCTTTAAAGACGGCACCACCGCCCGAGGCGCGCTGCTCGTCGCCGCCGACGGGGCCCGGTCCACGGTGCGAAGACAGCTGCTGGAGCGCAGCCCGCTGATCCCGACCAACTTTGTCGTGATCCACGGCGTGGTCCGGCTCAGCCAGGACCAGTGGCGACCCATCCTCGAACACTCGTCGTGTGGCATCCTGCTCGGGACCGACACGTGCAAGTTCTACTTTCTGCTCATCGAGCACTGCGACGGCCATGGCGATGGCAATGGCGATGCCCTGTTCAACTGGAACGTGTCGTACCGCAGCGACGACGTCGCAGTCGACGACACCTGGGCGTCCTCGGCCACGGCGGAACAGCTCCTCCAGAAGGCGCTGGCGGTGATCAAGAACTTTCCACCCTTCCTGGTCGACGGGATCCGACGCACGCCGCTCGAGGGGATCCAGCGCCCGCCGATCGGGTTGGTCGAGACGGTCCTCCCTGATCAGCTCCTGCCTCGCGGCAACGTCACGTTGATGGGCGACGCTGCGCATTCAATGGTATATCTTTCCACCCTCACCCTCACCCTTACCCACATTGTTCAGTTTCCTTGAACCACCACACACACTCATACACACATCCCTATGTACACACAGGACGCCCCTCTCCCTCCTCTTCCCTTTCCCCCTCTTTGAGTACGCTTTCACAGGCACTACTTCTTCCCCTTCCAACCCCCCCCCCGCCCTCCCCTTTTTTTTCCCTTTTTTCTTTACTTAGTTTGTCTACTGACCAAGACCTCACCCAGCTCCCCTTCCGCGGCATGGGCGCCAACACGGCCCTCCTTGACGCATGTGACCTGGCCAAGGCCATCATCCACGGCGTCCGCACCGCGAGCTCGGTCGACTCGGTCCTCCAGGCGTATGAGAGGGTTATGGTCCCGCGGGGACGGGAGCATGTTTTGGCATCGCATGCTGTGGGGGAGGGGGCGGTGGCGAGTGAGTTGGCGGGGGGTCGTCTGGAAGAGGGTTCGGCATAGGAGACGAGAGAGACGAGAGAGACGAGAGAGACGTGAGAGAGGTTATCAGGAAGAGGCTAGGATGAAGGGAGGGAAAATAGGGGGAGTGTATTTCCCATAATGAATACTGTAGATATTTTCAAGGTTTGATCCTTTAATGAGATAGCCTAGATCTGGGAACTCGACTTCTTCTCTCATTTCTTCTCATCATGATTCCTAGTTCTAATGACCCGGGTACACTCCCTCAACTTGAAAGTGACAGATCACTTTGCATGCGTGATGCCGTGTCTCAAAGTCCCAATCCCGCCAAAGTATATCTCGACCGCGTCCCCCTCCTTAAGGAACCGGGGCGGTTTCATCGAAAACCCCACCCCGCCGGGCGTGCCGGTGAGGACGATGCTCCCCGCGTGGAGGGTCGACCCGCGGCTGAGGAACTCGACCAGGGCGGGGATCTTGAAGTGCAGCTCCGCCGTGGTGCTCTGCTGGCGCAGCTCGCCGTTGACTTTTGTGCGCAGGGCGAGGGCGTGGGGATCCTTGAGGATCTGGGTCCAAGCGGGTCAGGTTGTCGGTTCCAGGTCGGTTTTGTCAGGCAGAAGGCAGAGGAGATGGAGAGTGGACCGGAGGGGAGGGGATTGCACTTACGTCTGCAGACACAATGCAAGGTCCAACGGGGCAGAAGCCGTCGAAGCTCTTCCCGTACGTCATTTGAGGGGGTGGGAATGTGCCTACGAGGTTTGGATCCATGGCCCATTTCCTGGAGAGATCGAGAACATGTCAGACCAGATCCAGACTCACTTGGGTTGGGTTGGTGGGACACACGACGGCGTCACAAACTGGACGACAAGGGGGCAACGAACCTCGCAGAGACATCATTCGCACACGTGTAGCCGAGGACAAAATCCATGGCGTCCTCCTGCGAGACGTTCTTCGCGTCTTTGGCAATCACAAACGCCAGCTCGCCCTCGTAGTCGGCCTGGTCGTCTTGGATGAAGGTCGCGAGCTCGACGTCGTCCCCGTACCCGGCCAGCGCGTTGGACGTCTTTGAGAACATGGCCGGATACTTGAGGGGTTCGACTCCGATTTCGCGCACTGTGTCACCCCAAATCAGTATGAGATCTGTCTCTGTATCAGGGGTCGGGCCTTGTGAGCTAGCAGTGGCCCTGAGCGAGGATTGTCTTCTCCGTACGGTGACTGACGTAGTTCCCTCCAATGCATCGGATGCTGGGAACCATCTTGTACGTCAATGGACCCAGCAGCTTTTTCACGCGGAGCACCCGGTCCGTGACCTGGCAGGTCGGAAGCAATGGGTCGCCCGTGACGACCCTCGCGGTCAAGGACGCATGGTTTGCCGGATCGCCAATGTCGAAATCCGCGGTCGGCACGATTGCGTCGCCAAAGTAGATCTGGTCGTCGCCGTCCTCGGCGCTGATGAATCGTATCAATCTTGTCCAGGGGACCTTCGAGGGTGCTGCCATGGCTGAGTTACAAGTATCGCCATGGTGGAAGACATGGGTAAAGGGAGGAAATGTCTCCATATTTGTGTCAGGAGAGCTCTTCCACCTTTGCGCTTACGCGGGATCCTCCGCATTTGCCGCGGAGTAAGAAGCATGAGTGCACATAGCATATGGCCTCCCTCTGGTAATTGTTCCGGGTCATGATTCCCATACCCCAGAAAAACCGACACGGTAGGTTTGACATGGATCCTCCCGGCGCCATGTGTGATCCTTGCTGTGTTCTTGGAGGGGAATGGTTTTGCTTAGTTACAGAGACCGCTCAACCACATTGCCAACCGCCATAGCATGCTGGCAACGTGGCCGACAAGGAAACAGTCAGAAAGATCATATGTCTCCAGGAGAGACCTCCAGTCCACAGCGGTTTCTGATGTTTTCCTGGTTAGGGTAATGCAGACCTCCTCGCCAGACTCGCTACGTCTTTGCGATCCACACGTTGATTTCGGCCCCGAATTCTGCGTTCGGAAACAGAGGAGAGGACGAAGCGAATCCGGTGCACATAGCCTAATGTAGACTTCTATAACGTTAGTTTGGTTACTGGCCTGACCATATCTAGTGCGAGAAAGCGAATGCCCGGATGGTTTTGGTCTCTACCGTGCTCGGATGTTGACGTCGGAGGATGCTGAGGGTCCTCATAACTCGGAACGTAAAGTATCCCCTGGCGGGTCGGGACTAGAATCGCCCCGAGTAGACAAGGCAAGGGAAGGAAAACCAAGATTGGTTGAGTGTTGTTACAGCAGTGTGCAACTTCTGGCAATCTTCGTGTTGTAACATGGTAATATGACAATGTCAAATGTGAAATGCAACGATCCTCATTCAGTAGATCGAGTTCTGGTCTGCGCGGCAAACAACTGAGTATGGCACCAGCACACGATACTAATCCACCATGTCAAGGCCTTGCACCTACCATTGTGGGAAATGCACGAGGCCCAATCTCGATACGCCGCTTGATCGACGCGTGATCCTCTCCCGATTCCACCCGCCTCTTCAGGTCCTCAGGGTCAAAGTCCGTCCCCACGGGGTTCTCCATGAAATTGACCGATGAGATGAACCGATGCTGCTCCTCAAGATCGTCAAAGTTGTCCACTTGAGACTCGAGCTTGTTCCCGTCGGGATCCACGTAGTACATGCTTGTGGTCGGGCCATGGTTCACACACCACATAGGTTCGATACCCAAGACCTTGCGCTGCTCCCACACCTTGACGAGGTCGCTCAGATCGTGGAACGTGAACGCGATGTGCTCGAGGCCGGGTGCAGAAGGTCCCCCGCCCGACATGCCGTCGAAGGTTATGATCCCCAGCCGGTGATGTTCTTCATCATACTTCAGAAAGCAGGCGCGGTCATTTTCGAACTCGACCTGGGCGCCGAGGAACTTTTTGTAGAAGTCGACCATTTCCGTGAGGCGCGTAGTTCGGAGGACAACGTGGGCAAGTTTCCACGGGCTAATCACGTCATACTGTTTCTTTTCCGTAGCCATTGTGCTCAACTCGACCGTGGGAGAGGACGTTATGTTCAAAGTCCGATTTCGAAGAACGAGTGGTTTCTTGTGGGACTGCGACTCTGCAGCAGAGGAGACGATGAGTACACTGGGACTGAGGAGAGCAGGGTTTTTAGATCCCGACTCAGTTGATTCCTCCTTGCAATTTTTGAAGCCTCGGGCAACAAGGAGCGAGTCCTCCAATCCTTCTGGACGGTGGCATTGATTGCGTGCTCTGAACTGTCAGAGTTCTTCCAATCTCGATCACACGACTCACTGATATTCGGAACCGAAATTTCGAGTCCAGAGAATCTAGTATGAGCCATGTCAAAGTATAGTGGCGGTCAAGCCCAAATGGAAATATGCAAGTTTGGAGGGAAAGTCGGGGGAATAATGCATGATACTTAGCATTCGGCTCCGAATGTTATTTAGACCGACTGACATGTACTCATTTGATCAATACCGGCGCCTGTCATGGCTTCGCTTGTGTCCGCGGTGGAACGGAGTTGTTGTTACCTCGTACTTTGGACGCGGATGTTGTAGTTAGGCAATGAGCATAGGAACCCTGACCGCCCTTACCGCAAATGGCTAGAGACTACAAGGGTCTTGGCAATCATCCAACCTCGGTTCCTCTCGTGGGCCTCAGACTTGGCGAATATTGGCGAATCTTGGCTGCGGCGTGGCACTGCGTCATAAGGGTCTTGCTCCTCATTCCCCACAACGGCTTTTTGGCGAAATATGACGTGCGACAAACGTTCAGAGGGAACAAACAGTCTGTGTGCCCTGAAGGAAGTTCAGCCTTGCGTACTGACTACCTAGGCTCCTAGGGACGGATGTCAGCAATGGTACAGTACAATAGAACGGTCGATTCAACAGGCAACGTCCTTTGCAGCCAAGTTTCGACTACGAGACAGAAGAGGGCAGCAAGGAGCAATATATGTAAAAAGACCACTTCAGGTCAAACATCAATAGCTGTATTCTTTTCATCCTCATCACTGTGCAAAAATACCAGGTATAGGACAGTGGCCAAGCCAGTATCATCAAGCTCGTATCGACATCCAATGGCTCCTGTCCCGTCCTTGTTCTGTCCCGTCCACTACAGTAGCATTATATCAACCAAATCACCACAAATACCCATGTGCATATGCAACCCTTCCCCAACGCCGTCGCTCAGTGGTATATGCATAAATTCTCATTCAAAAGAAATCAGACCCTAACACTCATAATCGTTTTTGCTCGCTGCCCAACGGGCATCCCATATAATCACAGAAAGTCACTCGAATATGCGAGATAGTTGCCCTGAAAGGGCCAACCCGGAATGAATATCTCATCGTAGCAGCCCACCAGCATCCGAGATACTCAAGTCGTCAGGCCCGCTGGGCCTTGCTGGTCGGATAGGTTCCTCGTCCTCCTGCTGTGAAGGTAACCGATTCCGATGGGAGGACTTTCTTTTCTCAAACCTCATCGGGGAACGAGCGGGACTGTTCATCCGTCTTGGTGATGCTGTCGACGCGGAACGGAGGTCGTCCTCTTCGCGTATCCGTAACGGTCGGGCTAACAGACCACCGATATCGGAAAGGAAGGCTTTCGAGCCCGACCGGACTCCATGCTGATGAGGTTGAGATAAGCGACGGGAGACTTCTTGGACCGATGCCTGGCGAGAGCGAGAGATCGGTGATTCACTGGGTGGGTGATCGACGAGGCCGCCGACGTCGAAGAATCCCATTCTGCTAGGCGTGTCGGTTTCTGTATACTCGTCACCACCTTGTGCCTCTGGTGGTCGCTCGAGTCGGACTTTCAAATCGCGTAATCTGATATCGGCTGTCGAGGTGCTGCTGAGGGTATCGAGAGAAGGCTTTTTGCGAGTACGAGATGCCTCTGCAAAGTTCCATCTCGACGCGAATGGAGTATCTCGATCTTGATCGCCCGTCTCGATCTTGACGTCGGCCGACTTTGGTGGGAGAGCCACAGCGGCGACTTCAGCCAAACGGGGCGTCTGTTCCATGTAAGTACCGTGCCGCAGAATTGCAGGTAATGCGACGCCGACACCCCTGGCGAGATCTTCATCAGAGCCCCAGTGGTGGTGAGTGGTAGATACAGTCCGAGTTCTCGTAGGTTGTCGGCCAAGTGAACTTGTGTCATCAATAGATGCCGCTCGAAATTTAGCCTTCTTCACACCTCTGTCACGGATAAAGCTGCCAATAACGATGGCATTTGATACTCCTGCGGCGGCTAGGATTTCCAGCGACGCCAATAGCGATCGGTACTGCTGTGACGAGCGTCGTGAGATGGTTGAAGGGACTCGGTAGGCGGTGATGGCGATGAGGATGGTGGACAGAAGGAAGAGGAGGACGAGCGAAATCTTTTTGCGGAGGCGCATCGAAGATTGCCAGACCAAGGGAATGGGAAACACGATCAGGACGACATCAGAGACAATATCACACACCCCCATGACGATCAGTTGTACCAGGCCCTCTCGACAATGGGAGCCCGGATCTGGGACGACCTGCCAATAGTGCGAAAAAGGTTGACATTCGGTCAGCGTGCCGATCACCACGGCAATGAAGGTAATGACCAGGAAGCCATAAATGAATCGGAGTCCGACTTCGTACGACTTGGCCCACGACCGTCCGATGAGGCGCTTGAGGAACTCGAGCACGGTGAGTTTAGCAATCCAGATATATGCCGCGTAGAATATACGAGCCGCCAGGACCAATCTGCTTCCAATCTCGCGGTGATGTATTTGCAAAGATGTCAGTCCTTCTGTTTTTGTGTTATTAGTTCCCCAGATTAACACGACATGGACCAGTCCCATGCGAATCATAAGAGGAATTATGCTGTAGAACATGATCCAGTCCTCCCGAAACAGTCTTTCGGTGCGCACCCATCGGCCGAGAACGCGGATCAAGATGGCTGTGAGGGAAAACAACGTGCACCACCAAGACACGATCAGAGTCGGGTTCGTCTCGATTCGCGACTGGTAATCGGGAGGGTCCTCGTGGTATATGCGACGTTCAAGGAATTCGATTACGGCCATTTCGTATGTCTTTGGCCAAGAGAGCAATTGGGTCGGGTTTTAAGGTGGGAGTTTCGAGAGATTCGTCATAGCTTCGAGTACAACTGTCAAGGCGGATGGTTTCTGGAACTCTGCACCAAAGCCATGGGGCGCCGAGGTGCGCAAAAGTTACGCCAGGCGCATACGAACGTGAGCTCGAGTGACAGGAGTGGTAGCAGACGTTGGAGGAAGGCGCATAAGAATTAGCAAGGCGTCAAGTGTCGGAGCTGGAGAGGAGGACTGATGCTGGAGTGGTGGTGGTGGTGGCAGAGTGTAAAGATGATGAGGTGGAAAAAGGGCGGCAATCAGATGGATTGGCGCAAGAGCCATGACTGGGCGAGATACAGATGAGGGTCGAGAACGGAGTACGAGTCTGGAGGAGTTTAACAGACTAGGCCCTTGGAGGATAGCGAGGGTTATCTTGGTCGCCGGCAATGAGAATGAGAGGCCAGACATGATGGGGAGTGGAGAGTGGGAGACGCCGAACCGCAGTGGCGTAACTGATAAGTACGGAGTGCCTGGCTCGCTGGGGAGGAGTAGTTCGTCCATTGAGCTGCCACTAGCTTGGGACTGAAGGGTGGCGGGTACATACAAGTAGTAGGTGCTTGTACCCAGTACAAGTAGCACTGCGAGTGTGGTGAGAGTGGGATGATTGATAGCGAGATATGACTGGTGGAGGGTCGAAGTCGAGTGTGAGAGCAGAAGCAAGGGATTGGGGACCTGACACTCTTGGAACCGTTCGGGGCACCCCTAAGAACAAACTTACTAACGGCTCTAGGCACTGTAGGCACCAGTTGCGATCCTAGGGGGCCGTTATCAGTGGTTAATCAACCCCCAGTCACCCTCGCCCACACGTTGCCCACCGGTAGTTCTAAGCAGCCAGTAAGCAACACCAACCCAGCCGCTCTCCCGCCCAAGTATTTGAGGCCAGATACTCCGATTTACGTGAGCCAGCAAGATGGATGCCCCGTTCTTTGCTCTTCTTTTAGCCATCTCTCGTGTGAATCCTACTCATACAGGCACAAAACACAAATAGGTACCATGTGGTATCCATCTCGTCGTCCAGAAAAATCCCCGTTCCATAGGCACCGTGGCTCCATAGGTAGAGATAAGAGTGTGGGTGCAGGGACTCGACCAAAACCCGCACACAAAACCCACACACAAAAGCCACCAGACCCTCATTTCCCCCAAGGGCTGGAACTGAACAATCTCCCGCACAGACGTGGGCGCCCAGACAAAGTGACCGAGGAACGTTGCCTCTCACTGGTGGTCGATCCCTACGCAGTGAGACTTTGCGCCTGCGCAACTCAAAAGTCAGAACACTCTCCCAACCCCCTTACTCCTCCACGCAAGGAAAAACAAAAGTACGAGGTAGTCGCCTCGTCGCTATCACTTCGATGCCCTTCATTTTACGTACTGTGTGCTTTATCTCTTGAACCCACACCTCCAAATCCCCCTTACTCCTTTTGCTCTCCTCCGTGCGGCATCCTCGCTAACACCCTTACAGTACCACAATTACTGTCGCGTGGTGCAATGCTCGCCTGCCCCGTCTCTTACCGATGCACATGTCCAGATTCTTTCTTGGGCATAGTCCGAGCCAGCGCTCGAGCCCTCTCGCCTCCCACGCGCTCTTGCTCCTCGCTTGCAACGGACCCTTTCCTCTCCTCATCATAAACTGGCCCGCGCTAATTGGCCCAAACTCGAATCCAACCCCAGCCTGTGGGACTCTGTCGATGGCTGCACAATTGTGACAATGTGCCAATGGCGCCACTTCTTCAGAGTACTGTCTCAATCGCCGGAAGAAAAAGAAAAAACAGGCCCCCCGAAACGGCAGTTTCCATCGTCATACGTTCCGATCACAATTGTCTTAATGATTGAGGCACAATGTGCATTGGGGAAGGAATTCTATTCTATCACTATGACACTCTAGACCACTGCCCCGGCATCTTGGCCTCTTCTTTTTCTGGTACAGAACTGCCTGATGCAGAAGCCAATCCACAAAATTAGGATGGCTACCCCTAAAATAATGACTGAGACCAATGCCGTCTTGCCCACACGCACTGACCAGACGGACACAGCAAGTGCCGCAAACGCTAACGCCGCCACCGAACCCAAGGGTAGAACCAGAGCCGCGATGAGGTTCACATATCGGAAAACCTCGAATCGAAACCGGGTCCAGTGTGTCTGTTTGGTCGTTTGCCGCTTTTTGTACCACGCCTTGTGCACATACATGGCTGCGAGCAAGATACTGGCAAGACCCAGGTCCATTGTAAAGAGCACCCAGCTGATTGCAATGAATGTCCGGGAGTGCTCTGGAGGAACGTCCGGGTTCTCCGTCGTCTCGGGAACAGCTTGGAAGATACACTGGAATGTGATGGACCCGCCAAAGGCTGCAAAGGCAACGACAGCTGCGAAGAATTTCTCGTAGAATTTATCTTCGCATGAGCCTGTAGGAGACGTCGAGGAGGAAGCGCTGCTACTGGTCGTGGCTCGAGGCAAGCCGGACTGCGCTGGGGCGAAGTCCTGCGTCTCAATTCGGGGCACATCGCGAGGGGCGTTGAGCTTGTTGTGCGACGATTGCAGCTCGTCGAGGATGAGCTGAAGTAATTGCTCCGATTTCGAATCGGTGTGGTCGACGACAAAAGTGCGCGAACTCCGGCCGCTGGCAACGACGGGCGCCAGGTACTGCATTTCGGAGCCGCTCGACATTTTCTTGTTGACTGTCGTGACGGTATAATTATGAGGTTTGTTCTTATATCGAGGAGTTCTGTTGTGATTGCTTTCACAGAGACTGATGGTGGTACTGATGCTGAGTTGCTTGAAGTTGAAACAGCCTGTCTCGATGGTCGACCTCCTCATCTATATACACAGGTCAGGCATCTCCTCTCCCGTGAAGAATTGCACACTCGTTCAAAATCATTGCCCTGGACCGTCTGCGGCTGGACAGTCATCTGGATGGAAATGGGCGAGCGTCGATGGCTGAATTGAGGCTGTCCACCTATGACTTTTTTTTTAAAAAAAAAAGGGACGTCTCACAGCCTCCCCACTTCACCGGTTTTGATACCGGTCTCGAGGCAGGGATTGACGCAAAGGCAAAAAAGGGTTTGCTTGGTCCTCGAGCTCTTCTCCCAAGACATCTCGTAGGCTGATGGCTGCGACTCGCACGCAGGTGACTCCTGACAATGGGCGATTCAGCTACAAAGCATCGCTAACAGTCAGTCAGGGGGGCGCGGCAGACGCCTGAAAAGGGGCCCATGAAGACGAGCAAAGAGGTAGGCTGGCAGTGGCTGGCCAGAAAGGGAAAGAGGGCAGACAGCCTGATTGACGATCATCGAGAACCCCCATCCCCAACCAACAGCTCGCGTACCGCACCGTCTGATTGGGCCGTGATCTGCAGTGTACCCTTGTTTCCTCGTGCAGACGGAAAAGGGTGTGGGTTGCTACAAATAACCCCCCCATGTGAATGCATCACAGCCCCTCCACATGAATGACTGACGTATAGGAGGAGCACCGGTAGAGCAGAGATGCTGCAGACTGTTACTGGGTAATCAACGTGCATCTTCTCCGTTTCCGCGCCAATGGGGATGACCACGAGGAAAAGGGACGGAGAAAAAGATGAGGCTGAGGCTGGGGTGTACGAGGTAGATGGAAAGGGACAGACAGACCGGCAGGAGAGGAGGGGCGCCACGATCCATCCCAGTCCGTCGCCTCCCTTCCAATTTATACACCACAGCCTCGCTCTGCGGAAACACCATTTGTGAAGAGGGATGGACTCTGATTTCAGGATGGCGCATGATGGTCAATGCAAAGGAAAATGGTGACATTATGCTTCAGTGATGGACACCCATGTGGTTGACAGCCTAGCGTGTCCGATCAACGTTACTTGTCTCTCGACCCATGCCGTCCTGTACTCCGTCATTCATCTTCCATGGTAATGTTACACAGTGCCAGCTCCGTATTCCACTTCAAATCAGAAGGCAGAAGACACTCAAGAACATAATATTCCACGTCTGCAAATAGGCTGACCGCAAGACTTAACCGCGATTCGCCCTCTCGTGGCGAGAGACCGGGAGCGGGTATTGTTCTCGCCGGTTTCATCTCTGGACGCCCTCCATCCGTTGATTCTTGAACATGTTGTCGCCGTAAATCTCGGTCCCGTCGGCCTCCACGATCTCTGTGGCGACGCTCATCTCAAACGCGTCCTTTGGGAGTGCAAATTTCGGGTTCTCGGCGAAGCAGATATCAAACGTCCTTTCGGACCCCATTCTGGGTCCGCCTGGTTCCAGACAGATCGGACCCCAAAGTTCCACTCCGTTGAGGACCCCGCCTTGGTGGTGAAACATGTGCTCAAAAAGATGGTGCTCCCCTTGGTAAACGGAAGTCACATCCCCCATAGGCACACATAAAAGACACCTGTATACCCGTGCATTCTGCCGGCTAGACGATATGTGAGATTTGAAGAGCAGAAGAGAGCGCCAACGTAGATCACGTGTCGCATGGGCTTTGTCGTCAAAGCGTGCTCGGCCTCGATCATCTCGGTCTGCAGGTGTCGCAAACGAACATTTCCGACAGTAGCAAGCCCACTCTAGATTCTTCATAGAGACCTGAACCCCCTTCTCGTAGATGCCTTGCTGAATGTAATATGCCCCTTTGCAAAGGCCGGCACCGGCCATCACATCAACGGGTGAGAGGGTTAAGACTGGGCTGATAGGTGGAGTCATGACATGAGATCTGTGGGGGTCATCCACAGATCTGATCGAAGGTGAAGTGGATGAGGTGATATCTGAAGCAGGCCGGGAGGTGGCCTGTGACAGCATTGAGCCATTCTCTTTCTCCGCAGATGAGGTCCGGTGTAACTTTTTGAAAACGTTCCATGACGATTTTCGCGGAACTTGGCCTGGGCAGGGATGCGTCCCAGACTCCAGAGACTCACTGCGACTCTTGCGTTCGGGGGTTGCAGGTGCCTCGAAGACCTCCTTCGTCTCGTCTGGCGCAGGTCGTATTATTTTAGCTGGTAGCTGCAAGCTACGCAATGTTAGAGGCATAGGTTCAAGGTTCGAGCTAGAGTGATCATCAAGTTCCGAGGGTGTCTCAATGACCTGCTTTGTTTCCTCTGCAGCAGGCACCGGTGTTCTCACTTGCGAGTTTGGGCCGCAAGATTTCTGTTGACGCAAATAGAGTTCATTGAGAATCGTAATCGCGCGTAGTCGGGCAGTGATGGCAGAATCAATGCAGGCTTCGAAGTCCATGACATCGTCATCTTTGCTAGCGAGCATGAGGTGGCGCAAGAACGATGCTTGAACTTCGATGGTAAGACTCTGGAGAGCTCGATGAGCAACGTCTTCAAGACAAGAGGTCAGCGGCAGGCCCGCAAGAGGAACAAACCCAGAATGGTGCTCACCATCACCTTGCTCGAAGCTTGACCCAAACCGTTGTATGCCCTTTGCTGTGATCTTCTCAATCTCTTGGTGGCCTTCTTGAAGTGACTCTTCCAGCGCCAAGCTTGGAGGTGAGGCGCCTTTTGCCTTGCGGCTCTCCTTTATGTTCTCGACAATGGAGCTGGCGTCCTTGTATGCTGTGATCAAGGCTGCTACCGCCCCGATCACAGCAACACCAAGCTCGGTGCCGGACATTGTAAACGCGTAGCACGGCTAGAAGCAACTGCGGCTCACTTGAATGCGAATGAGGTTGTGGTTACCGACCGTGGCTGGCCATGCCTTTACTGCGCTGAAGGTGGGGTGGACGGCAGAGACAAGTCCGCACGCAAGAGGATTGTCAGAATTGACGATGTTCGAGAGGCATGGTTGTACTTGTTATGTTGATGGCCATCGAGAGGCGGGATCTCAGGTAGAACAGGTCAAGAGGATGTTTTATGAGAGCGTGCGCATGAACCGCCGCTGGGTCGCCATGGGTGTGAACTGGGTAGTCTCAGGGACAAGTTCCATGTTCCAGCACAAACCACTCCATCCAGGCTACACTCAGGGATGAGTGCTTCGTGCACCATTTCCCGTGCTCTTGGGGCTCGTGGACAAACAAGCCTGGGCGGGAGAGGCAGCCAATTGCAGTGGCATGTGGCGGCATGCTAGACATGAGTCCGTCAGTGATGGGGGCGCAGTTTGCAGGCGATAGCTTCGCCCTGCTTGCAAGGGTGGAGGGAGCTCGGTGTGAGGAGTCTATGGTGAGTACAGACTTGTACATAATAAGTACTTGTATGGACTAGCCTCTCGGATCTGAAGGACAAGAAATCGGCATCCCAAGGTTTCGATGGGCACGTGTGTAGCAACGGGACGAATTGCTGGTTGGCGAGTCCTTGGAACTGGAGTTGCTAGACTTTGCGAGGGGGATCGCGGGCGTGGCATGACGAACGACCCACAACCACGGGGCCACAGTGGACGCAGTCAAGAGTCACGCAGCCAAGTCAAGTACGAGAACCGAGTACAAATGCTCAGCCTCGTTGACAAAGCTCCTATCCTCCCACGTGCCTCCCTTCCACTTCTTCTCCTCATCCTCCTTCGATACCCCGTTATACCCATCCTCTATAGCCCCTAACATATGGTTGCATTGATCCCTGCCGTCGGCGAGGCATTTGTGTATCCCTCCAACGAGCCATTTTACCCAAGGTCATTGATCCACTTCCTCCCCTTCGATTCATTGGCAGGGGTCGAGATGGACGTAAAATGCGATCCATTTAGAAATACTCATTGATATGACCACGAGGCGCAACCATCAAGTCTTTCTGCAGAGTACTTGTATCTTTATGTCCTGGCCACAGCCGAATTCATGCGCCTGCTGGTCTAGCTCCAGTGATTCTCACCACTCTACCTCCTCCTGTGGCCGCTAGGTTACCTTCTTCCACCCAGCCGGGCACTGGTCCTCCCTCGTCTTTGTCCGAAGTCACACTCCAAACTGCTGGGAATCCAGCTTTCATGGGCCCCCCGGCTTTTTGACTTCCTGGGATGGCGAAACGGGGATTGGTGTGCAGAGCAAAGCCTCTCAGCAGACCTTGCTGGATTAGACTCAGGACCACAGATTCCACTTCATTCATGGCGGGCGAATCTTCTCCTCCGCTGTTATCTGGTACATACTGACCGATGTACTCGTCAATGTATAACCCTGTTTCTAGATCAAAACCGGTCTCGTTGATCGCTGCATCCATGTCTGCGAACTCAGGGTCAACGTATTTCTCCTCCGTCAAGGCCACGTGTGAGCCGAATCCATTGGCTATCGACCTAGTCCTCTGCTTTCCTAAAGCCCAATTCGCTGCGTGACGGACATAGCTCAACCTGAGGAATGGTATTTTTTTCTCTTCGCCCATGTAGCCAGCGAGCAGGAAAGTCTTGCGAATAAGACTCCTCCAAACCAGGATCTCACATCGATTACGGAGCTGGAAGAGGATGGACAGTCGGAGGAACCACTGGCCGGACTCGGTGTCCAAGTCCATATACTGGTGGAACATTCCGAGGTCTCCAGTTTGGATGATCTTGCAGAGGGGAATGAATCTGTGTCCGATGTCACGGCCCTCTGGACGTGAGAGGAGGGTGGAGGAAGGGAAACGGCCGAGGCAAAGATTCGCTGCTATCAGGTAGATCAAGATCAATCTTCGATGCTTGATAGCTTGGCGATGGCACTGTTCGTATGCCGTTTGGAGTACCTTCTGTGCCCGTCCAAAATGGTTGTTCGCGAAATGGAACCGGCCGAGGTAGTACAAGAACGTAACCCGCTGGGCAGCCGGATAGTAGGATAGTGGTGGCGACTGAACATCGATGCTCGAGAGCATCTGCTGAGCGTTGCGGAGCCGACGACACTGTAGCAGCAGCTTAAGACATGAGTTTGCCGTCAGGTAGATACCAACGCGTTTATCTTCTGGAGAAGGGCGAGTTGTGCGTGGAACTCCAGGGCTTCCAGCAAGACATTTGATGAAAGCCTCTCGTAGCACATTGGCCGCATCTTCCACGAAGCTCACCTTTCCCGGAGCACCTTCGGCGTCTTGCGTCATGGCGAGGCTGGAACCCCGAATCAGAGAAGGGTTTCGATCCAGATTAGTGGCAATGGCTGCAAGGGTGCGGGAAAAGGAGAGCACAATCGGTATCATGATAACCCCATATTTGGTATCTCCCAAGGCGGTCACACACTGACTGTCGAGAACATCAATACAAAGCCGAAAAGAAGGGCCTGGAGGTCAATTCACCTTGTCAATTGCCGGATCTTGGTTGCTTTGGCCTGATTGTCTACCGACGTAAAGTCCCGAAGATAGCGAAAATACTGGATAATGCATTCCGAGAACGAAGTGCTGAATGAGCCAAATTCGTCCTGCGACACAGTCTGTTTACATCTTGCCACGAGTTCTCCGTCTCTTTCTGGCGGGTGGACTCGATTGAGCTCTTGGTTTAGGTCCGAATATGGCTTCTGTCGCTCCGGACTCAGGCTGTCAAAGTCAAGCTGAATGAGGTCGGTAATGCGTTGACCGTTCTTGGTTCTGATACTATCGACAATGTCCGTCAAAAAGGAGTTCAATAGTGACACATGAGCCCCAAAAGCAGCCATTCTCGGTGACAGTTACTGGCGAGGCTGTACGCGGTAGGAAAGTGTTTGAGGGTGCAGTCGCGGAAAAGATTTAACCAATGTTCCCCATACGCGATGCAGCAACTTATTTCCATGTAAGTCGTCTATCCACCTCATGCAAGAAATTGGAACAAAAAGCGACAATGTCTTCAATCATGGGGTAAACAATTATTCATGATGGCTTCGATTGCGGGAAATCTAAATGAACACGGCGGCTCTCAACCGCCAAGGCTCTGGCCTCATCGCAGCCTTGCCGCAGCCTCGTTGCTCTCCATACGCTAATGCAAACGTAGCCTCACATGCATATACGCTACTCTAATCCCGTGAGAGATCCATCTTGGATTGTAGGATAGTTATCTCATCTCGCCTTAAGAAAGACTCGATTCAGATCATCATTCCCTTTGTGCAAAGACCCTTCTGTCTCCAATGGCTCTCGACCCTGAAAGCTAGTCCCCTCATCCTTCGCGCTTGCCCTAGCAAGGGCCATACCTACAGCAACTCGCCACACAAGACCAAGCTTTCCTCGAGTCGTACTCAAATAGGAACGAAGTCAATGTGGTGGCTAGCGAGACACTGCTTTCCCAGCTGGCGCGTCGCGAACAACACCCGCAGTCCAAAAAGCGCTGGGTGGCTCTGTGGGGGGAATTTTGTCCTTGGATAGTATGGACTTCTGTTGGGTATATCGCAGGATTGCTCTTCCAGTGTTGATTCCCTCTGACTGACCGTTGGGAATAGCTCATTTCTCGGTTCCAAGAACCATTTTTTCTCTTTCACTGTGTCGAGGCATGCTGCCTTTCTTACTATGCTTTCGGACATTCTCCTCTTTTCTCTTGATCGATTTGAGCTCCTCTCCCTTGATTTCGGCTGCTTTCTTCACAGTTTTGGGCAAGTGTCGATGCCGTCTGATTCGCCGGATTTCCGGCATGTGGGCATATCTCCGGATCAAGGCCTGGTCATACTCGAGCTTTTGCCGTTGTCTTGCTGATTTGATACCCTGTCGACTCGATGCATCAACTCGCCATAACCTCACGTTGCCATCGTCCGACCCGGACAAGACGTAATTGTTGTCCGGGGTAAAGCGACAGCTGAACACTCTCTGCATTCGTTTGGTGTGATAAACGTCTCTGGAATGGCCTCGATCTCTATTCCACAGCCGCACGGTCCGATCGTATGATGCGCTCACGAGCTCTTCGCCCGTCGGACTAAATTCGACGTCCATGACCGCCGCCACGTGATCTTTCAACACGTTCAGCGCCCTGTCCAATTTTCGCATGTCGAAGATGTAGATATTGTGATCCTCATTTGCCGCAGCAAAATTGAACGCCTCCATTGGGTTCCAAGAGATGGCATTGGATGCCAGCCTCAAAACGACCTTGGACAGAGGCGAAGAGGTCCGGAGATCATAGAGAACAATGGCTCTATCCAATGCCGCCGACGCCAGAATAGATGTCTCGGTTTGATTGAAAGAAACAGCGGTGATCGTGTCAGTTGATGTCGGCCAGCGTAAGACCTGGGAGGGGCCGGAGGAGGGTCTTGATAGGTCATAGATTGATATTGCACTGGAAGATGCAGCGAATGAAGAATGATTCCGGTGATGCGAGATGTCAGTGAATGCTCCTTGGCCAAGATAAGTTGTCAGAGGCACTCCATTCTGCTCTTGGTTGTATGGATCCCAGACTTTGACTGTCTTGTCGGTGGCGCAAGACAGCAGTTTCCTTTCTGGAGTCCAACACAAACCTCTGACCACATTATCGTGGGCTCTTGCACTCCAGACTTCATCGCGGCTTGCCAGGTCCCATACTTTGACCACACCATCACCACTTCCACTGGCAAGTCTCTCCAACGAGCCCGGGTCTTTTGCCATAGAATAGACTCCGTCAACATGGCCCTCACCCAACTGTCCGATGAATGGCGAGGCGAACATGCGTTCCATTTTGACAGCATTGAGGGCTCTTGTATATTCCCTGGCCCGTTCGAAAGGGTGATGGCTTGGGTCGAGATTTCGAGGTTGTCGCACAGCGCCCTCGCCCGGAGGCGCGGGCGGCCTCGTGAGGGACTTGATTTTCTAGAGTACGATTAGCTGTGCACGGATGAGGAAGGATGGGAGCACCGACCATATCGGAAACAGCATATTACAGGGTAGTTCGACCACAGTAACAAGACAACTAGATTCAAAGAGATCAAAGAGTTGAACTCTTTCGAGGCGGAGGGTTCTGGGCGCAGGAACTTTTTTGTGGAGAAGACGCCGCACAGAGCTGGGCTGGACCCTGTCGTCACCAACAAGGCTGACATAAGGCGAGGCTGGCCTCTCGGAGCCCGCGAGGAGATTCGCCAACCGCGTCTTTTCTACGCCTTGCGTGGCTCTATCGCAGCCTTTCAAGCCCTAAGCTGCAACTCTACCCTCTGTCAATTGCTTGCACCGCTACCCTACATTTTGGTCTTATCTCACTGTCTTCTTCCTTCCTCATTCTCTTCTCCTTCCACAAGATGGCGCCTCCACCTTCGAACGAGACAAAGGTCAACGAAGCCCAGAAGCTGGCCAAAACCGATCCAGCGAAGGCAGAGAGTATCTACAAAGATGTACTGGCCCAATCTCCAGGCTCGAACCAGGCTGCTTTGCAAGTGTATGAAAACGCTTTGGTAGGCCTTGGGGAACTGTACAGAGACAACAAGCGCTCGGAAGACTTGTCAGCGCTGGTCAAGACGAGCAGGTCAACACTATCGTCATTCGCCAAAGCGAAAACAGCGAAGCTTGGTACGTTGACAAGGAATGAACTTGATTTGAGGTGCTAACGCTTGCGTCTAGTTCGGCAACTACTCGATTTCTTCATTGATATCCCCAACACTCTCGAGATCCAAATAAATACTACAAAATCATGCATCGAGTGGGCGAACTCCGAAAAGCGATCTTTCCTTCGACAGAACCTCGAAACGAGACTTGTTGGCCTCTACATGCAGAAACAATCATACTACGATGCCCTCACCCTGATTAACGGTCTCTTGCGAGAACTGAAACGGTTGGATGACAAGCTGGTGCTCGTCGAGGTACAACTACTTGAATCTCGGGTCTACCATGCTCTCACCAACCAGCCCAAAGCACGAGCTGCCTTAACTTCTGCAAGGACGTCTGCTGCCTCGGTCTATACTCCCCCTTTGCTGCAGGCTGGGTTGGATATGCAAAGTGGTATGCTGCACGCCGAAGACAAAGACTTCAACACCGCATATTCCTACTTCATCGAGGCACTGGAAGGCTATCACGCTCAAGATGACACTGTGCGTGCCACGTCTGCATTGCAGTATATGCTATTGTGCAAAATCATGTTGAATCTGGTCGATGATGTCAATAATCTGCTGTCGTCCAAGCAAGCGCAAAAGTACGCCAGTACAAGTCTGGAGGCCATGAAGGCTGTGGCAAGAGCCCATTCGAATCGATCGCTCGAGGAGTACGAACAGGCATTATCCAACTACCGTTACGAGCTGGGCAGCGATGTGTTCATCCGCAACCACTTGCGACGACTGTATGATGCCATGCTGGAACAGAATCTGATCAAAGTCATCGAACCTTTCAGTCGGGTTGAGATCGACCACGTCGCCAAGATGGTAGGGCTCGACACGCAGCAAGTAGAGAGAAAACTATCTCAGATGATTCTGGACAAAGTCATCATCGGAGTGTTGGACCAAGGAGAGGGATGCTTGATCGTCTTCGACGAGGCCGAGCGGGATACTGGCTACGACGCTGCCTTGGAGACAATTGAAAAGCTCAGCAACGTGGTTGATGTACTATACACCAACCAAGCTGCACTCTTAGAATAGCAGCAACTCGCAGTTTTGTTCTTGTTGGTGAAGCTCAATTGCGCCCACCAACCACATCTAGCAGGCCACTTGCTCTGTCAGCATCTCCAGACTATTGTTCGAGCAGAGAGCATATTGGTGGGTGGACACAAACCGACTGGAGCTGAGCAGCACCAAGACATCTTGGCTCTAGAAGCAAAGAAGATGAACGAGGCGTGGCATTGCCCTACACCCTGCGTCGGATATTATTTGGGTGAGGAATGTGTTGCCTGGGGAGCTCGGCGGACCGAATCGAGCCGTAGAGTCCGATTGAATCCTTCGGAGCAGATCAAAGTGGTATTTGTGACAAGCTCCGGGTGGTGGTTCGGACCCAAAAACAACCTGAACAGGCAGAATGGGCATTTTGCGGTTAGGTAGAGAATGCCGAAGTCTAGATCCCTTAGCAACAATGCGGCCGCCGTGAACGATAACGATGGCTTTGTCATTTGACTTTGTGACTGGTTGTCAACGCTTCTTCAGGTCCCCGCCACGCGGAACTTCAGGCGTCAAAGCCTCAAATCACTCCAGGGTGCGACTGATCCCCACGTGAGGCTACAAGTACAAGACCGATTTGACTTTCGAAACCTTTTGGCTCTCCAGAAAATCTGGCCCTTGTGAAACATTGCGCTCGAGGCGACACCTCTAGATTATACACTCTGCGTCCTTTACCCCTTCGGAATTCGCATACCACCAAATTCCTACCCGTCCAGATCGCATTCTTATCCCGACAAGGCCCCTGCCCCGCGATCGCAATCCTAGCCGACTACACTCCTCTCTCAGCTCGCCTGAAGCCGACCTCGCGCGTCGCAATCCGGACCATTCTGCATCACGATCCTGAGATTAGGCACTGAAAGTCGGGCCGTTTGGCCTCAGGTGGGCTAACAAAATGGGTCAGAAGTGAGCGCAGTGATGCTGCTCGACTCCGGAGCGCAGTCGTCGACGGTCACTTTGGGCTGACTTGGTTTCCAGACAATCAAAACTGTCCCCTCAACAACTGGAAGAGCTCCAGAAGTCGACACATTTCGACAAGAAGGAATTGCAACAATGGTACAAGGGTATGTCATATCTAATCTGTGCCGAGCACATGGCGCAGCACATACCCCATCTTCTGGAGATGCGAATTGCGGCTGAGCACGTCTTCTCCTAATGCAGGATTCTTGAAGGACTGCCCCTCGGGCATGTTGACCAAGGAAGAGTTTCAAAAGATCTACCGACAATTCTTCCCCTTTGGCGATCCAAATTCCTTCGCCGACTACGTCTTCAAAGTATTTGACTCGGACAAAAGCGGGACGATCGACTTCAAGGAGTTCATATGTGCCTTGAGTGTGACAAGTCGAGGGAAGATGGAAGATAAACTTGACTGGGCGTTCCAACTTTACGATATCGACGGGGACGGCAAAATCAGTTATGACGAGATGCTCGCGATTGTGGAGGCGATCTACAAAATGGTGAGAATGCCTGATTCCTTGCTCTTCTGACTCTTCCACGGGTCGCTAACTAGTCATTCAGGTCGGCTCTATGGTCAAATTGCCCGAAGACGAAGATACGCCAGAAAAGAGGGTAAGGAAAATTTTCAGAATGATGGACAAGGATGAGAACGGGAGTCTTGATATGGCAGAGTTCAAGGAAGGAAGTAAACGGGATGAGACGATTGTGTCAGCTCTCTCGCTGTATGACGGCCTGGTATGATTGATTCGAAGGAGTCACAAATTCCCAATCCTCCCGTTTCCACTCTGGCATTACAGCAGTGGGAGACATATGAAACGCTGGCGCTTTTTGGTGTTCTCCTCAGACTCTTGGATCACAAGCCGGTGTGCTTGATCTGTCCTTTGAGCCAGGGCGAAGGAGGTGCTTTTTTGGAACATTGCAAGCTGCAGCCACAAGGCTACATTAAAGAACACGAGCGACGAGTGGCATTGAACTACAAATTTTGTAAACGGGATTGAGCGTCAGAAATAAAATGTTATAAGCTTTATCACAAATCGAACCCACGTTAATTTTTGACCGTGTTAAATCAATCTCGTGGCAGTTTGTGTCGACCAAGTTCGCGCGGTCCCGTGCCTCCGAAGTCCGTGAGACTTTTTGCTGTACATCGCTCCTCGCCATTCTACGCGGATACATAACTCGAAAAACCTCTGGCATCTCAAGGAACGACACACATTCACGGACAAGGGACCTGATACACCTTTTCATTTCTCCTCTAGTGGTATTTGCGAGCCTTATATTCCGCTCCGAAGCTTTACAATCTCCCCACCCCCTAAAAATGAGGTGACCTCCTCCCTTCGATCGCTCGCACCTAAGCACACCCTTGTGTCAGTCGAACCTCAACTCACTATGAGTCCCAAACTTCCTCTACAGCTTCTCGGCTTCCTCTTCCTCAAGCAAGCTGCGTCCTTCTACCTTCCTGGCGTCTCCCCCTCGTCGTACTCCCGAGGCGATCAACTTGAACTCAATGTCAACGCCCTGACGCCTTCAATATCGCGGCACGATGAGCAAATCCACGCTGTGGTTGCCTACGACTATTACCATCCGGCTTTCCATTTTTGCCAGCCTGCAGGGGGACCCCAGCCCAGACGAGAATCACTGGGCAGCATCGTCTTCGGCGACCGCATTCAAAGCTCCCCCTTTCAACTGTGGATGGGATTGAACCAGACATGTAAGATTGCGTGTGCGGGCGACACATTTGATGAGAGGTCAACGGCCTTCGTCAATCAAAGAATTGAGGAGGCCTATAACATCAATTTCTTTGTCGATGGACTCCCGGCTGCCGAACTACGAGAAGATCCCCTCACCCACGAACGGTTTGCGAGTCCCGGATTTCCCCTGGGTAAAGTGCAAGAGGATGGGACTAAGATCTTACACAACCACTGGGACATCATCATTGACTATCACACCGCGGGACTTCGTGGACTCAAATACCGCGTGGTTGGCGTCCTGGTCCAGCCGCAATCTTACGCCGACTCTCGCCTCTCGGATGATGGCAAGGCCAGCTGCGCTTTCACATCTGATCCTCTTGTCCTAAAGGAAGGGGGAGGAACACCAGTCACGTATACGTACAGCGTTTATTGGCGTCCCTCAGACACGGCTTGGGCCACCCGCTGGGATAAACTGCTTCATATCGTTGATCCCAAGATCCACTGGTTCTCTCTCATCAACTCTGCTATTTTTGTCGTCTTCCTGATCGGCATGGTCAGCACCGTCTTGGTCCGAGCACTTCGCAAGGACATTGCTAGATATAATCGACTGGACAATATCAACTTGGACGATCTCTCGGGGACTTCCGCTGTCGATGAAGACGTGCAAGAAGACTCGGGCTGGAAGCTGGTGCATGGCGACGTCTTTAGGCCGCCTCGCTATGCCCTACTGCTGAGCGTTTTACTTGGGAATGGTGCGCAACTGTTTGTTATGACAGCTGTAACAGTCGCCTTCGCCATGTTGGGATTCCTTTCACCTTCCAACCGCGGCTGGCTCACGTCCATCGGCCTTCTGCTCTACACCATCTTTGGATGTATTGGCGGGTACGTGTCGGCGCGAGCATACAAGAGTTTTGGTGGCGAGAAATGGAAACTCAACATTGCACTGACCCCAGTCTTTGTCCCTGGAATTGTGTTTGGGACATTCTTCCTGCTCAACCTCTTCGTCTGGGCAAAGGGAGCCAGTGGCGCGGTGCCGTTTACGACAATGCTGGCTATCATTGCGATCTGGTTCCTCATCAGCGTCCCCTTAAGTGTAGCTGGGTCATGGTATGGGTTCAAGTCGCCAGCGATTGAGCCCCCAACCAGAGTCAACCAGATTCCGCGACAAATTCCGCCTGTGGCGCGCTCCCTGCGACCACTCCCCTCGCTTTTGCTCACAGGCATCCTACCATTCTGCGCCATCTTCGTGGAACTGTATTTTATCATGACATCGCTGTGGACGAGTAAGATTTACTACATGTTTGGATTCCTGTTCATCTGCTATGCGTTGATGGCCATGACATGTGCTTGCACCACCATTCTGCTGGTGTATTTTCTGCTCTGTGCTGAAGACTATCGCTGGCAGTGGAGGGCATTTCTAGGCGCCGGGATGACTGGTGGGTATGTTTTCCTGAATGCATTGGGGTTCTGGGCGACTAGAGTCACCTTTGGAGGACTCACTGGAGCGGTTCTTTATGTCGGCTACTCTGGACTGCTCAGTTTCTTGGTTGCTGTGCTCACAGGTAAGAAATTTAGGAGCCTCTGTTTGTGGTGCGGATGGTTGGGTTGACTTCCTTTTTACAGGCACCATCGGATTTATCTCGTCCTATCTTTTCGTCCACCGCATTTACGGGTCGATCAAAGTGGACTGAGCACCAGCAGCTTCTCGTGTTGTATATTTAACGGCGCGGAGTTGGGGAAAATGGAAGACAAAAGACAAAAGCACATTTTGAGAATTTGGCAACCGCTGATATCAGGCTGGATGTACAATTTAACAGGGATGTCGATGAAGGTCTCGAAAGGATGACACTCTCGGATAAGAGATGCCGCCACAGCCGGAAACCAGCATACGTGGAGTCTATGAACCTCACAACGTGTTACCAGATGTGTTTACTTCAGAGTGAGGAACTGCCAGAAGGATCAGCACTGGCGAAAGAAACGATCGTCGGGTACCCATACACGCTCCTCCACAATTTGTATATTGTCCGTCTGTACCCGTCCTCTTGTTGCGCTCCTGTACGTCGATCTGTGGGTCTCGAATATCGTCTACGGACAGATAGTATCTTGTTCATCTTGTTTTGTTTCTGTCCTTTTTTGCTCCTTTGGCTTATTTTTTCGACTGTGGCTAGAAAAGGACGAGGCAAAACGAAAAGGGTATTCCTTGTGGAGTAAGGTAGCAGCCATCACTCATCAGTGTCAGGTTTAGGAACCGGTCGAAATTGACATCAAAGCCAGCCGTGACCGTCAAGGACTGAGATGTGCGTGGGCTTTGAAAAAAAACATTGTCTACCGCTGGCCTGGCAAGATCTCAACAAAGTTCTACTATGACCAGGAGGTGCAAAGTACCTGTGCGGGAGGACAATAGGTGATGACCAGGAAGCGATGTTTGTGTGGGCCGCTGACGTTGAGTTCGGACAAAGATGTGGACGGAAGAACGACTCCAGGGTTGGTTGGTGGTTGGTCACGTAGTGTGAGAATCTTGATGGTAGAAGTTGACGGTGCAAGAGAGGGGAAGATGCGCAGTTACACCATGCAGTCTCCCCTTGTCTTACTCAAGTTTTGGAGGGAGGTATTGTGCGAGACCTTTCAAGACGAAAAGAGACCGAATTCCGCAGATGGGATCCTAGTCGGGTAATTGTAGAATAAAAGAGTAGACATTGGCTGTTGACTTGGTGGAGGTGTTGGAGTAGGTATACCTGAGGTGATAGGACTGCAAGATTGACCAGCCGGGAATACCGAGTTAGTGCCAGAGATCAGTCAGATATTATCTAGGAACAACCCGTTCGCCCCCAACGAGGAGAACAAAACGGCCTGGTGATGCAGGTGGCTCGCTAGGTTTACAGGGAGTGGCAGGGGCTGTAAGGGTGGCACCCGGTGGCTGTTCCTTGGAGGGAATCCCCCTCCTCCCCCCTGGCACGCCCAGGTTGACTTTTTGGGTACTGGCCCTGCCTGGTGCTGAATGAGGAATCGGGTGGGTGCGGCTGCCCTCTCAAAACTGGCCCTGGAGACCCTAGGCGGTCTTGGACACCCGCCGACGTCACTGTGCAGCAAGCTCCGTTTCCGCAAAGCCCAGTGGCCAGGCCACAATGGCCTGTGTCGTCGATTGTCTCGGTTCTCTGTCTCTCTTTTCTCCAGATCAAACTACCGGGACACGACCACCGCACGCCCTTGTCCAGTATACGAACAGACGCATCTCACAGCACTTGACTGAAGGAACTGTCTTGCTGGCTGACTGACTGATTGAGTGACTGCATGTTCCGCCCACTTCCATCTATTCCCTCGTCGCAAGTACCACCACCCGCCTTGCCACACTGACTCCGTTCGGATCTCGCGCCCCCTCGTCCACACGCCCACGCACTCTCTCAACGTTCAAGTTAAACTGTCTTCAACAGTCACCATCGACCATTTCGCTACCGCCATCCATACCACCCTCAGCCTTACCCTCAGCCTTACCCTCATTTCAGGCTCGTTCGTTGCCTAGCCATCACTTTAGCATTCTCCTGACGAGGAACCTCTCCCCTCTTGACTTGGGTTGTCGTGGTCTTCAAAACGCCACTACGACTAATCTAATTGATTGATCCTCTAATACATACGGATATCTTTTGTACACTATAACGATCGACCGCGCAAACATACCTCGCGAACACCTCTTTCACCGCAATATCAACAAAGAAAGGTCTTTTCCGTCCTACTCTCCATGCCTGCCTTTCGGCTGCCGCGAGGTTGCAGACACCGTAGTTGGACGATCGAGTGTCTGCATCCGCAGTCATGAAGTCGTCAAAATCTCAGCGCATTGGAATGCCCCCTCGCGGCCGATCTTCACGGAGTAACGACGGTCATGGATTGGCGCCACGATCGGAAGAGGGAGGCACAGGGGAGAGACGAAGCGCTGGGGACGCGTCTTCCAACGCCCCTACTGTGGTTCATCACCAAGTGACAAGTGTCTTGACACGCGAGAATTCATCTGGGATTGAGGCTATGCGAAGAAGAATGAGTGCCGCGCTGGCACAGAAACAACAAATGCGCGCCGCTGCTGCCCACACAGCTTCTAGCGGTTCGTCTGACACCACGAAACAGGACGACTCATCCGAAGCCTCAACATCCCTGCAGCATGCAGAGTCAAGTTCGGATGAATCGGTCAACACCGCTGCCCTTTCGACAGATTCTGCTCGGACCATACGAGCCACATTTGACATGACGCCGGGAGCTGTCAGGACCCCATCATATCCATTCCCTCGTATGGCTCTGCGACTCAATCGTAATACCAGCCACCGCTCAGGACCTTCGCACAGACCGTTCACACTCTTGTCCCCAACCAACGAGCCGCCGTTAAGTTCAGAACCTGCGCAGCCTCCCCTTCCGCAACGCCAAACGTCCTCCTCGGATCTGAGTACGCCAATTGGTCAGACCCCATTGAGTGCAGGTTTTCCCGAAGACCCCAATTTCCCAGCGCCGGACTTGTATGATATTATCCTGATGCTCAATGCAGAACCAGGTTTGGATATGTGGTGGGTCAATGTCACCGAGATTCTGTCCGAGGTTTATGGTGCCGAGCGCGCATCACTAGCGGTGCCTGGGGATATCACCGATCTCGAAAACGTTCCGTGGGGCCAGAAGGCAACGTACAACGTCAATGGCAGCGAGGGGGTGCCGCCGTCGCAGTTTGATTCTCTGGCCACCTCCGAAGCTGATATAACCTCTCTAGGCCGACGGCCAGAACCTGCCAGCCGAGTTGCCAGTGACGTTAGTTCTGCGCCTCTACGTCGACCACCTCTTTTGTCCCGGCATTCCATTGCGGGTCCGGCTCCAGATCCATCTGCGAGGGGTGCTCGCCAGAGACCTGCGGGGCCTGTTCGTGCCTATAGCATGACACCTAAAGAACCAGTAGAGGAAGCACCGACGAGCTCACCGCTTATGCCCAGGTTGACCAGACAAGCTGCCACACCTCGATCAGTGTCGGTGGCAGAGTCGGACCCCTTGGCACTAAGGGAACAGTACAATTCGTCTGGGTCCGGTTCGTCGACACTCAGATGTCATGTCCATCGCTCGATCCAGCCTCTAGAAGCCGAATCCGATCCGTTGCTTGTCCGGACAGGGGTTGCAACGTTGTTTGGGAAGAGGAAACCTGTTGTATTGACCAGAGCTTATACGGACACCGCGCCGAGACCGTCACCCAAGATCAAAGGGAGAGACGAGAATCGAAGCGCGCCACCAACGCCCTCGCCGGGAGGCCCTGACGACTGTAGGCCCGCAAGACCCGAAGACAGTCTGATGCTGCAAGCCGGCTTTCGTGCATTTGACGAATATGAGCAACCAGAACCATCACCCTGGTCGCAGAGCCCTTCGCCCTCGCCTGCAGCACGTCCTGACCCAGCCGAGTCCCCGTTCTTTACGCAACCCACGGCATCCATTGACGAGACTGCGTTCGAACAGAACCCCCCGCCATATGATTATGCGACCACAGCCAATCAGCCGTTGAGCGCGATAGGTGCCGACATGTCCAAGACTCTGATACACGTGCCGCTCATACAGCCAATTTTGGCCAGAGGAACTCTAGCGTCTAACCTTCGTTTCCCTATAGCCATCCTCTCGTTCTTGTCGCCACTGAACCCGTATCCGCGTAGTCTGCGGCATTCTTTGGAGGCCCTTCTACCACATCTGGCAAGTGCATATTCACTTGCGCAGCAGTACAGTGCTCTTCAAGATCGTTTACGTGGCGCCCCAGGAAGTCGCCATGGAGCCGCATTCGGCCTCGGAGGCACATTCTCTGATGAAGGGTCCGAACTCGAGCTCGTGGCTGAGCTGAGTGGACAGATTGCGCAGGACAAGGAGAATTCTAGATCATGGACATATCAAGAAAATCTTAGTCCAGGTAGTCTTAGAGAAAGCCCTGGCAGCTCTGTGGTGAGCACGCCGCTTATGGAGCAGTTTGGCTTGAGTTCGGGCCAGCCACCGACTCCAGGTGGCAAGACAGGATCTGAAATGGTCGACAGCTACTTTTCAGCCAGGAGGCAGAGAGCTGGCCAACAACCGCTTACTCCTGGCCCACGACCAACCAAGGATGACCTCGACCAAGTCAAACACCCAACCGAGAAATCTTCTGCCGGTTTAAAGATATCTGCGAGGAAAAGCACCGGTAATACGACCAAAACACAGCCTGATCCTCCCAGTCCAATCGCTCTCCGGACGGCTAGCATCACTTCCGAAAGTGATAATGGGGATCATTCTTTCCCCCTGTTCGACAGGGCTGATTCTACGCTCCGGCGAAACACTGCTCGACGGGTTAGCGAGCACAAGGATGATGGCGAGAGACCTCTACCCGAGCTTATATCGTCGCTCATGCTTAATGCTGTACCCCTCCAGCTTTTCTTAGCCAAGCCAAGTACGGGAGACTTGGTTTGGACCAACCGCAAATTCGATGCGTTCCGGAGTCAAGGAGAAGGCCGCGTGCGAGATCCCTGGAAGAACGTGCATCCAGCAGACAGAAACGGTCTGGTGAAGCTGTGGAATGAAGCTTTAAGAACGGGAAGTCAGTTCACACACTATATCCGCGTCAAGAGGTTCAACAGCGACAGCGATTTCCGCTGGTTTGTGTTCCGAGCCAGTACTTTATTGAGCAACAATGGCCGACTTTTGTACTGGATTGGGTCATTTCTAGATGTGCATGAGCAGTACATGAAAAACCTCGAAGCCAGCGAAAAGGAAGCGATTATGGCCCATGACACAAAGATTCGTGCACTTGCAGATGCCATTCCCCAGATTCTGTTTGAGGCCATTGAGGGAGACGGCATTGTGGCTGTCAATCAACAATGGCATTCCTATTCAGGCCAAACTCTAGAGGATGCTCGAGGGTTAGGTTTTGCGAAACATGTCCACCGCGACGACCTGCACAAATGTGGCATTTTGGCGCCTTCAGACGTGGCCGCCATTACACGATCCTCAACGACAAGTCCATCTTCATCAAACGACTCTAACAAAACAGTCGGCCCAGCCGCGCCACCGCTTCCTACACAGAAAAACCTTTTCTCGCCAGATCTGAGCTCATTGGAGCGGATGATCAAATCAGGCTCCGTGGTCGTGGAAAAGGACGAGAATGGCCGCTTGTCTTACCTGACCGAGATCCGGTTGAAGTCGAGAGGTGGTGGGTATCGGTGGTTTCTTGTACGGCTTGTTCGGGTTGACACTGGTCTATGGCAAAGTCAGAGCGGAAAGGCATCGTGGTACGGTACATGCACCGATATCGAGACGCGGAAAGCCCTGGAACGAGAATTGAACCAAGCCAATGAGAAGGTTCACTCGGAGATGGAGTCCAAGACAAAGTTCTTCGCCAACATGTCTCATGAAATCCGAACGCCGCTCAATGGCATTTTGGGTAGTATGCCATGGCTGGTCGAGTCAGAGCTGGATCATGATCAAAGGCGGACAGTGGATACCATTCAAAACAGCGCCAATAACCTGAGGGAACTCGTCGACAATATTCTGGACGTCACCAAAGTCGAGGCTGGCAAGATGACGCTCCTTCCGAAATGGTTTCATGTTCGGGCACTCTGCGAAGAGGTGGTTGATACGGTGTCTTCTAGGGCCATCGAGCGTGGACTTGAACTCAATTATTCGCTGGAGGCTAACGTTCCATCAATGGTGAAGGGAGATGCCTTTAGAGTGCGCCAGGTTCTCCTCAATCTCCTCGGGAACTCTGTCAAATTTACTGAACAGGGCGAGGTGTACATGCGATGTTCCTATCGCGAGGCCGAGCCGGGCAGATCAACCGGGCAGTCTGATCACTCAGGCTTACTCTCATTCGATGTGGTTGATACTGGGCGCGGTTTCAACGAAGACGATTTCAAACGACTCTTCAAGCAGTTTGGCCAGATTGGAGGCGGCAGCAGTCACGAGGCAGGCTCTGGATTGGGCCTTTTCCTTTCCAAGCAGCTGGTTGAGATGCACGGAGGTGAGCTATCTGTTAAAAGCAAAGCAGGTGAGGGCTCGACCTTCAGCTTCTATATCAGAGTCGAGGTGGCTCCCCCAGGTTCCGAAGTTGCCTCACCACCGTTGGCTGCGAGAACCGCACAACAGAGACAGCCGTCGTTGGGAGGCAGTCCTCGATCACGGTCCGATAACAAAACACCAACAATGGCGTCAGCTAAGGGTCTTCTACCTAACGAGGGGATCATTCAAACACCCGGGCTATCCAGATACGTGAGCCCCCCTCCACAACAGGTGCCCTCTCTACCATCACCGGCAGTGTCGTCACCGACGCAGGTATCTCCCCCAGTCCTTCTGTCCGATAGTTCCGGACTGTCGATGCGATCAGACTCGGGAAATATCGCGTCTGTGTCGTCGGCAACTACGCTTGTGCAAACGCCCGAATCTGCGCCTCCTGTCGAGTCCACAATTTCGCCGGGTCAACGGCAAATCCTGACAGAGAAGGCCATTGCGTCTCACCCGATTTTCAAACGAAGCAAAAGCGACAACGACGGAAGCAGTTTGACACCGGAAAAGGCACACCCTCAGACATATTCCGTTATCATCATTTGCCCTGCTGAACACGCGCGGATGGCGATCAAGCAGCATATTGAGCACGTAGTGCCGTACTCAATTGCAGCTAATGTCACGACGATTCCGGATATTGGTTCCTTCCTGGATCTCTTGAATGGGCCGTCTCCGCCGACTTTCACGCACATTGTCCTGGATATCCCGGCGACGTCGGACATTATGTTGTTCATGCGCCAGATGGCGAATTTTACGGGCACGGTGATCCCAGCACTTGTGGTGATTACCGATCACTACCAGAAGCGGGATATTCTGGATGACTTTACTACCCTCACGGCCAGTGGGCGCAAGGCCTACATGATTCACAAACCGGTCAAGCCGTCTGTATTTGCGATGATTTTCGATCCTGCACAATTACGCAATCTGAGCAAGGATCGAGCACGTGAGGTCGCGCAGTCGAGCTCTGATGACTTCCGAAATATTGCCAACTTGGTCAAGGAGAAGGTTGGTGGACAGGAGCACCGAGTGTTGTTGGTAGAGGACAGCGACGTGAACCGGATGGTGATCCAACGCTATCTCAAGAAAGTTGCGCTGATCAACGACTGTGCCAAAAACGGGCAACAATGCGTCGACATGGTTCAAGGCAACGCTCCGGGGTACTATTCGCTTATCATCTGTGACATCCAAATGCCAGTCAAAAACGGGTATGAGGCGTGCAGAGAAATACGGGAGTGGGAAAGGAGTCACGGGTACCGGCCGTCGCCGATCATGGCATTGACAGCGCATGCTATGCCCGAGGAGCGCGCAGCCGCAGCGAATGCTGGATTTACCGACTATCTTACCAAACCGGTTGATTTTAATGTGCTGGGGACGATGATGATGACGCTACTGGATCCAACCGTGCCACACGTGTTCTTACATGATAGGCCTCTGGAGTCTTGAGTTTTGTCGAGGCGCAGGGGAACGATTTTCGGGTTAGGAAAAGCTCTGCGTCAGTGTGCGCTGTCCACGGGGCGAGAGGTCACTAGTTCATGGCATTGTCAATGCGTTGAGCGAGTCATTGCAAAGCATTTCTGGACATGGCGTTTTCCTGTTCATTGCCAGTGGCAACTTCATTTGCATCTTGTCGAGGAGGAGGGGGGAAAGTCTCTGTGATGGACGACTTCATGCTGTACAAGGATGACGGACACCGGCCACATTGTTTTTGCTTTTTTTTTTTCAACTAAAAGGGGAACTGGCATTAATGGGAAGAGGAGTAATATAAGGGCTGAACCACACCAGTGATGGGGGATAATGGCAGGTATGTCCATGGACAATGGGGTTAAAGAGGACCTAGCCTTGTTGTCAATATGATCAGAGCCGAAGCTAGGAGGAGACGAACTTCTTCTCCAACGAGAACCACGACATGCATGAATGGGCTTAGGGACAAATTAGTATCAGCGTTTGGCGAGGAAGGCGTGCTTGGTTTGGACGGCGAGACGGGGATGTAGGAAAGTGGCCTAGCTTTACTGTTTCAATAGCCACTGGGGACCTGCAAAATAGATAACCAGGTAGGTAGATGTACTTGGTACATATCTACTCATGCCGCACTGCCTCTTGAAAAGGAAATCTGATTTGGTTGGTAACGGTGAGAGGGAGTGTGAGTGAGTGGTGTTGATTTTGAGTGGGTGGTTCAATTTCCGTGCCAAGCCCTCAACACCCCCTGTGCCGCACAAAGTATATTCACCCCCGAGGCCGAAGTATTCCGTAGGCGCGACTTCCAGGTAAGAAGGTCGGTCTCAGGGGCCACCAAGACTGAGAAAAGGACGGCTAAGGTGAGCAGATTAGGGGTCATTGGGGGCGGGCAAACTAGGTACCTACCTACACTTCCTGTGACCTTGCGCCCCTGCCAGTCATTCGTAAACCACGGGACTATTTCTCAACGCCCAATGAGCCGGGCGTGGGGAGGGGGAGCCAGGCAGCCAGGCAGCCTCTTCCCCACGGAGACCAGGCGCCTATTTGATTCTTTCTCTCCGACTCGAACTCCCTCGAACGCGATCGGCTAGGAGTATGTGGTAGGTGGAATAAAGATCAACTTGCAACTATGGAGGCCAATGGCCGAGGAAAGGGGCGCAGCGACAAACATACATCTGGGTAGGGAATGTGGTTGATCTTTGTAAGCACACAGGCCCATGACCCAGGCCTATGTACATATCTCTATGATGCCTATGTTTGCTTACGTAGGTAGACAACGGGTGTGCCCGCGCCCATGACTGATACCCCGATACCAGCCGTTAGGTAGCCTTAGCCCCCTCCCCAACTGGTGCCGACTCACTAGATGTAATGCCTCGAGGTACCTACTTCGGCTGCCTGCGATGGTTGGCTTCCTTCCCTCCCTCCTCCTGACTTTACCTGTACCTTTCTCACACGTTCTTCTTTCTCTTGCCTTTCCCTTGCGCACGAAATTAAGCCGGTGACCACTCACCACCATCCTCACCTCCTTCCCACCACTCATCATTCATCACAACCACGACCACGACCACGACCGCCATCTCCTCTTCGCTACCTCGCGCTCCCACACTCACCCACTCGCCCACCAGGCTTCCTGCAACCATCACCCTCACCCCTCCCACGCGCCAACCGCCAACGCTTGACCCTTTCTTGACCCTGCCTCTCGCTGCTTTCATCCCGCCTCTTAACGTCTGGCGCTCTCTGCCACTCCTGAATCCTCCTCGACCAATTCCACTATGCGACCCTCTGTCCGCATCCACCGCTGCCCGCGCGCCTCGGCCACCCCAAAAAAAATCAAAATGTGGAAGTTCAATAAGATAATTTCCCAATACCTGTCCTCCAACACTCAACGTCTCGCACATCCCGCACACACAGACACGAACACACACCTCAACCAAGTGGCCTGCCCTCTGTCCCTCCCCTCCCTCCCCAAGGGTCCCATGTTAGTCTCGGAATTAAGACGTCTTTCCTATCTCTAAACGTACTCCCAGCGCCCACCTCCCTGGCCGAATCATCGCTCCTCCCGCCTCTTCCCACCCCTGCTCACGTATAATCACGAACCTTCTCCGTCCTCGCTCCATTCGCCTTTCAGAACAGCCACTCCCGTCCGCCGTTTCGCTTCTAGATCCCGCGGACTAGGGTCCCTCCAGTCCTGGCAAAATGCCTCGTCGACCCAATGATCGTCGCTGGCTTCCCGTTGCCTCCCCTCAACTGCCTGACTCGGCTTCAGCTGAGACTTTGATCCCACCCTGCCATCTCCTGCTCGTGGAGGGTCTCTCTCCGCTCTCTTTGGTCAACCCTCGACGGGCTTTTCCTTTGTCTCTGCCGGGCGGAAGGTGACGGACAGTGCCGACCCTGCTTCGACCCTGGCTCAACCGTCTACACATTGGTCCTACTTTTCTTCTCATCATGCTCAAGAAGCGGGGTCAGTGGACTCACCATGACACCATCCTCCCCTTGGACCACGACTCATATTGGTCCGCCCAGAGGGAGGTGATGAGCTGGCAATCTGCTCCCCTGCTCCCTTGTGTCAAGAAGAGTGCCCCAAATTTGCCTATAAAAACCCGTCTCATCTGTCTGAAAGTCCTCCTCCCTCCTTCTTCCTTTTCCATCACTCAACTTTGCAAGAGTTTGAACAAACACCTGGTTGACCTTCATCAGTCTTAGTCCAAGTTCAGAGAGTGCCTCAACCTCATCTCCACCACCATACATTACCTTATCCCTTGTCCCATTCACTTAGTCTTAGTTGAACTTATCTTCTCTTCACAATGGCCACCACCGCCTACTCTCGTCACCCCACCAGCTATGCTACTCACCAGAAGACCCTGCCCATCACCATGCCGTCCGGGAAGGCCCCAGTCTACAGTTACCCCCAATCCCGGGTTCTCGATTCTCCAGAACTTCCCGACACCAGCACATCTTATACTGGAAGTCGGACCTCTGCAGGTTCATATTCCGCCCGGTCCAGCTATGCGCCTAGTCACAGCAGTGGAGACTGCGACTCATACGCACATTCCGGTGTGGATGTTGTCGACATGCTCAGCGACAAAATGAACGCAGCCTTCGATCCTATTCGGATGGACCGCTCGCTGGCGAAACAAGCCCAGACGTAAGCAGCTTTTTGACATTCGTGACGGAATTGAGAGCCTAACCGTCAACAGATCCGGCGAATTGAATGCAAAACAGCGAGAGCTGCAAGAATTGCAAGCGATGGCCCAGCGGAGACTGAAATCTGCGCGGGTCAATTTCGCTGAAGGAGTCGAGGCCGTGAAAGAAGCCCGCCGAGACGTGGAATACACGTCTAAGAAGATCTCGTGAGTTCTGCTGCCACCTGGACAGGGCTCGGGCCATTCTCCGTGTGAAATGCGCAACAGCGGTCAAACTGACTTGTGGGGATCTTTAGGGCGATGAAATCGAAGGCAGAGAAGAAACATCCGGAGGCTTATGCGAAAGCCAGCCGCAGTCGCCATGCATGAGCCCATGACAGTCACGATTGACGATGCTACGAATTTCCTTGTCATTTCCATTGGGAGCCAATTTCTTCGACTTCGAAACGCCCCGAGAGCCTCCATTCTGCGGCCGGGGTGGATATGGGGGTGGGTTTTCCACTCATCTTCCACTCCGCTCAGACCTTTGGATGTCGTCAGACAACAGCAAATCAGCTTTCATGATCCAACTCGAACATCTATTCGCCGGGAGACTGAAATGCAGCCTTGGCGGTAGTCCTCCGGGGTGATTGACGTGGCAGTGGGTTTAGGGTTCCGCTCCACCCCACGAATTGAGCCAAGTTCCTTGCTGCTTTTGCCCCGCATGTTGGCCAGGGCGATGGCGTGCATGACGCCAGGCCCATTTCTGCAGCCGGAGAAATCGCCTGGTCGCCGAACTTGCACTGCAGCGATCGACTCTGCAGGAACCGACCCCCTCCAGCCAGGAAACGCCAGGCGGGTGCCACCGTGAAGTCCTCTGCAGGCACACTCGGTCCAGTTCTCGGGTTTGGTGCCACCCTCCCACCTGTCTGATTGGGTCACGAGCTCCCGTGCCAACCTTGGGGACGAGCGTCCTTCTCTGTAGAACTTCCCCTCCTTTTGGTCACAAGACCGTGATTCTGCAAGTGACGAGCCGGGGGACCTGCAGATGGTGTGGAGATTGTCGTGTGCTGCCTAGGCCGGATTTGGCGCTGGGCCGAAAGATCAGGGCAGGATGGGAGCAAGTTGCTGGCGTCCAGATTCACGTCCAGGGTACCGATTCTGTCTCTTGGGTGGTGGCGGTTGCGTTCCGGGGGGGTCCTGCTCCCCTGGCCCGTGGCTCGGACCGTGGCTTTGGGTTTCCCTGTTTCTTTTTTCACTCCCTATGTATTCTTATTCCCCTGGTGAGAGTTGCAATCGGACCAAAAAGTTTCAACCCTGGCCAGTTTGGCACCGAATTTGTCCCTTTAGAGGGAAGTCGTAGGGAAGCCCGAACTGGGTTTCTAGGGGGGCATGCAAGCCCACCACCAGGGCTGGTGGTGGGGGGTTTTAAGGGCATCGGCAGCTATTAGGGACTGGGGAGGCGCTGGAGGGTGCAAGGGGCATGTGGAGTGCCCCTAACGGGACAGTTGGCGTCGCGGAGAGGCGTTCCCAAGGTGATTGGGAACGCCGCTTAGGGGCGCGAGGCTGGCCCGGGCACCCATCACCAGGGGTCGAGAACAGGCCTGGGTGAACCGAGAAAGGCGGCTTGATTCCTGGAGCGGTAGTGGCCCTCTCGGAGCTTTGTCTAATGCCTGTAGAGGAACACGTGGTTGTGGTGGTCTCGTCTGTCTTCTCGCTTCTTTTGGGTTATGGACAACCTTCTTGTAAAGAGGCTGGCCCTTATTTGCCATGACTAGCTATCTATTTCACCGATTGCGAGACACGCCCAGACCAATGGCTTTAGTGTGGTAAAAGTCTTTTTACAATGACAATGGAAAGGGGAAAGGGGTCCAGAACCTTTTTTTCTTATTATGGTGGAAATCACTTCTGGTTAAAATGCGCCCTCTCGCGTGTTACCCAGCCTGACCTGACCACTATCGAGTCTCCCGTACTAACTGATACGAGGTACGTCCAACCCTTGTCCTCTGCCCCATGTACTGCGTACTACTAGTAAGTATATTACCGAGGCCCTGAAGGGTGCGAGAGGAGACTTTTTACAGGGGATGTGAGGGAGAGAGATTCTATCTGGCACCACGAACCCATTTCCACCGCCCACCGTGCACGGCGTGGCTTCACGAGGCCGCGTCGCCCCTTTTTATTCCCCTGCCCATAGGTATCACTCCTTTACCCTTTACTTTACTTTCCCTTTCCTTCTCTTTTTTCATTTCCCCTCCCAAGGGGAGAGAGTCTTGAAGCCGATTTTTATTCCTTTTTTTTGGCCTCGTCTCGATTTTTCAGACTGTGTTCTATACTGCGGTGTGGTGTGGTGCCGTGCTAAATCAATGAATTTTCTTCAGGTCCATTGATTTCTGTTTGATGGTTGATGACGGAGGGGAGTTTCAAGGTTCGGAAAATACAAACATGCGCCCTTTGACCATGACTTGTCTCGTCCAATACTGTCCAATATCCAGTCTCTGAGAGAGTAGGGAAAGTAGGGAAACTACGTGGTGTGGAATGTGTTGATCATGCTTGGGAGCGTCTCTCCTGCAGAAATATACGTCGACATATGTCCGCGACAGGAGGGGGATTCAGATTCGTGTGGTTCAGCCGACTACCAGGTGGACACGGAGTTGTATAACAAGATTACCATCTTTTATTTGAACAAAGTTACATGATGGTACGTAATCATCTTGGTTGTGCTAATACTCGCTCGTGAAGTCCGCTGTCGATCTGGAGTCGAGCTGGGTTGCTCTATGAACCGTCACCCTTCCCCGTCCCCACATTGCTGCCAGAGTTGTCTCCGCCCTTCCCCGTCCTTCGAAGTCGGAACCAGGGATCGTCGGCCACAAAGGCGGGCTTGAAGAAGACTCTGTCACCTCGCGCGTTGATTTTGCCACGGGACAACTCTTCCAGCTCTTCCGGCGTGAACGAGATGCCCGTTTCCGGAGAGACGAATGCGTAGTTTGTCTGTGGTTGTTGGTGTAGTAGTGGTGGTGGTGCTGGAAGAGGTGTTGACCGATCTGGAACCGACGGATTTTTCACATGTCCAGGCGTCTCTGAGGACCCGGACTCGAACTCGACCTCCTGTAGATGGCTAGACCTCGAGAGATCAGATGACCCTGGTGCACCAGGCGCTATCTTTCCTGACTGTATTTCCACGGCTGGAGCATTCGTGGCAGATGTGTCTGGGGGTGAGGTCAGGAACAGCGACTTTATCCTCAGTCATGAAGGAGTATTTTGGGGAGGAAGAGGGCGAGTGAGAGACCAGTAGTCACAAGTGACAAGGAGAAAGCCATCTCGCGCAATCTGCACAACTGACTTACGGGGTTGATGTTTGGGTCGGCGCTCAGAAAACGAGCTGAAGCCCATCATCGCGCGCATCGCAGCTTCGGGGTCACCGTGGGCGCCATCTGACTGGTCCGGAGACTCAGACATTGAGTGACGCAAGCAAAGCTGAAAAGCGAATGTCAGATTGCCGAGTTGATTTGGAGCGTGGGAAGGTATCGACCAGGTGTGAAGTCTGAATGAGATACTGGAAGCAGACAAATCAAATCAAATGACGTGTCTGACAAAAGTCAAGTGTTTACTCTGACGTCATTGCTCTGCCAGCCAGCAGCACCAGCGGTGCCGTTTTATCTCGATATAAAACACCAGAAAGGTCTAAAAAACATATATACGACCAATTTGACTGGTATATCTCCTTAAAATATGCCGCTCTCGTCCTCGGGCCCTTCTCTGCTACATATACACGAACGCACAGGAAGAGGTGGACTGGTGATGAGGTGTTGCACGCAATGAGCGAGCCACTTCCGCAATGTCTCTGTTGAGTCTCAGCCATCGATTTCCTGCTTGTATTTGATGAATTTAGGAAAGATTTTGTTGAAGTAAGACGTCCGAGAATGATGACCCGACGTCAATTCCACTTTGATTTACATCGCCCTCTGATCACACCGGAACAGGACTAGAGCTTCGCCTTCGCCTCGTCGCTTATCCCAACCACAATTTTCCCCCAGGCCGTCCCCGTGCTCAACAACTTCATAGCATCTGGAACCCGCTCGAGACCCTGGAACTGCTTCTCCGTGTAGTTCAGGGGTACAATACCGCCCTTGTTGATGAGATCCAAAAGCTTATCCCACACCTCCACCACGCTCTGAGGGTCCTGGTTGGCATACTCACCCCAAAACAACCCAGACAGGCTGACGTTCTTGAGGAGCAGTCTGTTGGTCGGGATTTTCTCAATCTGTCCAGCGGCAAATCCGATAATGCACAGTCGCCCATCCCACCGGATGCATTTGAGCGAATCAGAAATGACCCCAAGAGGATCGAGCACGACATCAACGCCTCGTTTGTTAGGCGTGAGGTTTCTTGCGGCGGTAGGCCAATCGCCTTTGGAATCGATCACGTAAGAGGCACCAAACCGGGTGGCAATCTCGCGCTTCTTTTCTGTGTCAGCCGACGCAATGACTTTCATGCCGAGGGCATTGGCGATAGTAACAGCTGCGAGACCAACACCCCCGCCAGCACCGTGAACCAGTACATAGTCACCTATCGTGAGTTCAACGTTAGCATTTCTAGTAAAGATATTCGCAAAGTGGGACTAAGAGCCAACATACCTGGCTTTGCCTGTGCTCGTAGGATAAGCGCTGCATACGCCGTCGGAGCCGTGTAAAACAGGCTGCTTGCCTCGATGTGGCTCCATCCGTTCGGCGTCCGCCTCAAGGCGGCAGCGGGAGACTGGATCATGGTCGCGAAAGCCCCTGATCCCGCGCCAAAGACGCGGTCACCCTTTTTGAACTTTGCATCTTGGGCATGTGGCGAAGTGGGAACCGCGATGATCTCGCCCGCAAACTCGCTACCCGCGATCCAGGGAAAGGGCGGTTTCACCTGATGTTTGCCCTGGATCTGCAGAATATCGAAAAAGTTGATGGCGGCAGCGTGGATCTTGATCAGATATTTGTCGGGGGAAGGGCCGAGGTCAGGGAGCTCGACGATCCTCAGGTCATCGGGACCTTTGGCGAGTTCGTTTAGCTGGTAGGCCCTCATCTTTTTTTTCGGTGTGGTTTGGGAGCACGGGGATTGTTGAGGAAAGAAGTTATTGAAGTGTAGTTGTAATTGATTCTATCATCACCCTGTCAAAGGATCGCCGAGTGGAAGACCATGTTGCTGTTTGCTGGGCATCGAATCCAGCCACCTTTTCGGCAATACCGAGGCTTCTCCTAGGAACTGGTTCGGCAAGCGGCTTATGGCCTCCGGATCGCGGGTCAGATTCTCCGAGTCATAGAGGAGCCGTCAATGGAGGATGCCAAGTAGCCTCTTTCTGGGTGCTTGGCTTGAAGGACTGGTCAAACAAGTCAGAGGACCAAAGCAGCAGATCGGGTTTACTTTACCACGCTCACTCTCCCCGGGACTCCCAGGCAAGTGATTGCTGTCGGAGTTGCGGACTGTCAGTTATTGGCGGATCCAACATTCTTCACTGCACGCACATATACCGCTTTCTTGGTGCTTGTGCTTTGACGCGTCCTCATGTCCGGTTGACTTGATGCTGGTTGAACAGATGTCGGGGTAAATCCGGGGATTCGGAGGCCGAGGGATTGCACAAGCATTGTTGCACGTGATACCGGATAGGAAGAATATAACCCCGAGACTCGGCAAGGCTTGGCATTTTGAGTTCCACTTCTTTTTGGCGTTTGCTCTTCCTCTCACTACCGAGTATAAGATGGGAACTGGTCTTGCCCATAAATCCCAGCGTCTCGTTGCTCTCACGGCATTTAGCCGCGCGGGTTTGAAGCAATTGAACGAGATGCTCAAACATCACAGGCACAAGTTCAACCCGAACCCATGACCAACCTCAGATTCATAGGTAAGGCCATCAAACTACAGCTGCCGTGCGTGGGGCTGCGTGTTATTATACGTACCGAAGTGCAAATCGAATGGGGCTATGTCGGGGTTCGAGCCTGTGCAACTCCAACATTCGCAATCTCTTCATACACGGCAGCCAGATAGCAGATATTCGGCATTTCCTGCAATACAGGCCAGGCCAGGAATCAACATGTGCAGCCCACCTCACTCAGCTCAGCTGACTTGCTACGGGCACCACAGGCACCTGAAAGCGGGGTAAAACAGCCATATCATGCTTAAACTTCACGCTGTGTGATGTTCCTGATTTCTTTTTCGATAACCTTATACCATAACTTCTGTCGGGTTGTATACAGCAACCCCTGAAGGTGAAAGGCGCCAAGTTGCCAAGTTGGACTGGCCCAGTCGCATCCCTACCGGGGCCAGCACGTATCAACTATGGCGGCGGCTCCGATCATTGAAGCCATGCCGGTATTAGACCCACCAAAACCTACTAAAACAGTGTCATGGCTGTCTAGGGAGGTTGATTTCGACCCCAAGGCTCTCAAATCAAAGTACCTGACCGAACGAGACAAGCGTCTGGACAATGGCGGCTTCAACCAGTATCGACCCGTCGAAGGATCACTTCTGGGCTACGTCGAGGATCCTTATGTCGAGCCGGGCTTCACTCGCGATCCCGTTGACTTGGACTGCGACGTTGTGATCATCGGCGGAGGCTACGGAGGTCAATTAGTCGCGGTGCGGCTAATCGAGCAAGGCATAAACAACTTTCGCATCATCGAGAAAGGCGGTGATTTTGGAGGCACATGGTGAGTCTGAATGTCTGTAGGAGACCTGGTGTTATTTAACAGGGCGACTCCTAACAAAAGCCTCTCCCCTAGGTACTGGAATAGATATCCGGGGGCCCAATGCGACGTGGAATCTTACATCTACATGCCACTTCTGGAAGAGACCAACTACGTGCCAACAGAGAAATATGCGCATTCTCCAGAGTTGCTGGCTCACTCGCAAAGAATCGGAAAGCAATATGACCTCTATTCCAGGACTCTCTTTCAGACCGAGGTGCTCTCCTTGCGGTGGTGTGCCTCTACCTCCTCTTGGTCTGTAGAGACGACGAGACAAGACAGCATTCGAGCACGCTTCGTCATTCCTGTCGCCGGTCCGCTCCATAGACCCAAGCTTCCTGGATTGCCTGGCATCGAGTCATTTCAAGGCCATTCATTTCACTCGAGTCGTTGGGATTACGAATATACAGGAGGGAATGAGAGCGGCGGGCTCACCAAGCTCGCGGATAAGCGGGTTGGTATTATCGGCACGGGCGCTACTGCCGTACAACTAGTTCCGCAACTCGGGGCGTGGGCCAAGGAGCTCTACGTGTTCCAGCGGACACCATCTTCGATCGATGTTCGAGGGAACAAACCGACCGACCAGGACTGGGCGAAGACGTTACACAAGGGTTGGCAACAGGAACGCATGGATAACTTTACCATCATCCTCAGCGGTGGGTATCAGGAGAAGGACCTGGTCGCCGACGCATGGACCGAGTCTCTAGGAAATCTCCGTCCAAACCCGACAAAGATGAAGGCCATGTCTCCCGAGGCATACGCCGCGGAGCTCCAACTGGCCGATTTCAAGAAGATGGAATCGCTACGTGCGCGGGTAGACGCCATCGTCAAGGACAAAAAGACGGCCGAGGGCCTGAAGCCGTGGTATAACCATTTTTGCAAACGACCCTGTTGCCACGACGAGTATCTACAGACGTTTAACCGGCCAAATGTCCATCTCGTTGACACCCAAGGCAAAGGGGTGGAAGCGATCACTTCGAACGGCGTCGTGGCAAATGGGAAAGAGTATGAATTAGACTGCATTGTCTACGCCACGGGCTTCGAGGTGACGACCGACTTTTCGCAACGCGCCGGGATGGAGATATACGGGCGCGACAATCGGACATTGGCTGAGAAGTGGCGACAAGGGCCCCTGACCTACCACGGCTGGACCACCCACGGGTTTCCCAATTGCTTCCTCGTTGGCAATCTCCAATCCGCTCTGTCGGTGAACTTTATCCACCTCACCAACGAACAGGCCCGACATCTCGCCTACGTCGTGTCCGAGTGCAAGAGACGCGGGATCGCCACGATCGAAGCGACGGCCGCCGCAGAGGCCAAATGGGTCGACACCATCGTCGAGACCACCAAGATGAGATTCAACCTCCTGCGCGACTGCACCCCGGGCTATTACAACAACGAAGGCGACTTTTCGCTGCGTGCCCAACGCAACGCACCGTACGGAGGGGGTGTGCTGGCCTTTATTGACATTTTGAACAAGTGGCGGCGGAACAATCAATTCGAGGGTCTCGAAGTCACGCGGTTGGGGAATGATGTTTGAGACGTGGATTGTTTGATAGCGTATGTCTGAAGAGTAGAGCTAGGAGAGAACGGTGCTGTAGATGCTTTGTAGAGAGGAGTATTCAATGGTCTTGGTCTGTAGGGCTGTGACCTTAGATCGGCGTCATAAAGCTAAATAGAGAGCTATGTCCTGGTCTCCAAGCTTACCATCTGTCGTGTCCATGTGTATTGGTAATCGACGTACGTCAGATATGTATGTCAGATCCAGGTGGCAGCATATCACCAGTAGGCCGATCTTCTCTTCTAGAGGTGTCATGGACCGGGAAGCCGAGTATTACCTGGTCCCAGACCTCTGGTGCCTGTGTTGCGGAGGGACAGCCTTCGGCCGCTAGTGCTCACGCCCCATAGATACTCGTAGATGCCTAGATACCTACCTCGTACCAGTACGAGGTAGAGGTAAGCGTTACGGGGACCCCTGGATCCACTCAGCCTCGCTCGTCCACTCCTCATTCATCCACTCGGGATGAGTAAATCGTACGTGATGTCCCTTTGAGAAATGATGGGGTAAGACCTTTTGAAGAACAGGGTGTACGAGGCATGTACCTCCAATTGGGGCCTGGTACATGGTACTTGGTGCCTGATGCCTGATGCCTGATTCCTGATGTAGCCATGGCGACAAGAACGCGTTTTGGCCCCCATTACTTGGTCAGTTATTCTCGAGCTGAGATAGGCTACAGTGATTAACTAACTAGAACTAGGTACCTACCAATGAGGAAGGTAATTCACTAAGAAAAGCCCCGAGTAATACTGTAGTTTGAACTACTTGTTTATCATGTAGACGACAACACCGTGACTTTTGTCAGTCAAGCCCAGCATCGTTAATCTTGACCAAGCAACCGACTCAAAAAAGGGATATCTCCAAGAGATTACCGATACCAAACCGCAGACCGTGAATTCGAACCACCCTACTCGTCTGTGAATGTGATTGTGAGATGGACATGCTACAGAGGCCGAAACTCGTCCCGATCAAAGCCGTCCCTGGCCTGTTTATATCCGAGTACGTGAAACAGGTTCTTTCCTACCCTCTCTCAGTCTTACTCCTATTCTCTTTTCTTCAATATTTCCGCCAAACACACAAAATGTTGAACTCATCAATGGAAAACTACGTGTGTCTAGTCGCTTTGCCGCGTCTTCGACTCGTTGCCGCCGAGAAGATAACATCGTTCGCATTCTCTCGGTGGCACAGGGCCATGAAATTGGGCGTGCAGCAGCAGATGCTCGCCCACATCTTGACGCTGCGCGGAGAGAAGCAGGCGATGAAAAAGAGAGAGATCCTCTCAATATCAAAACCTGGGCGATCGAAATCGACGACGACCCCTTTGTCGATATCCTCCAGTATCTCGGGGAGGCGTGTGACTGGATCGAAGACGGGTTGAGTCTGGGTCGGAGTGGTGAGGAAGGGGAAGGAGAAGAAGGGCATGTCGCTGGAAATCGAAATCAGCTTCAACCCGGTGTTCTCGTCCACTGTAAGCTGGGCGTTTCTCGCTCGGGAGCCTTTGTCGTGGGATTCTGTACGTACCAGCATTCTTTGGTCAATTCTTACTGTCTCACAAATTGAAACGAGGGAAATATGCAGTGCTGACATTGGAACTCACACAAAAAAAAGTGATGCGGAAATTCAAACTCTCGTACTCGGACGCCCTGACGCTGGCGAGGGAGTCACGCCCAGAAATATGCCCAAACAGCGGGTTTGAAAAGCAGCTTCGCGTGTGGGAGTTTTGTCAGTACAACGCATACCTCGACGAGAATGGTCGGGAGGCTACACAGACGGAGCGTCGGAAGAAGCCATCGTACAAGGCATGGATCGCCGAGCGGGACAACCTGCTGCGTCGGGGAGAGGAGGATGTCAATCGAGCGAGGGTTGCGAGTCTGGCGAGCATGGCGGCGCGGTTTGGGAGGAAGAGACAAGACGAGGTGGCGAACGAGCAATCACAAGACACGGGTGAAAGTGGTGGGAGGGAGAGTGCTCAGCAGAATCAGCGGAAACTGGGTTGGGAGAGGGTTCAGAAGATGGAACAAGATTGGAATGAGAGGCTGATTCGAGGCCAGTTCCGCGCTGGAGATGGAGATGCTCAAGGACTCAAGGAGTGATTTGGGCAATTCGCCAGTCTCCAGGAGATGTGATGGAGACGAGCCGTGAGTGTTCTGCAATGAGACGTTTGGTGCAGTCGAGGGCCTGCACGGTCAATCCATTGCACATGTCACTGCCAGAGTGTATGGCCACACTTTACCTACCTGCCACTTCTTTATGCACTGGGAGACTTGCATCTTGTTACCAGAGACACCTGACCAGGACCCTGGAGTGACTGTAGATGCGCAGCTTGTAGTCGAGAACAGAAACCATGTCAGGAGGATATTTCTGCAATCGCTTAGTGAAACTCTCATCTGGCCTCGCCCGAACAAACGTGGTGAGTCCCGCATCCTTATACCGAGAACCGGAGTGACTACCTCGATGGGCACATCCACGCGTCATCTGCATTGGTATCATGTGTCGCTGAATTGATGAATCTCGAAACGGAAGGTCCCTTGACGCGTATCAAGTATCGTCCAGTTGAGAGGTTTTGATTGGGCCATGTATGAGCGGACAATTGTGGGTAGGGCGACGAGGTTCCCCGGAAGCAACTTGCCGCCATGACTGCTGGACACCAGGTAGACCGATATAGAGGGATCAAGGCCTCCCTGTCATGCGGTCATCTCTGTCATGAAGGAGCCCTGCTCGGTCAAATCCCCCCATCTTCTCAAAAGCAGTCACAGGATGTATTTTGTGTCCTTGTATCGACTCCTCCCCAAACCCCGCGTTGTGCCGATCAAGCCTTCAAGGATGCGTGGAGACGTCGATCATCATCTCCACAGAAACTGATCTGGCTAATTGGAGATTTAGCTTGATATTGACTGCATAACCTGGCCTTTTATCCGTGCAAGCTTCACCACTTACCTGAGAGACATCTCCATCTGCATCAACCCCTCGTTCTCTCAATACCACTTCGTGCCCTGCTCGGTTGAAATACCGGCGAAGCAGCGATGTTCGAGAGGCATTCCTGGGGAATATGGAGAGCACTCCGAGAGAAGTGGAATCGAAATACCACTGGATGGAGTATTTAGACCATGAGGGCGACAGCTGGGACGAAGAAGTCTCCCTGAGTCCCTTTCGAACCGTCTGAGCCCACATCGCCATGATGAGATTGCTTGCCCCGTTTCTTTTCGGTGGCCTCACTACCGTTGCCGGCGCAGCTTGCATATCCGGCCAGAGCCTTTCAGTCACCGCGAGCACAGGCATCTTCACTGGGCTCCTCAACCCAACTTACCCAAATGTTCGCGAATTTCGCAATGTTCCATATGCTCTTCCTCCAACAGATGAACGCCGCTGGCTCCCCCCTCAGAAGCTTCCGACCTCAAACAAGCATTATGATACCACTCAATATCCGCTTTCATGCCCACAGTTTGTGAGCAGGGTCAAGTCGGTGTGGAGTGAGCAGATTCCGGAATGGTTGATCTTTGATGGCGGTGAAAGCACCAGTGCCGGCCTGTATGCGTACGGGACGTCTGAAGATTGCCTGAGTCTGGCCATTTGGACTCCACTCAATGCCACGGCGGCTTCCAAGCTCCCGGTGATTATGTTCATGACAGGAGGTATGTCCCCTTTGAGAGATCCTTTCGTCGTTCTGACAAGCCCTTCAGGAGGCATGGTAACTGGAGGAGTCAATATACCGATCCAAATACCGGCTGAATGGGTAGCTCGAAGCCAGAGCCATATTGTGGTAACCATCAACTACCGGGTGAACATCATGGGCTTCCCCAACGCGGCAGGATTGACAACTCAAAACTTGGGCCTTCGAGATCAAAGAGCAGCACTCGAATGGCTCCAGGCCAATATTGCCAGCTTTGGTGGTGATCCAACCGCTATAACGCTCTGGGGGCAATCAGCAGGTTCTCGTTCGACCGACTATTACAATTTTGCTTACTATAAAGACCCTATAGCACGCGGCTTCTTCATGGAATCTGGAACAGCATTATCAAGCACTGCGAATGCTGACGTCGATGGCACCAACTTCACATTTGTGGCACGCAGTCTCGGGTGTGACTTTCCAACCAACAAGACTGCTGAGTTAGAATGCATGCGAAGAGTTTCTGTCAGTGAGATCGAGAACTTTGTTGGTCAGTACCAGGACAATTCAAGCACAACAAACACTGGTCAGGCCCCAATCGCTTTCACCCCAATTGCGGACGAGGACGTCGTCTTTAGTAATTACACTGCCCGATATCAGGCTGGTCAGGTTGCGAGAGTGCCGGCTATAATTTCGAACACCGCCAACGAGTATGCATCACTGGCACCGTATCCATTGAACAATCTCACCGCAGGCCCTAATCCACAAGCAGTGTCGGCAGGTACTCTCAACACCGTCTGCGGCATTTCAAACTCAAGTCTGCAGCGCAACGACCTGAACATCTCTACCTTTCGGTATGTCTATGGCGGGAACTTCTCCAACATCAATCCGCTGTGGTGGATGGGCGCATATCACGCCGCAGATCTGGCCATGATGTTTGGGACATATGGTATCAGAGCTGGAGAGGTGTCACAACTGGAAATCGAGACGAGTGCCGCCATGCAAGACTATGTTCTCGCATTTGTCAAGGATCCAATCAATGGACCACAGAGTGTAAACTGGCCTGCGTATGATCATCGCAATGCGGGTGGCCAGATGATTTTGTTTGGCGCTGACGGAAAAGCCGTTCAACAAGTGAATGGGACCTCTATTGAAGGCGTCTGTTATGGCCAAGGCACTTATGATAGCACTCCCTGAGTTCGATGTCCTTTGGTACCGCAAAAAGGTCAATGGCTCGCGTGGTACACATGTGGTAGGAGAGCGGATGGATTCTGCGGCATTTGGTTCGATGAAAAGAAACTCGGTGGACGGAAGCAACAATGCATAAGTAGAGCAGGTTAAGATTAATACATCGCATACTCCGGGAATGGACCAAGACACCCCAAGATTCGGGAGGTGGCATATCGGGTGAAGGCAACGTGTTTCAGTGGGGAGTTTCGCTTGGAGGAAACCGTCAATTCGTCGTCCGCAGGCGGCCGAGGCCAGAGAAGCTGGGCGAGAGGCGCAGCCACGCAGTCCAGCATCCAGCATCCTGCATTGCCTGCGCTCATTGTTCCAGATCTTCTTCTCCCCCCCTCATAATCATCACTTGTACTTTTTTGATAGATTGATAGTGATCCTATCCCCGTCTACCGGTCACCGTCGCGGTAACATCATTTCCTGCATGCATCGACGATAATGCGACAGTGAGTGGCGTCCCTCGGGACATCACTCTTATCCATCGAACCACCATGGGGGACAAAAGCCAATACCAGCACCTGCCCATCCCTACCTATGAGGAGGCCACTTCATCCCGTCCTACTTCCTCCCAATCCAGACTCGGTCCAGAAGAGATCAGCGACGATGCGGAGAGGCAAGGTCTCCTTGGGTCCTTGGGAAACTATCACCCCCCAACGGTCGAGTCTGCGCGACCGAGTCTCGATTCCCTCGACGGTATCGAGCAAGATGGCGAAGATGAGGTGCGCAGAGAGATGCAGCAGATGGACGTGGAAGACCCCCTGAGCGACTCCTCCCATCGCTCCCTCCTTCGATACCGCCTCTCCAAGAGTTTCACCAACCTGACCAACTCGTTCTCCTCCTTAACCCTCCCCTCCTTTCGCCAGTACCTCTCCAAGATTTCATGGCCGCGAATAAACTATCAACAGTTCGATGCGAACCGCGTCGTCATCATTGGGCGACTCTTCGGTGTTTTCTTGATCATGGGTGTTCTTTATGTACTTATAGCGTCGGACGTTCTGTCATTTACAAAGAATCGCATGGGAATGGGCCAGATATACGACCCCGAGTCTATCAGAATATTTGTACAGAACCATATGAACGATCATGGAGATATGCAAAAGTATCTGGAGCACATAACGGACTTTCCCCATATCGCGGGGACCGAGGGCAATTATGTCCTGGGAGAATGGGTGGCCGAGCTATTCAAAGCCGGTGAATTGGAAGACGTGGAAATGGAGAGATACGAGGTCTATCTCAACTACCCACGGAGAGACGGGAGGAGAGTAGCGATTGTCGAGCCGGACAGTATGAAATGGGAGGCTAGATTGGAAGAGGATCAAGAGGAGTCTCTGGTGTTTCATGGTCATTCGAAGTCGGGCGATGTGACGGGTCCACTGATATACGCCAACTTCGGGTCGAGGGAGGACTTCAAGACGCTCGAAGATAACAACATATCCGTCAAGGATGCCGTCGTCCTCGTTCGCTATTATGGCACTCAAGGAGACCGGGCGCTGAAAGTCAAAGCCGCAGAACTTGCCGGCGCTGCGGGATGTATCATCTACTCTGATCCTGCCCAAGATGGCTACGTCCAGGGACCGACGTTTCCAGACGGGCGATTTATGCCGCAAGATGCTGTACAGCGGGGCGCTGTCAGCCTCATGTCCTGGGTGGTTGGAGATGTTCTCACTCCCGGATGGGCTTCAACGCCAGATAACAAGAAACATCTCAAACCCGAGGAGAGCGCCGGTCTCAACAAGATCCCGTCCATTCCCATCTCCTGGGAGGATGCGAAGCAGCTACTCGAGTCCCTTAAAGGACACGGCAGTCAGATGAAGGATGGCTGGCAAGGAGTTCCTGACTTTGAATACTGGACGGGGAATCAGGAGTCTCCGAAAGTCAACCTCAAGAATCTCCAGGATGAAGAGCAGAAGCAACCCATCTACAACGTGTTGGGCAAGATCACAGGTTGGGAACAGCCCGAGAAGAAGATAGTGGTGGGCAACCACCGCGATGCATGGTGCACAGGCGCCGCCGATCCCGGCAGCGGCACGGCCGTCATGCTCGAAGTCGTCCGGATCTTTGGTGAACTGCGTCGACTAGGTTGGCGGCCACTCCGCACAATCGAATTCGCCAGCTGGGACGGGGAGGAGTACAACCTGATCGGCAGCACCGAGTATGTCGAGAGTCGTGAAGACCAGTTGCGTGAAGATGGAATCGGCTACCTCAATGTCGATGTCGGAGTGACCGGTACCGACTTCCACGCCGCCGCTTCTCCCCTGTACGAACGGCCCCTTATGCACGTTATCAACCGCGTCAGTGATCCTTCCACTGGGAAATCTATCCGCGAACTCTGGGACGCCGATAGTCGAAGAATTGAAGGCCTCGGCGCAGGAAGCGACTTTGTTGCCTTTCAAGACATCGTTGGCACCTCGTCGATTGACATGTTTTTCAAGGGAGCTAGATTCCCCTACCATTCTTGCTATGATAACTTCGAGTGGATGGCCAAGTTCGGTGACCCAGACTGGTCATACCATAAGACCATGGGTGAGATTTGGGCGCTCCTCATTCTGGAGTTGGCCGATAGGCCGCTCATTCCCTTCGACATCAGCGCCTACTCTAGGGCTATCGAGAGGTATATCGACGACCTGAAAGCGTATGCGGAGTCAGCACCTACAGCAGCCGACGCAAACACTCTCGATCTCTCCCCCTTGCGGAAGGCAGCGGAACTCCTTGCTCAGGAGGCCCTGCGCTTCCACACTTTCGACTCGGCCTGGCGTGACTTCATCTTCGGCTCCGGAGGTTTCGAATCGTCGACCATGGGCCTCGCTCGCTTGGATCACAACAATCGCCTCACACGTTTTGAGACAGATCTTCTTGACCTGAGCGATGGCGGAGGACTGGCCAACCGAACACAGTTCAAACATGTCATATTTGCCCCGCAGCTGTGGAGTGGATATGACGATGCGACATTCCCCAGTGTGAGAGATGCCATCAACGACGGAAACTGGGTTTTGGCGCAAGCCGAGGTCGAGAAAGTGGCGGGCATACTGGAAGTGGCAGCAGGAAAGCTGAACTCATAAGACCACTTGGGAAGAAAGAACAGGGAATCCGGATTTTATCATCAAGGCTTGCTGCTCCGAAAGCACCAGGTGGTGGCAGGCAGGCACCGAACTACCGTGCGAATACTTGTCAGAGATGCCACGCAGGGGTTTTTCCTTCTTCTCCTGTTTTCATTTTTCGAAGCACGAAGACCAGGCCGGATGGGTTCGTGGTTTTATTGCTCCTGTTCTGCTCGGTGTCTATTGTGAGGAGGGCAGGACAAAAGGAAAGCACGGCGTACTGGGGCCAAAGGGAAGGGTGATTGATGAGCATGTCTCGGAAGGACGCTGTCACTGTTGTGTGAGCGTAAGTCTTTCAAGATGTGCAATACAGGGAGACTAGAAGTGAGTGACGGGACAGACGCGTCCATGTATGTCCAACCGGGTTTCTCCTATTGATACGTGGGTATTTGCCAGCTTTGCGATATTTGAGTATATATATGTACCTCCTTTTTGCCTCCCACGGGTCCTTTCAGACTTCCTTCTTGAAACTCTTCGCCAGAGCCCAGAAGTTCTCCATCTTTGCTCTGCTCAACACGTCCCGAGCTTGTGCGTCTGTCTCACACACCCTGGCTCCCAGCCACCGCTTGAAATTGCGCTGTTTCTCCTCGCCCTTGAAGATCAACTCGCACTTGTTCAAGCTCAGATCTTTCAGTTCGCCATTCTCGTCCTCGGCCTCGAGCCACTTTGCCAGGGCTTCGCGGTTCCCTTCTGCCACAGACCGGGGCGCTTCCATCTCGGTCCATCGAATGCGGTTCTGCATCACCTTGTCGTAGTTCCGGATGCTGTGTTCGCCGCCTTCGACCACGACGAGGTTCATTTTCGGGTGCATGATGACGACGCCCGTGAGCCTATTCTGGTCCGCATTGACAGAGACTTGGTATCTGTGTTTGCCGTTGGCCAGCGAGTCGATTTTGTAAACGCGTATGTGGATCCCACGGGCGGCGTCTTCGGCTTGCTGCTTCGCCAGTTTTTCGGCGCGTTGTTCTTTCGATAATTTGCGTGACAGATTGTCTTCTTCGGCCTTCCTTGCTCGTTCTGCGATCTCCCTGTTCACGCGGGCCTCGACAGCCGTGGGATCTTTGACGGCTTCCTCACCGAGAACACGCATCAAGTTACTCTTTTTCACTTTGGGCGGAGGAGGTGGAACGAGGCCTAGTCGGATCTTGGCTTGCTCTTCCTTGAGATCAGCCATGCGTCGTTGACGGCGCAATTTGGCCTGTTCCTTGGATGTGAGATACATGGGTTTCGGTGCCGGATTGTTCTTCTCCTGCGGTGGCTCGATGAGAACAGGGTGCTGGATATAGACTGTGATGATGCTGTCCGGGGTATCGATTTTCAGATTTGCCGGATCGGAGATGGCATCATAGGATTTGCCATTAACAAGACCTTCGTCCCACCATTCCAGGTCAGGCGGGGCAGGGACAAGGAACGCTTTTTCGGTATCGAGATCCTCTTCCAACCCAGCCTGCCTCGCGCGCTCCGCAATCTTCTTCTTCATAGCTTCCAATTGCGCTTGTCGTCGGAGTGCCGCCGCTTGTTGCATGTATTTGCCCTTTTGGTTGAAGACCAGCTGTCTAGAATGCCGGGCTTTGGGTAGTACATTCCGCGAACCCAGATTCGGATCGAAATAAGGGTTCTCTTTGAGTTCATCCAACGAAGGCCCCGAGAGATCCAGCTGTGCCTTTTGTTGCAACGGGGCAGGAGATTCTGTTCTTCGGTTTCCCATAGCAGTTGCAAACTTAGGCTGCGGCGCTCGCCCCTTGTTCCTCTGAGCGTCATGCTGGGTATCGGCCAGCAAGTCAGGGTGTATACCAATGTTCAATCCTCCTCGTGCTTTGGACATATCGTCATTGTAGGCTGGCGCGGTGTAATTCGTTGATGGCCTTTGCTGAGTCTGGGTCGCTATTCGACCAGTTGCCGCCGCTACACGGGCCCTCATCTGGGCAATCCTGTCGGCTGCACTCAGAGGAGGGGTGGGGGACGCACTCGTTGCCATCGCAGGCGACGAGGTTGCTGCACCATTCTTCATGGCTGCCAGTTTCGCTTTCAGTTCGGCCGCCTTGGCCGCAGCCGCAGCCTTAGCACGAGCCACTATCGCATCGGCATCTGGCTTTGATCCCATCGGCGTAGAGGAGGCGGAGGTGGCTGCGGTTGTGGGACGAGGAGAGCCATTGTTGGATCTGGCACGTTTCTGGCTCTCGGCTTCATCGTCTTCCGGGTGAAGCCTTTTCAGCACATTGCTCGCTCTGTCTGCCATTGCGAAGGTTGAAAGAGGAGGACTCACTGTGCGCAAGAGAATGAGGGCTCCTGCAGATGCTTCGAGCTCGCGTGAGGTGAGGTGAGGTGAGGTGAGGCGCGAGAAGGATGAGTGGGTGATGTTATGATGGCAGGCTGGTTGCTTGAACAGTCGCGAGGGACCAACGCCAAGATGAGTAAAAACTACTCGCGCCTCATCCCGGATTCGGACGGGGGTGATGCCGCCCTACACTCACCTCGAGGCCCGCCCGGCTGGCACGAGTCGGGGTACCTGGGTAAGCTCTGATCTGTGTCTCCGGGCGCGGGGGCCAGAGGTCTAAGCTTTAATCTGCTAGGTCCTCCATTAAGTCACAGCTACCCTAGTACCTAGCTCCCACCTAGAGCTTAGGCCAAGTAGGTCTAACCGTTGTGGCATTTAATCTGCGACATGTCTGGCCCTTTATCCACTCACTCGTACAACTTCACTTCCTCATCCGATCGACAGCCTGTATCTGATGGAAGTACCTCACCAAACGAAACGATTCCGCCCGAGAGTGCGGCCTGAAAAGCGAAGGCGGGTTGCATTGGCTTGCAGCCGATGCAGAAATCTAAAGAAGAAATGTCTTCCTGGTAGAGATGCGAGTTGCAGGAACTGTCACGACGCCAATGCATTTTGCATCTTTGAGCCTGCGGCAGGCCAAACGGTCCGCACTGACGACCTCGGACGGGAACCTGATCACCTAGAGTCCGTCATGTCTTTCAGTGTAGTGATCGGATCGGCTAACCTTTGGGTTATAGATCGAATGCGTTGGCCAGTATCGTGGACGCAGTGCACAGCGAGTGCCAGAACATCTATCCCGGTATCATCCTTGAGCCACGGCACCTAGCCACAATAGTATCCCTTATCCTCAACAAAAATAGCTCATCAGTAGGAGCCCAAATGTTGGTCCATGGGTCACAATTCCGAGAACCGGCCAAGGTTGCTTTTGATAGCCCTCTTCAGAATGCACATCGGGAGCAGGAATGCCAGCCTCCCCGATCGGCCCAGGTGCAAGAGCAAGGTGTGTGAGTAAGATTTTTGGCTTCCACTCTGCCTCTGGTGCTGTATGAGCCAAAGTATCTAACAAAAGCTTGTCAAGGCTATGAGGTATCCGGCTCGCACGACGGATTCTTTTCCAGTGTTGTAAAGGTCGTCTCGCACGATGGCGACCACTCCTTTCCCACGGGCCATAAGGTGAGCATGAAGACCTCTCCACGTGCGCTCACTTCTCAGCCAAGTAACCTTGGGTAGCAGGCTTTCTATACATCCAAAATCCTGATGCCGGGAGACAACGCATCCGTGGTGGGAAATACGCTGTTGAGTCTTCCCACGGAGGCCGAGGCAGATTTTCATCTCTCGACCTTCTTTCTCTACTTGGAGAGTAATTGGTTTTATTTTGAGGAAACATGGCTCAGAGAGGTCTTTTCTCTGGTTTTCCAAGCCAAGAGAGGGCAATGTCAGGTGGACGACACACTGCTGTGCCTGTCGCTAATGGTCATGGCGCTGGGCGCCTCGTTCAAGCATTTGCGTTCCTTGGACTCAAACATGGACCAGAACAGGCAAACACAGCAACATGATCATCCTTCAGACACCCTCCCTGGCGCCGAGTATTTCAATCAGGCCCAACGACTGATCCCGCAAGCCCTCCGACGACCCTCCTTGCTTAGCGTGCAGGTATGTCTTCTCACATCGATTTACGGTATGCCCTCGGACAACAGGGAGATGGGATACACATACAGCGGCATGGCGTTGAGAATGTGCGTGGCCCTGTCTTTTCATAGAAAGGATGGCTCGCCCAATATATCAGAGAAGGCCCGGGAAGTGCAAAAGCGTGTGTTCTGGACAGTGTATTGTATTGAACGGTAGGGTTTCTCCCCGAGATTGAATGGTTGACATACTTATACTCCGACAGCCGAATCTCCATGGCTCTAGGATATCCGGAGATGCTTCAAACCACGGAGATATCCATCTCACTACCAACGCGCCTGGACGACATTGACCAGAGTTGTCCTACTCGAGTGGATCGACTGACAGCTTTCACAGAGCTCACTCTGCTTCACAGCCTGGTAATTCGGAAGAGGTTGGTTTCAATAACAGGGCACAGTGCCGTTTTTGCTTTTCTGACTGACAATCGGAGACAGACTGGATGGTTCGGATCTCATCGCCTTGAACGAGATTCGAACATTGCTCGAGCAGTGGAAGGATCGACTACCGCCGAGTATTTTGGACCATTCCGAAGCTCAGGTCCGGGCCACCCTGCACCTGGATATGATGTACCAGATGGTTTGGGTCGATCTAGGTCGACGGACCTTACTCGATCTCGTGAAAAACCATCTCAAGGGCCAGCACGGCGGCGTCCCGCATGGGAGAGAAACCGGAGAGCAAACGCCCGTCCAGCGAGAGTTATCGACCCGCTGCGTCGGGGCCGCTCTCAAAGTTCTGGAGGCCATTGCCACTCTTCACCGTCGGTCTCTACTTGCTCGGTTTTCTTACACGGACTTACATTCATGCATCTCCGCCACAGTCATCCTTCTCTTGGGAAGCATCCAGCACGAGGAGTCCGAGGCGCTTCCGTCATTTCAACATGCTATCGACCAGGGCATGGAAGCCTTGGATTTCCTGGCAGGAGGCGACAAAAATGCAGGACATGGGTATAAGCTCGTCCGACTTTTACAGAACACGGTAGCTCGCCTTCGAAGACGGGCGCATGTCCGGAGAGGTGGTCCTGGGATCTCATCTTCGACATTGGCGTCGCCGTTACCACCACGGCCAGGTGATGAAAATGATGACCATCAGAATAAAGTCGATAGTGGACCTAGACCCTCTCCAGCGGAGGGGAGTGTGCATGACCCTGTCGAACTGTCGTGGTCAGGAGGCCTCGAGCCGCGGCTGGCAGCAGATCGTGCGCACCACTTTCCTCACTTACGCCAAACGGCTCGGCCAGATAACCACGGCGGCCACCGGGAAGACCATCGAGGTTTGGACTTTGCCACTTGGGAGTCCCTGTCGGCGTATTACTCTGCCCAAGACTTGCAACTGTTTGGGTTTGATGGCTTTCAGATCTTCGGCGAGGGAGATTTGATGGATGAATTCGGCACGAGCCCCCCAGACGATCGTGGCCAGGCTGGTTTCAGCACATGAGGGGGATCAAGGAATCATCTTTCCATCTCTCCTCACCAAGAGGCGGAAAGATAACATGGATCAAGGATATCAACGTGCCTTTTCTCAATTACGCCAGATTCAAAACGTCCTTCCCTCTCTCCCGTCTCAACCCTCCTTCTTCTTCTTCTTCTCCTCCTCCTCCTCCTCCTCCTCCTCCGCCGCCGCCGCCGCATCTTCTTAATCTCACAGGACTGGAACTGCGATAATGGATAGAGGATAATTAGCCACACGTAGCAGCTCGAGTAACGCGAAATCTGATCAAGAATCATCTATATCGTTTGCCCCTCAAATCTTCACCACGTGTACTCCAAGTTTGATGACACCAGCAAAGCACGAACGACTTCAAGGCTCCAGCCGTCGACTCATCGGCATACTCAGGCGAGTTTCTTTGTGATCAACAACATTGGGCCAGTCGAAAGCTAGATAGACAAACGACTCATCTTCCACTCGACTCAGAGAATTACGCCCGGCTATCTTCGGTCGATGCCCGTCCATGCTCGATTCAGGCTTTTCAATAAGTGTACCTGAAGGTCGGGTCACCCTTGTCAGTGACCTCCCTGCCATCGGTGTAAACCACAGAGACCCCGCCCAAATTCGCCTTTTTCCTGTTGTCCCAATAGCAACTGTACCAGTATCCAATGACCGCCAGAACAAAGACAATCCAGCTGACAAGTGCCAGGATGAGACCCTGTTGGTATCGGGGCGCATAATTCGAGTCCCACAGGAGTGGGCCGATGACGGCGCCAGCCGCGTACCCGATGAAAAATAAGGCATTGACGACGGCCTTTTTGGTATTTCCTCGCACGTTGGATGCGCTGAGGCTCAGAACGAGACTGAATATGTTTGAGATGACGGAGGCCTGCGAAGGGAGGAGTCTAGATAAGTGTTCACGTCCACAAAAAAAGAGAGACAGAGAGGGGGAAGATGGTCGGAGGGGATTCATACCAGCCATGATGCAACGATCATCCCCCATCCTGCCGTCAGAGGGAGGGTGAAAAGCAAAATGATGCCCGTCAGGGGAATCATGACGAGTCCCACGATGATGCAGCACCGGCGGTTGGGCCAGATGAAGCACAAGGCAATGCCGACCCAGATGAAGAAAATCTGGACGGCGCCGGAAGGAGAGGTGTAGAGCATGGTCTCGTATTTGTCGTAGCCGAGAGAGTTGATGATCAAGGAGGCAAACTAAAGCATGGTTCGACGGTCAAAAAGCGTGCGTTGAAGATCTTTCTCTCCTTCAGGCAGATCAAAGAATGGCGGGGACTCACCACAAGGACAGGAGCGGGAAGGGTGATAAGAATGCCGAATCCCAGATTGAGCCAGGTGCGGACCTGCAAGAGAGCCTCCTTGAGCTGGCCAGGGGCAAAGTTGGTCCGGTCACCCCCCTCGCTCTCAAGCTGGAGTCGTTTCTTCGCGGCGATGCGTTCGGCTGGCGTGAGAAACCAGGCAGATTCCGGACCACTGGGCATGGCCAGGGTGAACAGAATACCCGCAAAGATTGTAATGGCACCGCAGACGAGGAACATAATTCTCCAGGCAGCAATAGCGGTTGGGTTTTTGCCGATGCCGTACATCATCAATGCACCCAAGACCTGGGCCAGGCCATTGCAGCTAATCCAGATACTGTGCACGGAAAGAAGGGTGTCAGCTGTGCCTCGATTTTTTTCCGGGTCGGCTGTATTAAGATGGGAGCTCACCCGATCCGCATAGGATGTTCTCTCTTCTTGTACCAAATACTCGTCAAGGTGACGAACGCAGGCTGGACAGCTCCCTCGGCAAAGCCCAGGATGAACCTCACACCCATCATCGAAGAGAAAGAATTGCAAGCGGCCAAACACTAGCGGCAGTTTGAATTAGATTTGGCCTCCGCGTAGATCCTACAGGGGCAGTAAAAGGGAGTGTAGGTGGCTGACCATGCAAATGATGCCCCAGATGATCCTGTTCAATGTAGTCAGCAAGCCGGCTCTCCTTGGGTTGGTAAGAGGCGTGTGCCAGAAGCCACTTACACTGTAACTCCGACAAATCTAGCCAGAGGCAGTCGACTCATCAGATAGATAAAAGGAAACTCTGAGAGCAGCTGGCCCAAGTAAAAGATGGAGCTCAGCCATGAGTATTGTCTACCATGCAGATCGAGGTCGGTGACCAGACCAAAGACTGCGGCATAGCTCAAGCTTTGTTTGTCGACGTCTGATCCATGTTGGTCCGATGATTTTATATTGGAAAATACGTTTGGTATACATACACTGAGAAAAAAACACGAGCGCCATCTGTAGCATTCAGTCAGACTTTGGGATATTGGATACGTTGAAGGGGAAACGTCGCCAAAAAGGCAAAGAAAACAACAAAAGACAGGACTCACAAGAGGCAAGATCACTCTGTCAATCTTGTTGCGCAGCCGTCTCTCTTCTGCTTCGTTTGGTGGAGGGTCCTGCACCAAGAGGTCGAATTGCTCCTCTTTGGTGGAGGGTCCTGTGGTGGCAGTGGTGGTGAGAGCATTGTTCTTGTCATTTTGTTGGGCCGGGGTGGTGTCGTCCATCTTTCGAAATGTCGAGTCGGGGGTCTGTTCGAAAGAATGAGAACGGATGAATCTTGAGCTCACAACAAATGCCTCGTGGAGGAGAGGGCAGATAAATACTAATGGAAACTGTCGGCTCGTAGCTTCCTGTTGAGTGTCGGTCGAGACGCTTCCAAGATCCACGACGAAGCCCCTCAACGAAGCCCCTCATCCTCAGTCTAGATATCCGACTAGTACTGAGCCCCTTGCGAAGCATGTACCGAAAACCTCATGTGCCATAAACCCGTGACGGGCTCGCTATCAGGACGGTGATCGGGAAGCAAGATAGAACTTGCGCTGCAAAGATAACACTCGGGTCAGGAACCGATGCGGACTCGGCAAGGACCAGCAAAATCATTAGTCTCATCACTTGATTTCGCTGTTTCTTTGTTAATCTGGGGTGCCATGTAGGTGTTGCAAAGCAATCAGGAACTTGTGGTGGTGCAATGTTCTTTGGTGCTTCTCCACCAGATCCACTTCGAAGTCGGGTGCGTGTACCCCACCAATCACCATCAGATTCCCGCATGTGTCTCGCCCCACTGCATCTCACGCGATACGGCTTGATAGAGAATGCAGGAAGGTTGCGAGAGAGGGAGAACCATGGAGATGAAAGCGGCACCGCCAAGTCGGAGCCCCTTCCTTGCCTAGGGTGAATTTCGTGCCTTCAGTCCTGTGAGGAGAGCGCTCTCGTCAGATTCCCCCTTTTATATATCACTGGGAGACTGACCACCACATGTATTCGTTTCCACCTCACCTCCGTCAGATCAAAAGGCGGCAATAAAGTCGACTGATCTCCGGGTACAATGGTGCAAGAAATGGATCTTCAGAAGCTGGACATGGAATTGGCGATCAAGCCATGGACAGCACTGCCCCAAGAGGCGTATGTCCTGACCGGAGTGAATCTGATAGATCCTCTGCAGGGCCAGGTGATCAAGAACGCAACAATCCGAATTGAGGGAGGACTTGTCACCGAAGTTTCAGAGCAAGAACACACTCGACCGACGACGAATGATGGGACCACGGTGATCGACGCTAGGGACAAATACATCTTGCCGGGCCTCATCGATTGCCACGTCCACATAATGGCGGTGGCTGGGAACGCCGGAATGAATGAGACATTCCACATGGACCACAGCACCTCCCTGCTCCGACAGCCAAATCTATGTCAGGGAATGTTGGATCGGGGCTTCACCAGCGTCCGGGACTGCGCTGGAGCCACGCCAGCTATGAGACAGGCGATCGAGGACGGCGTGCACCCGGGCCCAAGACTCTTCATTTCTGGCAAGGGATTGTCCCAAACGGGAGGTCACGGAGACTTGCGCAAGGCACATGATTCGAGGGGGATCTGCTGCGCCTGTGGCGCCGGAGGTCACGACATGACCCGGGTCGTGGACGGCGTTCCAGACTGCCTCAAATATGCTCGTGAAGAGCTTCGGCGCGGGGCCGATTTTATCAAAATCATGAGCGGCGGAGGAGTCGCCAGCCCGACGGATCGCATTGACCAGGTCCAGTTCTCCGACGAAGAGATCAAGGCCATTGTCACCGTTGCCACCAATGCCCGCACATATGTCACCTCCCACGCCTACACGCCTCAGGCCATTCAACAGGCCATCTCTCACGGGGTTCGCGGAATCGAGCACGGGAATCTCCTAGATGAGGAAACCGCGCGTCTCATGGCCGGTAAGGGTGTTTTCCTGACTCCCACGCTCGTGGTGTATGCCACCATGGCAAGGCCAGAGTTCTCAGGCTTCCTCCCTCCCTTTTCAGCTCAAAAAAATCGCGAAGTGCTCGAGTCTGGCTTGCGAGCGTTGAAAATCGCGACGGATGCTGGGGTAACGATCTGCTTCGGCACCGATCTCCTGGGTCCAATGCATCCTGCTCAGACAAACGAGTTCGTGATCCGCAGCCAGGTGCAAACACCGTTACAGATCATCCAGAGTGCCACGGTCAATGCGGCAAGACTCATCCAGAGAGAAGAGACTCTCGGCCGCATTGCTCCCGGCTTCTTGGCCGATTTTTTGATCTTGAATGCTAATCCACTCGAGGATATTGCGGTCCTCGATCGGCCTGACCAGCACCTGTTGGCGACCATCAAGGACGGGAGGGTGGTGTCGTCGAGGTGGTCCCGCCTTGAGGTTAGACAGCGGAGATTGAGTAATATTGCATAAGTGGCTCGGAATAAGGCCTCGTCCATGTAACGGGTTGATGTGCCTGTACTTACTGTCGTCGTGATCAAGAACTTTCCCCGATGTCTACCCAAAGAGTCTAGATGTAGATAGACGCCGACCTGATGGCACCTACCTGATGGAGGTACGGATTAAGAGCTCTTCCTTAGTATTCCGCCGCAGTCTCATAGGCCTGGACACTTTCAGCGGCAGCCGCCATAGTGTAGAGTAGATTGCCATATCTCGAATGAAGATAAGGTGACTTGTGCAGGCAATGTAGGTAGACAAAGAGAGGACACTTTGTCTCAAACAACTCGAATTCTCGGTGAGGCACCAATACTGGCGCCCAGCACGTCCATTGCCATTAGGGAATGGTGCAATGATACTGTCTGGAACGTCCTGACAGGTTATCCTTATCTGCTATAGTGCCTAATAATCAGCCACAACCGGCGCGATATTCCGTCTTTTTGCAAGGGATTGAGGCACTATTCCTGACAGATACCATTCGGCGGTCCCGACGTCGGCTCACGACGTAGTCTTGCCGTCTGCCACTCATCTCCCTCCGCACGTATCGGTCGACCCGAATTTCTATCGACCTTCGATCCGTTCTCTGCAAATCTGCAAACAGTCCTCCTGATGGTCTGAAGAGAATACTCACCCAGCATGAATGATCAAGTGTCTCAACCGGTAGTTCGTCGCGTCCCTGCCGCGTAAGTCCACCCCGTATAGCTTATGCGTCGAATCATTTTCGAGATGCTGACTGCTCTGTCACACACAGCTGTTTCTTTTGCCGACACAGCAAATTGAAATGCTCAGGCACTCAGCCTTGTGATCGGTGCAAAAAGAGATCCAAAGAATGCGTCTTTACATCCGCAGAGAGGCAGGACAGTCATGATGAACGGTCATGTCTTCACCTCTTCTTCCAACTGCATGTTACCTGACTTGACAGTAGGCCTTCACCGCCGCCACGGAAACGAGCACGTCTCCATCATTCAACCTCACCTCCCGCAAGGAGTACTCGGCGTGTGTCCCAAAATGAGTTGCTACCCTCTCCTCGTCGCGCTGTAGAGACGTCCGTCGACTTTCCCGAAGGTCGGAATCCCAGTGCCATCTCCCCGCAGTTCCTGCCAAACAGGCTGAATCAGCGGAAACGCTGGCGTAAGACACCACTCGATTTTATTTTGGGAGAGCGTGACTTCAGAAGTAAGTGTGCTGTTTGCTGACCGGGACTGTGCAGTATACGTGGGTGCATGCTCGACATGGTCCTTCAACATCCGTGTGGCGACCATGATCAGGTCAAGCCTCAAAGACGGCGGTGAAATTGAGGACGATCCATTCTCCTTGGACGGCAACGCCTACGATCTTTCCTTGAAGAGAGTAAACTCTGACATGACGCTTGATCTGAGCCGACTGCCATCACTCGATTATGCCATCTACCTCGTTAATACGGTCAACTTCCACCTGGGCGGAATTCTTCGGTTGTTCGACGAGTACGAATTTCTGCAAAATCTCCATGAATTCTATAATCAAGGTTCGCAGAAGGCTCGTGCACACAAACTCTGGTACATCCAATGTCTCCTTCTCCTCGCACTGGGGAAAGGCTTCCTCAACGTTCGAAATTCGCCAGACAACACATCATCAACGGATTACTTCGTCCGTGCGATGTCTATCCTTCCAGACACTACGGAGCTCTATGAAGAGCCCGTTCTGGCCGTCGAAGTACTTGCCACCGTTGCCTTGTACTTTTACTGTTTGGATATGAAACAGAGCGCTTATTCCTATGTTGGTTATCCCCACTGAAGGCACCGTCTTCAGAAATTCTCTTGGACTAACGATCGCTCGACATGGTTTCAGATTGGACAAGCTCTACGAATAGCTCTGGTGGAGGGACTGCATGCCGAATTGCCCCCTCTCCAGCTGGGGGATCGTTTCACCGAAAGGTGTCGGAACGCTTGGTGGACAACCTACATCCTAGACCGTACCTTGTCTGCAGCGGTTGGGGCGCCTATTTCCGCCCAAGATAGCCACATTCAGCAGTCTCTCCCTTCGCCTCAGCAAGTCTCGCAACGCGACGCCACCTTAGTCATGCACGTCAAGTTGTGTCGCATGGTATCATCCATTTTGACAGGTGAGTTCAGCCTGACCCGCATCGTCCCCCGGTGCTCGTTTCTTACAGATAGTAGAGCTGTACACTGCGAATGGAAGCCTAGAGAATACATATCTCTCAAAGGTCAGATCGGTTCTGAAGCAGATGGCCGATATTGCGAAACAACTCGAGGAAGTTATAGATTTCAAGTTTAAGAGTTCTCTGGAAACACTTTCTAAAGGAGCACTGTATTTGAGAATGCTTTACAATCAGGTTCGCCAATTTTGTGCGGTGCAACTGGACTCAGCTAACACCCTTCTCAGTGTATCGTCCTGGCCACTAGACCATTATTACTCTGTCTCCTTCAGGAGACGCTACAGTCCCTCCGTCCCGGCTCCAATGGTGTGAAGGTCTATATTCCACCTTCAATACGCGATCTGTTGAAAACATGCTCAGATTCTGCCACCAAAACGCTCAAGATGCTCAGCGCCTTGAGCAGCCACAGTTTCCTTGGTACATCGACTTGACAGTGGCTCCCTCAATGCAGAGTTTCAAAAAGGCTAATCAACGACTGCAGACACATTTCTTCCCTTCGATTTGGAATTTGCTTGTTCGGCATCATCCGTGGTCACGATGGTTGACGAAATTCTTCGAGGTGCATCAATATCCTCATCCACCAAAGATCTGCGCCACAAGATTCTTGATGAGATTGCAGCAGGAGGAAACAAAGCTGCCCCGTACCGACGAAGAGAGCTACGGAGGCTCTCAGAACTAGCCGACCGTCTGTGGAACACCATCGATGCATTGAATGCCCAGAATCGCAGCCCAGGAACGGCAGCATCAGACCACGAAGTGGATCAGGTTCATCAACAACGACATAATCCCAGCGTACAATCAGAGGATCACCAGCTTGGACTTGATTCTCGAGCGGGTGACGATGGAGCGGCGATGGCCGAACTGCCTGGCAATGGTCTTGAACAACCTCTGGTCCTGCTTGAGGAGCAAGCCATTGCGATCCCTCCGGGGGCTTCAGTTTCATCTTCTGACTTTGCTCAAACCTTTGATTTCTCGCCCGAGCAGATGCTTCTTCTGGCAGATCATCTGGACGTAAATGCACTGCAAACTGGGTTTGATTTTGCGAGCCACGGGTTCAATGAGTGGATCTGAACGATCTACTATGATTGGATTTTCGTTGCAAGGTGTAACCCCCGATTGTTGATCGATATCAGTGTAAAAGAAGGCCGTCGATTGCGGAACCGATTTTTGATAAGTAGTATTTCCGTGCGGATGCGGCAATGACGATCGTGTCTTCGCAAGGATCGGCTGGCGAAGCGTCTGGGAACCTAATTGATCCCATGCGCGAGCCGATAGACTCAGACATCGGATGGCGGACCGTGCAATCATGCCAAACCCGATGATCCGACTGAGATATGCAGCCCCCCGATATCCCGGGTCATTGTCTCCAGATACCTCGATAGATATTATCGGGAGTGATTTCGAATTCAACCTTGGCCCTTGGTCCTCTATCTGGATCCTCGGTAGAGGCGAGACGATGAAAGCTTGCCTGTTCCTTTCAGCCCCTTCCGATCATGGAAACAGGTAGTCGGAAAAGACAGCGGCAGGTGAGCCACTTACCGACTCGCTGTAAGCCCTCGAGCACCTGCTCGGGTGCTTCGAATTAGTACGGGAAGAAGACGGTCTCAGTCGGTCAAATATTGTCGTTCTGCTACCTATACCCTTGCCCTCTGTGCCAGCTATTCTGCGTTAAAGGGCCAGCTCTTTCTCCAGGATATCTCACCCTGCTCACTGGTCACTATGGCAGCGGAGTCAGCCGTGGTTCGGAGATTCATCGCTCAATCGGGAGCATTGCGATGGTTCTCTTGCAAACGGGCATCGATCTCTACCACTGCTGCCGGGGACAAGTTGAAATCCTCCGAAGATGGCAACTACCATTTACAAATGGCTGGAGAGCAACGATCGGGCACTGAGACTCCAGGACCTTTCTCAAGACTGTCGTCTACATCACTCGTCCGGAGCATCATAATAGGAAAGATATTTCAGTTCCCGATTTTATACAAACCTTCGCTAGCCTTGCTCCAGAAAGTCTCGGGTTCCCAATCGGTATTTCTGAACGCGGACAAAAACCCACTGATCCGCGCGATGGTTCTGCCACTCATCTACAGACAATTCTGCGCTGGGCGAAACGAAGCCGAAGTGCAGCGGACGATCGAGCAGATCAAGAACATGGGGTATGCGGGGATCATACTGTGCTACGCGAAGGAGGTGATGGCCAAGTCTGGTCATCAAGCGGCGAACGAGTTGGAATCCACGGTGGCGCGCAGCCATAGGATGAGGCAGGAGGTAGAAGATTGGAAACAAGTCAACCTAAAAACACTGAACGCCGTTGGCGAAGGAGATTACATCGGCGTCAAGTAAGTTCCCCAACCATTTCCTCGACGAGTCGTCGCATCTAACCTCCGGCGTGCGCAATAGATTGACGGGAGCTGGCGGGGGAGTGGCCCAACAGCTGAAAGACGGGGGGTCTCCATCACCGGAATTGAGGGAAGCATTGAGAGACATATGCCGCCAGGCGAAATCGCAGGGTAAACGCCTCTGGATTGATGCCGAACAGCAAGTCTACCATCCGGCTATCGATAATTGGACCATCGACCTAATGCGCGAGTTCAACCGGGAGAACTCGATGGTGGTGATGACCACCATTCAAGCCTATCTCAAGTCATCCCGGCAGACGGTCGAGCGGTATCTGCGCCTGGCTCAGAAGGAAGGCTGGTCGCTGGGCATCAAGCTCGTCCGTGGAGCTTACATTGGCAGCGACAACCGGAGTAAGATTCACGACACCAAGCGCGAGACAGACGAGTGCTACGACAGCATCGCGCATGATATCATCACCAAGTCGTGGCCGGGCTTCGAAAGTGGTAGCCGTGGCGCTGGTATTGCTGCTGCTGATGCTTCTGGATTTCCTCACGCCAGGATATTCCTGGCGGGCCACAATTCCGAGTCGATTCGAAAGGCCTCGAGCCTGGTCCGCCGGCTCTCCCAAACGGGAGACCTCGCAAACGAAGTACACTACGGCCAGCTACAAGGCATGGCGGATGACATTGGTTGCGAGCTACTTGCCCAAGCAGACCATCAACGAGAAGTACTGAAGGCGCTCAACCCGTCATCATCGGCCGCCTCGAGTCCTTCACAAATGCATCAAAATGACGCTCGGCACAGGCTCACCGAGCTCGGGATCCCACGTGTGTACAAGTGTCTCTCATGGGGCTCGATCCAGGACTGCCTGTACTACCTTGTTCGTCGAGCGATCGAGAACCAAGGCGCGGCGGAAAGGATGAAGTCTTCGCTAAATGAGATGCAGGCTGAGTTGCGAAGACGGTTCTTTGGATTGTTCAGGCGTGGAAAATGAAAGAGATGAGGGTGAACAGATGATGATTCAATTCGAGCAAGATTGCAATACAACTTGAAGTCCTTGTAGGGACCTAAAATGCAATCGTGAGATTCCTCATCACATAACACGCAGACAGCAGGTCTTTAGGTTATGCGAAGTCCTGACCTACACCTCATTGGAAGGATACAAAACTTGCGACAATGAGCCAAACTCCTCCTTGATGGTCCTCACGCTTGTAAACCGCTGAAGGTGAGCCATGGTTCCCGTTTTATCATTGGTGCCACTATCCCGGCTACCACCAAAGGGCTGCTGCGCCACCACGGAGCCGGTGCATTTGGTGTTGAGGTAGAGCATACCGGCCGCGTGTTTGAGGACCTCTTGAGCCTGTCGCGAGGCGATCGGGTCTCGGGCAAAGATGGCCCCAGTGAGTGCGTAAGTCGAGGTTCCATCGAGTAGTCCCAGCGTCTCCTGCCACTTGTCGTCGTCGTACACGTACACGGCCAGGATGGGACCGAATAGCTCGCGGACCATGATGTCGTGCTTCGGATTCCTCGTCCGATAGACGGTGGGGTGCACGTAGTAGCCGACTTCCTTGGACGCCTGGCCGCCGGCGACGAGTTCAAGTTCGGGGTCGGACTTTGCCGATTCGATCACCTCGTTGAGCTTGTCGAACGACCGCTCGTGGATGACCGGGTTGATGAAGTTCTCAAAGTTCTCCGGGTCCCCGACCTGAAGAAGCGCCGTCTGTTCCTGGAGCTGTCGGCGGAAGTCCGGCCAGACAGACTTGGCCACGTAGAGGCGCGAGAGGGCCGAACATTTCTGACCTTGGTACTCGAACGCCGACCGGACGGTGTTGCACACCGCGCTCCCAATGTCCGCCGATGCATGAACGATGGTCCAGTTCTTGCCGCCGGTCTCGCCGACCACGCGAGGGTAGCTCGCGAAGACCCCGTCGCCGATAGCATTGCCAATCTTCCTCTGTAGGCCCTTGAACACGGCCGTGGAGCCAATGTACGAGAGACCCGCGAACTCGCGGCGCGCGAGGACCGTATCTGTTATGGTCTCGGCATCACCCGGCACAAACTGTATCACATCCTGGGGTAGACCTGCTTCAAGGAGTATCTTGTGCAGAAGCCAGGCCGAGTGGAGGGCAGAAGGTGACGGTTTCCAAATGACTACATTCCCGAGTAGCGCAGCGGGTCCGACAAGCGTGGCCCCGAGCGCTGTAAAGTTGAAGGGTGCAATCGCGTACACGAAGCCTTCCAGCGGCCGATACTCGAGCTTGTTCCATGTGCCGGACGGGTGAACCTGGGGCTGTTGACCAAAGAGGGCCCAACATTCTTGGATGTAGTAACGGAAGAAGTCACACGTCTCGGCGGCGGCGTCGATTTCTTACTGCCAGATATTCTTGCCCTGGCCCAACATGGTCGTGGCAACGACCTCGGCGCGGTGTTTGGTCGAAATGAGTTCGCAAGCCCGTAAGAAGATCGAGGCCCGGTCTTCGAATGGCATGTTTTCCCACACCGATTTTGCTCTCAGAGCAGCGTCGATGGCAGCGTTGACATTCTGCGGCGTTGCTGAAGCATACTCGGCCACTGCCTCACCATGTCGTGAAGGGTTGATTTGCTTGGTGCTTGTGTCGGAATTGATCTGGATGGTCGTAGACCCATGGTCGTCAGTGGCGCGACGTCTCTCTGGCTTTTGTGGGAGGCATGCACATAGCCTTTCAAATAGGTACCGCCGATATAAGATGGCGGTCGCTCAGTGTTTAGACTTACAGTAACACCATTTACAACCAGAGGAATCTTTGCTGGCTGCTGCTGCTTGGCTCTTTGAAGCGCGGCAACCAGCTCTGCTCTTTCCGGGGAGCCTTTTGCGTAGTCTTTCTGTCATGGAACCAAATTTTGAGTATCCAGAGGAACCCCGCTCTTGTGTTTCGAAGCAAAGTTCCCGACATACCGTGGGTTCATTTTCGAACCTGGGAGGGTTCCACATTGACATGTTGCGAATATGTCGGAGACAGGGCCTGGATCTGTTCAATACGGCAGGGTGGCCTCGTCTCAAAAGATTGCTTGACCGCATTGGAGCTGTGCAAGGCTGCGTGAAGGGAATCTGGTCTGGAGGAGAGGAGGAAATCTGTATAGCAGAAGCGACGGCCCTTTGTCGAACAGGGACAGATTTGGGATCAAGAGTCAAAGTAGCTCATTCAACGAGGACTAGTTCCCGCTGCACATACGTATCTATGGAGCATTTTATTCGGCGAGGCTGTGAACAGTCTCCGATAGTCATGCGCTGCGTTATGCAATAGACGATGGCGGTCTCTGAGCCGATCCGATACGGACCGACCGAAACACAAGCGCCGCTGCTTGGGCCGTCTCGTAGCAGCCACGATTCATTCCCCAGAGGGCTCGACACCCTTCTCAGAAACTGATTCTCCCGTGTCTCGGGCGCCTAACACGTCTACCATAGGTATTTTGGGACTTGTTCTCTATACTTTTTGAACACCGGGTATCAGATGCCGAGATATATGTGTGATTACTCTAGTAACATCCGGACTGGGTCCTCCAGGTAGTCTCTGAGCTTGACCAGGAATCCCACCGATTCACGGCCGTCAATTAGTCGGTGATCATACGTGAGTGCAAGATACATCATCTGTCGATAAGTCAGACATCGGGAGAATGACGGAACGTCAGTGGTGTAGGCAGGCTTACAGGTCGAATCTCAACCTTCCCGTCGATAGCCACAGGCCTTTCTTTGATGGCATTGACACCCAGTACTGCCGTCTGAGGCAGATTGATGATAGGAGTGCCCATCATTGACCCGAAAACGCCTCCATTGCTGATGGTGAAGTTGCCGCCTGCCAGGTCGTCCATGGAAATCCGACCGTTTCGAGCCTATGATTATGATGATCATCTTCAGTATCTGGTGATCAACAATCCCATCAGGATATGGGGAGAGAAGAGTGGTAGGCGATGGGTTGGCCTACCTTTTGCGCATAGTGTGCGATTGCCCGCTCAATCTCCACCACACTCAGTCTCTCACAGTTACGGACAACGGGCGTCACGAGACCTTTGGGGGTGGATACGGCGACGCTGATGTCGACATAGTCCCTGTAGGTCACCATAGCGTCACCCTGTTCGTCCGTTTCGATGGACGCGTTAACCTGGGGAAACGCCTTCAGGGCCAATGTTGCGGCTTTGGTAAAAGCACCCATGAAACCGATCTTGACACCATGCGATTCAAGGATCTCATCCTTGTATTTGCGCCTCAATCTCACCAGGGCAGACACGTCGACTTCGTTGAAAGTGGTTAGTGATGCCGCCGTATTCTGGGACTGCTTCAGACGGTCTGCTATGGTCATCCTCATTCGACTCATTTTAACCTGCAAGTAGTCAATTGGTTGCCAGGCCATATCGTATCATCTTTCCCTTGTAGCTTACGCTTCTTTTACCGCGGTCGCCAGGCATGGAGGGAGCGGCTGTCGAGCCAGCAGGGTTTAGCTCAGGCTCCACGTTGGTGAGCTTCCGTGGTTTAGGTGTAGGAGTCGCTAATTTTGGTTCTTCGATGGGGTCAATGGGCTGGTGAGCCGGTTTTGTCAGTTCAGGCGCAACAATCTCTCCAGTCCAAGCCTCTGAAACCCCCAAAACATCCCCTGGTCGTGCTGATGTGTCTTCCTTCGAAAGTGGTCGTCCCAGGTCAATCTCAATCCGGGCGATTTGTTCTCCGCCAATGACCGTGCTTCCTTCGTTCACAAAGATCTCTTGGAGGATTCCAGCTTCTGGAGCAAGTACCGAAACGTCAATCTTGTCGGTTTCGATGGTGGCAATTTCTTCGTCCACCTCAACGAAGTCCCCGACCTTCTTCAACATCACACTCAGTGTGCCTTCAGAGATGGATTCAGCCATGGTAGGAACCTTGACCACCGCCGCAGCCTGCAGCTGAACAGCGACAGAGAAGTTTCGTCGTTTGAATGGTGCCCGCGGTCGTGTGCATCCCCATGGTGGTCGTTGAAGGCCCCATGTTCCCAGCCAGCCAAAATTGCGACGCGAATGCCCTTTTGCCCATGCTGCCCAGTAGTAGGACGGTTTCATGATACGCCCCAGTGCAGATTCTGCTGGCATCGTGTTCGGTGACTTGTAGAACTTCATTGGCAATTCCACACCAGATTCCTCCCTCTCAAGTCGACGCCTTGCCTGTGCTTCATAGGTGCGGTAGGATTACCGTCTCGAGATCGGCCTTCCGGCAGCATCACCTTTAGCTCATGTGAGTGACATTCCCGGAGCATTGTACTTCTTAGCCTAGTGTGGGCACATCAATGATTGTGATAGTGTCGGGTGGCTAGGCAAGTTGGCGATGGTCCCACTTCGTAATCGGGAGAAAATCTGAGAACTTGACTAGAACAAGCCTGCCCCTTTCTCTGGTTCTGGATGCGGTAATCTGCCAGGGATACAGTGTGGTCCGCAATGGTCCAAGCTTCGATCTGATCTCTCGGCACGATATATATCGGGAACAGCCACACAGGCCCCCACCAACATCGGCCCGATAGTTTTTGGGCGTGTTGAGCTACAACTTTCACTATCGCGTGGTGATGTACAATTGCCTGGGAATGTGGGCAAGATGGGCACTCGGTTCTTCTATGGCCGCACCTCCCGGGAGAACAGCATCCAGTAATGACACGGCAGGCAGGGCATACGAGGCAAGACACTCCTAGTATGTGCCTACCTAGACCAACCGCCTATAGATAGATGATGGACAAGATCAAAGCCTTGCATGCAGCCAGGTGTACAGCCGCACTGATTAGACCGGCCTGAGATACTGGCTTCGCATCTACCTCATTCAACCAATTCGATCACGCAAACATGAATATGCGGCATGGCTGCGCCAGACGGTGTGATCTCGTCCACGTGCAGACAATGGCGAGGCTGCAATATCCTACCGGCAGGAGACTTCCTTGTTGGCGAGCAGCCTCCACCGCCGTACCACACCACCATCATGTTTCTCCCGTAAGTGAATGGCGCGATAACTCAGACAGCGTCTCGATCTTTTGTTCATGACTGCCTCTGTTTATGTGCTGATTTGGAGCGAGGTCCATCTAGAATCCGTCTGAAAGCTTTCTTCAAGGAAATGCTGCAGACTACTTCGATAATATGTATGCACAGTGGAAGACAACCCCTGACGCCGTCGACAAATCATGGCAGATGTACTTTCGAAACTTGGAGGCTCGCACGGTAAGAGTGCAGTCACCAGGGTTCCCGTCCACCTCTACTTCTGCACAGGATCTCGGCGACCGGACCATAGCAGACGTCGGCACGTATATAAATGTGAAAAGCCTCGTTCGGGCATACGAGACCCTTGGACATCTCAAGGCCGACATTGACCCTCTCGGACAACGCCATTACTGGACTCCTGCGCCAGAAGTTCCGGATGAGCTCGAGGTGCAGTCCCACAAGCTCAGGGAAAAGGACCTGGATGTGGAAATCGACGTGCGTTCGGCAGGAATTCTGCCGTACTTCACGCAGAGCACACAGTCCAGTATGCCGGTTCGAGATATCATTGCGGCTTGCCAACAAATATACTGTGGTACTGTGGCAGTAGAATTTGCTCACATTCCCAATGCTCAACAGCGCGATTGGATTCGCCAGCGGGCTGAAACACGCCACACAATTCGGTATTCAGACGGGGAGAGGAAGCTGGTTTTGGATCGTCTTCTTCGGGCCACACTTTTCGAGACATTTCTGGCGACAAAATATCCAAATCGGAAGCGATACGGCTTAGATGGGAGCGAGACCTTGGTGCCCGGAATCCAAGCATTGGTGGACACGTCGGTTGAGCGCCACGGGGTGGAGGACTTGATCATCGGGTCACAGCACCGTGGTCGCCTAAACCTGATGGGACACCTCATGCAAAGGCCAATGGAAGTCACCTTCTACGATTTCATTTCAGAGGGGAAGCCCCATGACAGCAGTCTTGATGGTGACGTCCTGACGCACTTGGGAGGGGACTGCGAACGTGAATATCCATCGGGAAGAATCGCTCGGATGTCTCTCTTGCCCAATCCATCTCACCTGGAGGCTACGAACCCGGTTGCGGCTGGCAAGGCCAAGGCGATCCAGCATGACCAAGGGGACATGGAACAATCCAAATCGCTCTTCCTCAACATCCATGGCGATGCTGCCATTGCGGGTCAAGGTATTGTGTATGAAACAATGACTCTTTCAAAGATCCCCTCGTTCTCGGTAGGAGGAACAATCCATGTGATCTTGAATAACCAGGTTGGGTTCACTACAGATCCCCAGAGCTCAAGGTCCACTACATACTGCTCCGACCTGGCCAAGACGATAAATGCGCCCATAATACACGTCAACGGCGATGATGTGGAGGCTGTGGTATTTGCCTGCAAACTTGCGACAGATTGGAGAGCTCAATTCAAGACGGATGTCTTTGTGGACCTCGTCTGCTACCGGAAATATGGGCACAATGAGATAGACCAGCCAAAGCTCACTCAACCTTTCATGTACGACAAGATTGCGCAGAAAGTTCCGGCAGTCGACACTTACATCCAAAAGCTGATTCGAGACAAAGTCTTGTCGAAGGAGGAGATCCAGGAACGCAAAGCCCAGATCTGGGAAACCTTGTCGCATCAGCACGAATTGAGCAAGGACTTCCAGCCAGACAAGGTTGTCGCTGCCACCGCATCTGGTCATAACGAGGCTGCATCAGCACAAACACAGATTTCAGCCCAGACGAGGATGGTCTTTGATTCGGAGCAATTGAAAATGGTCGTGGACAAGAGCATCACGGTGCCCGAGAACTTCACCCTGCATTCAACTGTCAAAAGAGTGTTTGATGCTCGACAAAAGTCGGTGTCGGAAGGCGAAGTCGACTGGCCCACCGCAGAAGCTCTGGCCTTTGGCACACTCTGCCTAGAGGGCCATCATGTCAGAATCTCTGGGGAAGACGTTGAAAGAGGAACATTCTCTCAGAGGCATGCTGTGGTTCAC